TGATCTTACCGAGTCCACGCACGAGGCCAGGGACACCGGTGGGCGACTGAACAAACTGCCAGTTAGTCCTCCTAAAGGTTGAAGGTTCCGGCAGTTCTGCTGGTCTCCCTCGAGTGATGGGGCAGAAATCCCAGAGTATTTTAGGCTATTAGTACCCCATAGTGAGATATGGCGAGTCGTTCAGATGCTCCGTTCCGAATTCGTGAATCGCTCGCGACTTATCTGCGCCCTACCAAACCAAGCTCCCTTCATTTTCGCGCCAAACGGGCATATGCAGCCATCTGGCTTTCATCAACATGCCGCTGCTAGGCTGAAGCATACCCGCAATAGATGGTTTCGCATCCCATGCCTTTGATATGAGCCGCCATGCCGTGATTTGATTCCATGCTTAGCTGAAGAATGCAGTGACGTTGCCGGCTATGATCACCGCTCCCACACGTGCGAGATGTTCCGTCCGCAGATGGGTGCCCCCCGTGACAGCATCCCGACTGGCTGATCGAGGGCTCTGCATATACCAGCGGACAGGCACCTTGACACGTATACGGATCTTGAGCAATTCTATTTTAACCGGCGTAGACTGGTTTCCTGTCTTGGGATCTTCGCAGGACAATGTCATTTGTCCTCGTTATCTGCCCGACCGGTTTCGAAAAATCTGAGGTCCGGGACGTTTCTTCTAGTAAGTCCATGATTGCACGTAACCGCGCTTCTTGGTTTTCGAAGCCCAGAGAAATCAGGTCTTCGTTCGGAGGGTTCTTCGTGGATGCATCCACGAAACCAGCCAGCTGCATCTCCAATACCGGCAGACGACGCCTCCCACTCAACAGGCCGACAACCATATACAAATTGACAAACCCGTGACTCGAGGTGTCAGCTCATGCAATCTGCCGTGTGTCTGTGCAAAAGGTCCCAGACGATGCACGGGATCAAGCAATCGCCAAACAACGTGCATTGTTCAATCCACCGTGACGGCCACTCACAGGCACCGATTTTTCAGACCGCTCTGTGGATGCTTGCATGGTGGCGGGGTGCATGGTGCACATGCAGCTACTGGGGAAATGCGGTCTGGCGAACGAACGTTACATTCTCTGGGACTTTTGGCGCTGTGGCGTGGGGTTTCTTCCAAGTGTTGCATGTGCTGTGCCACTGGGCACAGCCTCACCCGGTAGTCATCAGCTCCGCCAATCAGGCGGCGAGATATGCTTTTTTTTCGCTCGTTAGTTTTTCTGTGTCCTTTTGTTCCATATTCTGTGGCACAAACGGCTATAGACCAGATGCCATAGTCTGTCGGAATTTTCCAACGGGATGTACCATCGCCTCAGGTCACGACACAGGCGCCTCAGATGCCCGTCGATGACGTCGCGAGATGACTTTGAGACACCACTTCGCCCTTGGCCATGACAAACGAGACTAAGAAGATCTGTAGCGTCAACTCGATCATACAACAACGTACGATCATAATTCAGCTTGGTGCATACTGCTGTAGAGAACAATGAGACTGGGTCTCAGTTTGTAGGTATCCACGGAGGCGAAGAGTCAGAAAGTTAGGACTAGAGGCTGTGATGGGCGTAAATCAATGTTGTGCGAGAAGAGTGTGTGTGCCCTCCATTGCTCCTCATCGTTTTGCCAGGCAGATCGCGGTGGTTTCGATGGCACACCATTGGAAACCAATGGACAATACCTCGTGATGACCGGTGCTTCGCTACTCATCGGAGGTCCCACCAGCAGAAATACGAAGCTCAACCCGCGAGAGCTGTATGCGGGAATTGGATTTTTCGATTTGTCGTCGAGGGAAAAATGCATTCGAATCAGTCATGAATACAGCAACAAGAAGATATGGTGCCACTTGCATCCCAGTCAGGACAAGAAATCTATGATCACCTCTGAAGTCAGTATGAAACTTGCAAGATAGTGGAGGCCAAGGTGCCTGTGACAAGAGGGACTGGGCTCAAATGAAATTGACTCTTTCCCTCTTGGGGCACTGTATACACTGCGTATCTCTGCTTTGCGCACATCGTCCCGCTCGATCGGGTCTTCGAAAAAGCCTTATCTACACCGGCATGGGTCAGTCGAAGTCGACCGCCTTCATGAATGATCGAGTTGACCATACACTGTCCAGGGTCTGGCCGAGAATGGAAAACTTTCGACGATGTTGGCACACAAGCGAGAAAAAAAGGATGGGAAAGTCCTTTTTTGGGGGCCAGTAAAGGGATTTCATCCATGATCTGAAGATCTGAGCCTGATGTTTGAGCTAAAGCAGGGGTCAGGATCTACCCTGCCTCTCCTAATGGTAGGCTCAATCAACCTCCAGCAGCGCAGTAATATACATCCCTACTGAGAGGGCAAAAGGCTAGCTTAGCGAGCCGCTGCCGATCCACGCCTCGAACCAGGCACAGGCTCTTGGGCCATTGAAAGTTTGGAAGCGAAGCGCGGGTTGTCAACACGCTAGGGCCTCTCACTAGGTTCCAGCTCAGCCTACCAGGCAGCATTGAGGTGAAGGGTGCAGTTGAACCACTTCCTACTGCACTGGGGAATTCGGCGTATTGCATATGGATTATTCCCCGGACCTTCACACTGGAAAACGGTTCTAGGTAGGCAGGACGTTGTTGTGCCCAGTATATGCCCCGATGGACCGGGGATGTTGTCCAACGATGACCCGGATAGGAAACAGAGCAGCCCACGCCCTGGCTCGTCTTCTCCTATTCGGAACGTCCCTGACCCGTTCTGTCGATCCGAACCAATTGGGAGATTATTCTGGGTGGAGTATGGAGCATCGTAGCCTAATCAAACGAGCTTCCTAGCGCCACTCTCCCCCACCTTTTCCTCTGCTCGGTATGGGGGAACTTGATAATGGGACGTGCCGTTAGACTTTGGGGTTCCAAACTCGGACCGTGAGCTTCGCGCATAGGTCGAAGCATTTCTGGAACTAGTTTGTGTCAGTTCGTCCTTCCCGCCAGTCCTTGATGCCTCTCACAAGAAACATAATTTGGACGGGGAAATTAAGTAAACAGTTTTCCCCGGCGTTGTTGGGGCCACGACGTCAGTGCGAGACTCTTCATCCCATGGGAGGCGCGGAGCCGGGAATCTATATATACATCAACGTCGACACGAAGTCCCATTGTGAGAGTAGGACAACTTCATCCAACCCAACACCACATACACTCGCTTTCTACACAGTACCAGCTCACCATGGCGACCACTCGGGGATCCTCTCCGTCCACTCTTTTGTTCGCTCTTTTCTCCATCCTGTCCGGCGTGTCCTTGACCATTGCAGCCGTGGTTCCCAACCCAGGGCCGAACGATATCTGTTTCAGCGGTGTCTACTCGACCCTTGCTCCGTTCGCTCCCGTCCAGACCTATTGCGTCTCTTACTATCCGGCCCTATGCACCCAAGGTGTCCTTGACCGCCGGGCTCTTCCCAAGCCGCAACATCTTGCGCGCGCTGAGCCCACCCCAGATCCCAGGGATCAGCTTTGGTCATCCGTCAGAGCCGGTCCGATAGATGTGATCACCACCCTGTGCTCTTGCGCACAGACACCAACCCCCTGCCCACCAGCCGAGACCACTCCTACCTCTACGGATGTGGCGACGATTTCCGCTACCGTGCCTACTACCACGACGACATCGGAAACTACCACTACTACCACCACCACCACCACCACAACAACCACAACGACAACAACAACCACCACCACCACTACCACTACCACTACCACTACAACCACAACCCCGCCTGCTGCTCCAGCTCCTACCTGCGGAAGCCCGGGAAGCTGCGAGGCCTTCACCAACTGCGGCGGCAGCGATACCTGTTACTGCTTCGGGGACAGCGACCTCGTCAACGCCTACTGCGTGGAAGACCAGTCTTGTGTCGACGCCGTGCCATGCGACACGGACTCGGACTGCCCGGGCGCGGTCTGCGTCTCAGCCAGTAACTGCTGCGGTTTCTCCTACTGCGCTGTCGGCTGTGGAGCGGCGCCGACCAAGAGGTCCGTGGCCTTCTCCTTCTCGGGCAACGAGACCGAAGAGGACGCCGGTGCGCACCGGGACATTCGCCGCGACTCGGTCCTCTTTGGATCTGGGTCCTACGATGCTTAGTCGGTGCCGCACCGATTATTTGGAGAGAGGGGACGAGGAACTTAATAGCCCAATAATAGTGTTTAATTCTAGTCAGGGGAGGCGAAGACCGCTTTTGACCTTATATGAGGTCTAGCAGAGCCATTAATAATTGAATATCATTTTACTCTTTCTGTCTGGTGCTCAACTTCTCGTGGAGCCTATCTATCCCATCATCTTTTTACCAATCTCGCCCACAAAGCCCATGATTTGGTTTACTCTTGGAAAGGGGGGTAATCGGATTCATTCTTCTAGTGCCGTCACTTCCCCTGCGTCTGCTAGTCCACATACGATAGAAAGAGGATGTTGCCAGAACCAAGATATCAGCCGTATTAATATTATAGATTGGGAACCGACCCAAAGAAGTCGACACATACAGTGGGCAGGCTGCCTAGGAGAAATAGTTCGCAGTGGGGCAAGTGCGGAGCGTGCCGATGTTGGCAACTTCTTCCTGAGCACGGTGATTCGATGTTGCTCGGCCAGTTATATTTGAGATCCTCTCGGCGGACCAGAACAAGATTGGAAAGCGAAGCGCGCCTCGTGGATGTTCTAACTCCAGTGTTCCGTTATGTTGTTCTTGGAACGCATCGGGAAGTTCAGTCAGAAAGCGAAGGACGGCCATGTATTGTATCGGCCAAAGGGTCAGGGCCACAGCGATGCCCAAGGCTCCAGGCAAGATAGAATATGCCCCGTAGCTTGGCCAATAAAAGGGCGCCTCGGAAGGACGTTGACAGAGAGCTTGATGTGCAAATGGAGCACCTGCATACTCGGGATTTGTGACCACAGTAAAGCAGAAGGATACTTAACGACCTGGGGTACAGTGCAGAAATTTGATGGTGACTCAAAGTGCTCCCCCCAGAAGACGAAAGACGCAAGGAGCATCTCCTGCATTAGACGTTATTGGTATACAAACTGTCGTTTTCGACCTCCTTCAGCCACAGACCCCACGGCCGATCTGAAGTTGCCCCAATGGACACTTCACAGTCCTGTGCTTGCTGAGCAGTTAAGGGCTCGAAAGCACCTATCCCATCATTTCCAGTTGCGCCGGTCCATGCGCTGGCTTCATTTCCAGGAAACCCATCAAATGCGCCTCTCAACAACATTGCCGTAGTCTGTGCTTTGGCATTGGACTGAGTGAAGATGGCCTGAAAAACCGCGGTCTGGATATCAAGAGCAGCAGTGGTGAAGCCGTGGCGGCGCATCAGCACAACATTGTAATCCGGCATCGAGACTGGGGGGTCGGCAGACTCATTTGTCTTTGTCAGGAATGTCTTGGCTAGATCTTCTCCAAGTTTCGGGGTGCGAATCAACAAGTCGTGCGGCTCGGTCGCATTATAGGAGTTCTCGACGTCGTACAGCGGCGCGGGATCAGAACCGAGAAAGCCTGCCATGTGGTACACAGCCCTTAGCGGAACTCCGGCGATAGCGTAGGGGAGAACATCCTCGCTGTGGCTGTGAACCACACAGGCGATATCTGGATAACGCTTGTACATCTCGCCATGGATATATCGCTCAATGTAGCCCTTGGGAGCATCAGGATCAACAGCCATAGAGTCATTCACACGATATTGAACAAGATTGCTTGCATTGCTGACGAGTGCCGGTGCCATGTTGGCAGACATGAGGTAGGTCGATGCGTCGATCGGATGCCTAGCAGAAATGTGGCCATAGGCGTCAAGAACCGACGTGAAGTGCAAGATGTGGTTCGCAGATATGAGATCACGCTGAATCTGACGGTTGATTTTGTCATTGGTTCATTCTTCAAGCCCAGGAAGTCCAGGAAAATGGCACCGCAACAGTGATAGCACTGGCAATGGTCACTTACTTGTGTAAGGTTTACCATCTTGAGCACCTGCCTCGGACGTAGCAGACGAATGCCGGAGGTTTCGAAGATTTGTGCTGTTATGCGGCTCTGGGGACGAGGAAGGAAGTAGATAGCTCTGACATCGAAGCTGGCACAGGAAAGAGGAGAAAATGATGAAGTTCAACAGCATACAGAGTTGTTTATTCGTGCCCGCATCTTTCGGTTTCTCTCCATTCGCCAACACCGACAAACTTGGAAACGACATGTTGATCACAGGGTTTCACTGCTTGGCGGTGTGACGCGGGTGTCTAGCTCGGCAAGTCTCTTAGCTGAGGCGTGGTGTCTGGGCGACAAGCATTGGCAAAGGGGATGTCCTTCATCCATACTCGGACATGTCCATTTGCCTGCACTCACAGTAGATGGCAGCAAGCTTCGAGAACTTGCAGCTTGATAATTCAATATCCTCCATGTCATGGTTGAGTCACAATTCCCTCAGCATGGTGCTCTCGCCTGTCAAATGAAACCATCAACACACTTCCACATGTCGAAGGAGCTCAACACCCAGATTTCGAAGGTCTGTGCTGGATGACGGCACTCGGCGATGGAGACAGCACCCAGAAGGTTAGTCCGGCTGAAGCATTCGTACGATGATGATTCCCTGGAGGAAAGGAGGCTTCGCCAAGTCGAGGTTGAGATGGTTGCACTCGTCACTTGAAGACATGTAACTCATAGGAGAATTCGCTGGCAGGCATTGGGACAGAGGCCCTTCCTCAATCAGCCCAAAGCCAAAATGGTCAGAACTGGTCATTCATGTCGAAGCCCAGTCGTCTTCACGAAACCTTGGTGTCGTCAACTTCCATGGCTCCGAGCTCCCTGACGGTCGACGTGTTCTTGTCGAATACAGCTCTAAGGCCGATCCTGAACTCAGACATCCGCACACCCAGAATCTTCAAGATGGAGGTTTGTCTTGAGTCGAGCGTTTCTCCTTCTTTGCAGACAAGGTATCCCTCTTCTTCGTCCATCGAACCCTCCGGGTGCTCTTCCAACACCACCTTGCCCTTGACGAGGCGAGTGGGAATTCCTAGTTTTCGGAGAGTTGGTTCAATCTGGACTGGCAACGGATCATCCTCGCCGCCTTCCACGCCATACTGAGTATGAATCTCTCCTGGTGGTATTCTGACATCCCGGGTCGCAATGCTGCCACTCCGAGCAAAGTCTTGATTCAGCCAATCTGCAAAGTATTCTTCGATGTGTGTAGGTTCCTGATCTGTGAAGAGAAGACCGACTTCGCCTTTCACGTACGGCTCCAATGCACTGACCCCCGGTACACACTCGGTTTCCACTGTATGTCCTAGTCCCACCATCAAGACCTTGTTCTTTCCCATCATTATCCTGGAGTCATTGAAGTCCGCTCTGACCTGTTTGAGGAAATTGTTGCGAGTGTTTTGGACGTCAAACACCCAAATGTAGGAGTACTTTTCGGCGGCATCGTGAACATTTGCAGCAAGCCGGCGGACCAGCTCCTTCCTGTTTTTCCGCACCTTCGACGTTGGGACGACTCTATTTCGCTTCGACGGAGGCATAGTGAGGTATCCGATCAAATAGGCGGTAGGTACGAGGTTTTCGGTTGTGGTCGAGGAACGTCTGGGCTTCCGCCGCGTTGGAAAAAAAATAAATTTCAAAAGTTCAAAAATCAAGAGGAAGGTAAGCCGATTTTGCACTAACGTGTTTTGGTTAGATTGTCTTGCCGCTTACGGTCGAGCCGCCCACCGCCTCGCCTGTTGATGGATCTCTTCATGACAATGACATGACCAGGAAGAGATTTTGGAGCTTCGTTCGCCCACTAGCATATTCTGGAAACCGGCGAAGTACTCTTCAATGGGTTTCACGAATACTCCTCGGAGCAGAACAGCTGAGAATCCTTGAGAGCCACAAAAGTCTAGCATTTTTTTCTCGTCATAAAAAGACCGTGTAACATCAGAAAGGATGACTATGCATAGGTTCTGCAGCAACCAGACCGCTCAAAGACTTACGAGCTGTTGTTTAAATATACACACACCGCCAGATCAGTTGGACCGAGCACCATTGTCAATACCCATCTGCGCAGCTGATGCTGAAGATGCAGAGACGCTATCGAAGATCTGGACGGCCATGTTTGTTTACTCTTGCGCCTTGACAAAATCGATGACGGCAACATTGGGACCTGGCCAGTGCTTTCGCGCACGCAGGAACCATAAGCCGATGGCGAAGAAAAACACGAAGAGGAATATCGGTCCCGCGTAGTTCATGTTGGATGCTGTCACGGGCAACGTGCTCGGAATCGGCAAGAACACCATGATGTACAGGGTATAAACGAGCGCGGAGCTGTTGATGTAGACTCCGTACCGGCCCAGGTTCCAACCGCCCAGGTCAAGAGGCTTGCCACCATGCGACGAGGTCCAGCGTGCCAACAACATCGCCGAGATTGCCGTACCATATGAAAAGTACAGAGCTAAAGATGATAGCGCCGTGATGGCTCCAAAGGCGGTGGTGGAGCCGATATTCAGTAGTGACAGCAGCATCACAACGACAAGTGAGAGCCAGATAGATCGTATTGGCACATGGTGGGTTGAGTCCACAAGCGCAAACCAGCGAGGTAAGCCCCCATCCCGGGACCAGGCCCAAGTCAGTCGCGACACTGAAGCAATAGACGCTATGTTGACACAGAATGAGATGACGAACAGTCCACAGACCATGGCAGTGGTTGCTTTGACAGATCCTGTAACCCGGAGGAGGATGGTGATGATGGGAAACCCCGAGCTGAGCACTTCGTCGATGGGCCCCATGGCGCTAAGGATGGCTATCACCATGGCATATGCAAGTACACCGTTCAAGGCAATAGACCAGAATGTTGCTCGTGGAACCGCCTGAGGAGCTTTCTTTGTTTCTTCGCTGAGATGGCAGGAATCGTCGAAACCGGTGAAACTCCACGCACAGGTGAGCATACCTAGATTCCACGCAACGTAGGTGTTGGACCAGCCCGACGATACGGACTGTTCCAAGAAGATGAAGTGGGCACTGTGACGACTGCCCATGACGACCAGAACGACCAGGAACAACACAAAAAGACAGACGTGGAGTATTCCAGCCACAAGCTCAAGCCAAGGTACCACGGCGAAGGTCGTACCGAAGGAGTTGATCAGACCCTGTACAAACAGGATCGCGATCATTATAAGTGTAACGTGCCAGGTCTCGGGCACGTAGTTTGGATGGTTGAGCATCGCCAGCTGCTGCAGGATGATGGCCGTAATATTTGCAATGCCAGCAAGCAAAGAAACCCATCCAAACCACGTCATCCAGCCCTGCATCCAGGTGATGAATCTTTTCATATTCGACGGAGCTAGGTTATATGTCCAGTGGTACTGGGCGCCGGCAATAGGAATAGTCGATGCCATTTCGGCGATGGATGCTGCTTGTGCGATTGCCCCGAAATAGACGATCACGACACTCCAGGCAAACGTCTGAGGGCCTCCGTTGTAAAGAGCAAAAAACATATTCCTGTTACTGATAAGATTCGGTTTGTCGCTGAGAGTAGCATCTTGCACTCACGTATTCATTCCCTCCCACGTGCTCATAAAGGTAAGAGAAAAGGCGAAGATCTGGGAGAAGCTGAACAACCTCCGAACTCTCGTCACGCTCTCGATGTTTTGTCCATTTGCATCTGCATTTGAGGCAGCTCCGTAGCCTAATTCCACATGATCACCACTTCTGCGGGTTGCAAAACGATTGATTGTCAACTGCACATCTTTGTCCACTTTATGCAGTTCGTAAGCTTCACTGTGGTCGGACATTATAGATGTTTTCCCCGTAGAGCAGTTGTGGCAAGATATATTCTGCGATAGATGATGTTGGAAGAAGAGTCGATTGAAAATAGAGTCACGCCGTCTCACAAAGCAAGAGAGGAAGGGGAGAAAAGGAAGTGAAGATGAAGACCCATGGAGAAAACCACGTTTAGTCCCACGAGTCGAGAGCGGCTTTATCGAGGTCAACAAGGCCCATCTCTAAGCGAACCATCTAGCCTTCGTCGAGCAGAGATAAAGGTCAGCAGCGGCGGCGACAGAATAGTCCAACGATACGGGGTGCCCCCGGCTGCACGTCGTGAATGGATGGTAGCGTCCGGCCCCAGTGGATGCAGGACGGCGTGGCAGCTGGAGGGGTTCGAGTTCCGAAGCAGCGATCAGCCACCGCAGCAGCTGTTGTTCAAGGGAATTGCATTGCCGAGCAGGGTGCGTCCTTGCCCCATGATTGATGCACCTAGACAAATACTACGCTCGCCAGGGAGCGTGGACTTGGTGGGGATATCGCGGGAATGACAGTAGGAATTAACTTCGTTGCAGCCTCACACTATGGAAAATGACTTTCAAATGACCATCCAGGCTTCGGACCACTTCCCCGTGTTGCCAGCCACGGGGCATGTCGACCCATGTACGTACAATAACCAAGAACCACCCCTGGTGGCCCGGGCCTTCAGCCTCCCCAGCGACCGACATTCCTTCGTCGATTGGGCGTCAGAGCAGTCTCAACGCTTAAGAGCATGGCTGGTGCAATCCATGTCCCTGACTGGTAGCGGGGAATATGCTTCCGGTCAGAAGGCTTCCAGCTAGGTGCTCAACTTGCAGGGGCATCTCTTCACTTTTATGTAGATCCTCCTGGTCTGCTTCGCTGTTCGCTCTCCTGGAGGCTTACGGTAATTGGCCTGATTGCTTTCCATATATTATAGAAAGCGGTGGAAGCGACTGTCTCTGTAGAAAACAAGTCTCAAGAGTTGTCTATGCTTCAGATCAATCCGCCATCAGGAACAATACAACATGCCTTAGTCTTCTTTGTAGAGAAACTCTTCTCGAAAAATGCAGTCCACAAGCATTTTGAGTGGGTTGTGCTTTGTTTAAGGAAATCACTTCTTATTAGTAGTTCTTGAGGATGCCTAGCAGCCAGGTTGTGGTGGCTTGACCAGTGATCCCCTGAAGAACGCAGCCAACCTCGTATTCACTCCCCGGCAACATTGAGCGGTAGCGGCGTCCTGATACTGCAACGCAGCCTCAGGAGCAAGATGCTTGCTGCGGGACCATTCACATCTGATATAGGCACGGAACAGCCAGGCCTTCAAGACATGGCCAAGCCGATCACTACCTCGCCTGCCATCAAGGATAACAGCCGCCAGATGCCCGCCTCTGCATGCCTTCAACTCGCAAAATTTTCTGGCGCTGTTTGCAGTCTTCCTCTCAGCCCTACGTGCACATCCTCCTTCGGTCGCCAGGATGGCTGACAGAGAGGCACCTGCTTTCTTTCAAATTTCAACAGACAACCATGTACCGTGGGTCGTGGTCACAGCCTCGGTGTTTCTGATATATTCCATCATGGCCGTGGTTTCCAAGGTTGTTTCAAAGCTTCACCTTGCATTCTTGAAACCATACGACTGGATGATCGTCGCATCAACAATCACTGCCTTTGTGCAAACCGCCTGCGTTATTGCTGCTTGTAAGAACGGCTTGGGACAGCACCGTTATGCCATCGCTGAGCACACGTTTGCCGCATTTTCACGAGTGATGTTGTACCACGTTCCCAGGAAGATAGATTTGCTAACAGAGTGTAGTATACATACGCAGCGCAGATGCTATTTATTGTCGCCTGCGCTTTCGCAAAAGCGTCCGTCCTCTCCTTTATTATGGTTATAGCTCCGCAGATAAGAATTCAGCGGTCATCTTACGCCCTGCTGGCTGTCATCGCTTGCTGGGCGATCTCTGGAGTAATCGCCGTCGCTTTCCAGTGCCAACTACCTCAACCATGGCTATTTGAAGAGCAAAAATGTATCAATCAAGAGGCACTGTCTCTCTTCGTTGGGATTGTGAACATCCTGACAGATCTGGCCTTGATTGCTATACCGTCAGCTATGATGCGGTGGGTACAGACAAACACGAGAAAAAAGTGGCAGGTCGTAGCTTTGTTCGCATCTAGAATCATGTATGTGTCGGATATATCTGTCCTTGGAATCACTCCGCTGATATGTCTTGACAGTGTTCCAATTTTCATCATCTTCCAACTCGTCGAGTATCGAAAATTCTATCAATCCGACGACCGAAGTTGGAGAATGGTCGGTCCTGCCATCTGGAGCCAGCTGGTCATGAATCTTTCTATCCTCACAGCATGTATCCCAAGTCTGAAAACGGTGCTTGACATGTTCAAATCCGGAACCTCATTTTTCACGGTGCCAGCTCAGTATCAGTCGACCGTGGACAACAGCTCCCAAGGGCTGAGATCAAGGTTGGCCACCGCGGTTACGCAGAGATTCGCGTCAAAGCGGAGCGCCAACAGGAGCCAGAATGATACAACATCTTCGGTCAGGGAATGGCCTACAAAGCAGATGAAAGCTGTCAGTGGCCAACATTCCGCACAAGTCTCGAGTAACGTCAGGAGCCACTCTGACATGAAGGATCTTCCCGTACGCAGTGAGAGCCAGAGAAGCCTGACGGAGAATGCGATCATGAGAACGGTAGCATATGAGGTCGGGTATGAGGACATGATGGCGACACACAACGCAGGCGGCTCAGATGGGCAATCTCGAATTTCCATCAACAGTGAAGCACAGCACTCTTACTAGATCCACAATGCAGAGTTTCGGCCCCTCCCGATGGCCCTATCAGGGGAACGCGGGCCCCCGAAGAGCCTATTGCTACTACGACGTTTGTAAAAAGATGGCATGGCGGAGGAAACGTCACTGGTCTTTGTATGAATACCTTGATGAGGATGTCCGTACACTCAGCGGGCTTTGCTATAGGAACGAGAAACCGAGAGGTTTTGGTCACAGATCCCCTCGGCCGACAGGAATCCCCGCAGAATCTGCGTCGTGGCCAAAGGCGTAATGGAGGGCATCTCGAATGGGCATGACCCTTAGCGATCACACTACCTAATGGGCCAAGTCTGCTCCCCGTAGCATCCGCATTCTGTCCTAACGAAAGAGCATGGAGCTTTCCGTTTCCAACTAGCTAATGCCCACTACAGAGACTTCAAACATCCCCGCCAGACGGTCTTGTGGACGGCTTGCTGCAAAGAGCCTAAGGAGCAGTCCGGTCTTTTTGGCTGGGAACAAAGTCTCCACTGTGCGCTGCAAGAAGCTCGCGTCTGCAACTTGCGTGATAAATAGCGCACGACTCGCCATTTACCTATTCGATAAGCCAGCTCGCCTAAGCTCTTGCGGTGAAGGCACCAGCAGTTCGGCGGGAGAGCTCGACCCCCTCGAAATGTCGAAGCCTGCTCCTCATATACGAGGACTGTCCTATTCTGCATCCCTACCCTATCCACCGATGAGTCGCTCAATTAGCCAACTTTCTTCAACCCGCGCCGTGAGATGCTCGAGACTGCACCACTCCTCGAACCAGATATTGCCTGGACCGAACAAAGAGAGAATGGCACCAATGGCAGTGACATCGCCCTCGAACGAGCTACGAGATGGAAGACCGAGACACGAATAATGATCGCCGACACAGTGCCCTTGGTTCTGACGTACTTGTTACAATATTTCTACAGCTTGATTATCGTGCTGGTCGTTGGCCGCATAGGAGAGGACGAGCTCGCCGCCGTTTCGCTGGGGGTCACGACCATGAACATTGTCGGCTTCGCCATCTTCGAGGGCATGGCCACCAGTCTGGATACGTTGTGCGCACAGGCGTTTGGGGCTGGCAATCCAAAAGCCGTCGGCCTGCACGTTCAGAGGATGGTGCTTTTGCTGCTGCTTGTAGCTTGTCCAATTGGCATACTGTGGCTCTGTTCGCCGTGGATTCTGGCAAGAATGATCCCTCAGCCTCAACTGGCAGTTGTGGCCGGGACATTCCTCAGGACGTCCCTTGTCGGCGTACCTGGATACGTGGTGTTTGAAGCCGGTAAGCGGTTCCTGCAATGCCAGGGGAACTTTACTGCATCGTTGGCTGTCCTCCTGATTTGCACGCCTGTTAACCTTGTCCTCAACTGGACGCTGGTGTTCAAGCTTGATCTGGGAGTCATGGGATCAGCGCTTGCCGCCGCCCTGAGCAATAACTTCCGAGCCGTGCTGCTCATCCTGTATATCGCTCTCTGCCTCCCGGAAACACATCAGTGCTGGCCCGGGTTGCTTCCTAAGACCACCTTTCAAAACTGGATGCCTATGATCAAGCTCTCTGTCCCTGGCGCAGTCATGACACTGGGCGAATGGTTTGCGTTTGAACTGCTCAACTTCAGTGCTGCATACATCAAGACTGGTGGCAGTGACTCTACGAGCTCGGGGCCCTTGGCGGCCCAGGCAATCCTCTCAACTAGCTCAGTGCTGGTGTGGCACATCCCTTTCTCCGCGAGCGTGGTGGCAAGCACCAGGATTGGTCATTTAATAGGGAGAGGTTCCGTCCACACCGCAAAAGCCATGTCGAAATTCTACGCCGCGTTCTTCTCCGGAACCGCCCTATTCGACATGATGCTAGCCTTCGCCGTCTGCAGTCTCATCGCGCGTTTCAGCACTGCAACCTCATCCGGCGAGGTTCAATATCTTATCATGGGGACGCTACCCTTTGTCGCAATCTTCCAAATCTTCGACGCCGCGGTCTGCTGCGTCCACGGTATCATGCGTGGATTAGGTCGTCAAGCCGTCGGCGGCTGGGCTACGTTTGTAGTCAACTACTGCATCGGAGTTCCTTTGGCGTGGGTGCTCTCCCTTGGTCCCCCAATGCTTGGACTGGTCGGTCTCTGGTCTGGGTTGTCCGTTGGACTAGCTGTCCTGGCGTTGGTGCAAACACTTGTCCTAGGGATTATAGACTGGGAAAAGTGTGTAGAGGATGCGAGGGAGCGGGAAGAGATATGTGATTAGCAGTTGAGTGTGCTGCAGAATAGAATACAGACGTCGTCGCATGTGAGGTTTAATAGTCCCAGATACAGCTACAATAAAAGTAACCGAGTCTCCGCTGGTATGGCGCTTCAGTAGCTACATCATCAAAATCCGATTCCGCAGAAGCTGCTCTTCGCTCAAAGCTCGATCAGCTGCCCTAACCTCCATCAGAGCGTCAATGGGCCCCCTACCCTTGGTGTCCATCGCGACTCCTTTTTCAAGTCACATGGCGGACGAAACTCTCCCATGTGGTATTGAGCGCTCAGTTTGGCGGGAAAGTCGACCAGGGGATACGCCGACAATTTAGGGGTGCTAGACTTCCAGAGGCAGCGCCAGAACAACACCACCCAGAGAAAGGCAGTCACAGTCGTTTGTAGGGCAAGATAGGCGATGAATGCCTCCCGGTTAAGCACGATCCTGTCCAGGGGATTGCACAGGAAGCAGAGGTGTGGAACTCGGGTAGAAGCGATCCCTCCGTCAAATCCCCTTTGATGCTGAACTCCCAGGTCGGAAAGGCGAGGATGCTCTCCAGCAACGGATACGTGATGATTGACCAGTCATCATAGTTTGCCCCTGGCGCCGCAGTCGCAAATAAGAGAATTAAAGGACGATGCTGCTGGTAACCCCTGCCCTGTGTAGTTCAGAAGCACTAAATGTATAGTAAGGAACGTAGACGGTCGAGACTTTGGGTTTGACTACACATTCGACGTGAGCGACATGACAGTGAGGGGCATGCCGAATATGACAGAATGACCAAGACGATTCCGGCCAACCCAAGAACTTGCGACAACAATAAGCCTATTCAGCGTAAGGGGTGACGAGCTTCTTGGAAGACTGAACTAACCTCCCCACAGCCCACGCTCGGTCCCGATCTTTCCATCTCCCCCTCCGGATCACTTGGCACATACCAGGAAAATCGGTAGTTCGAGGAATGCTTAGAAAGCTCAAAAGTCGCAGTCCGTCTCATCGATTGTATAAGGTCCACTGGATGACTTCGAAGGTTTGTCTGAGGACAAAGGAGATCGAGACGGAGGTCAAGCCTTGTAAGATTCTCAAAATGGCAACCGCTGAGCTGAACCTCTTCACTGTCAGAGAGATCGAGGTGGCTGAAGGTGAAGAATGCTGTCGTGACAGCTGTCAGGACAAAGTGGAAGAATCCATAGTTACAGCTGTTGATGGCATGACCTCTAACGCAGAAGTGGAGGACAGGAAGATGATCAAACGTGCTTGTGAGCGAAGTACAGAGACTTGTCCGTCACCAACAGTTTGTGATGTTAGCGAGCTCCTTTCACTGACAGTCTTTGAAAAGGCATGCAAGCGGTGGTCCAGAGGACAATCCCATCATACCATTATCAACATTGGAGTTGGGATAGGGTATTTGATTCTGAAAGAGGAGGTGACTAATTTTCTGGAGAACCCTCGAGTTTCTATAGTAGTAGTGATTGGGTCTAACCCCAGAGCTTAGTGGTCTCAACATCTCAGATCTCTAACCACCGCGGGGCATGTCACGATACCAGACTCCTGGACGAGAAATGGTAGCATTCAGCGGGCATTCAGCGGCGCCTCTGCACAGGTCTTAGCGCCGGTTTGGGGCAGGACGAGTAGTCTTACGCTCTCCGAGTACTCGGTACGAGCATGTTAATCTCTTTAGGTCCCCTTTCCACAGGCTCCGGCTTGCCGCCGCACTCACTAGTGACTCGTGTTCAGCCTTGTGACCTCGTCTTGGGGGTGCGCCAGACGCCACCTTATTTCCACTCTCCCCTTTGCTCATCAAAATCACTCGCATCAGCTTTTAGGGAGTCCAGATAGGGTGGAAGCATTCTTCGATCCTGTTGCTAGCCCGGGCCCATATAATGTCTCCCCAGAATTTTCCAATGTCATTTTCAATCCATCTCTGGCTCGGGAATTTTTTGTAGCCTTGTTGCCGCTTCCATTCGTTTGATCCACCATGTTACTCACCACGCTCCTTACTTTTCTTGTCACTCCTTTGGCTGTTCTTGCGGCTCCTCCAAAGGCAAGCCTCGCGAAACATCTTAGAGATCGAGGAAGTCCAAACTTCCCGGGAGGTCCATACCCAACAGGCCAACCGACTTCGACCTGTTACACTATCTCGGGATGGCAGGGTGGCAAAGGAAGACTTACTACGACAACATCGACCCGAACCCTGCCTCCAACCACCACCACTGTAATCCGGACTTCCACCGTCATAACTATATCTACCCCTGTGGTCACTGCTACTACTACGACGACAAGCACGTCTACAGCTACCAGCATCGCTATAGGTGTGACTGACACTTTCACCTCGACGATTACTTCGACATCGACAGCATCGGCCAGTACGACAACCACGACGACCTCTACTACCACTACTACTGATACTACTACCTCCACCAACACTGAAACGTCAACTATTCCTGCGCCTGCTGGATTTACTCCCGTCTATGATAGCTCAGGTTACACGTCCCTCAACAGTGAGCAACGGCTGAAGCGAAAGGCTTTGGACACTCTCCAAAATATGCCCAGGTCCAGCCCAGCAAGCAGCCAATGGCGTGGAGGTCAAGGGCCACCAACGCCTCAAGGCGTCAAGTGTATTAGTATAATCCAACCTACTTCCACCGCCTTCACAACAGTCACAACGACCAGCACTATAAGAGCTAGACCAACAACAACCACTGTCACGAGCACCACTATATCCACTACTACTATAACGATCGTGCCTGGTCCTGTCACGACAACGGTTAGCACAACAACAACCACCACCACGACCAGCACAAGCACATCCACCGAGACCTCCACAGAAACAGATAGCACCACCACAACTACGACCACAACGACCACAACCTCTTTCTACGCAGCTTGCGCAACCAACAATATTATCGGTCCTCAAGTATCGCAGAACGACCTCTACGTTCAAGGCGTCGGCTTTTCTGATCCAGACGGAGTACAAGTCAACGTCCCCGCTGCAAGTGCATATGATTGTTGCGTAATATGCATTACAGGCGCCGTGGTGGCTAATTGTCAAAATACCATCTACGACGCCGACAACGGAAATTGTAATCCCCTGGGCGGGGATACCTCCGTCTGTCCCAGTGGAGCGCAGGGATCTTCGGGCTATGTGTTGTTGAGCACCGACCAGTACAATCGCTATGATTCGAATGGGCCGTGCGGCACGCTTGGGCCAGACCCATCCACCTAGTTTCGTTCCCTGTAACTACCTTCAACGAGCCGAGTTTTTCTGTCTTTTTTGGGTACTTAGAGAGCGTGTATAGTACGTGGCACTGAGATAATGTTTGGAGTGACAACAACGCGGAGTAGGGGTTCACTGATCAGAAATCACAGGTTCGGGAAATAGGATGATCTTCACAAAGCATACAGGCTGCTACTAGTTTACATGTTCAAATTGGCTTGCGTGCTAAACCACTTTACACTAGGGAGTGGTTTGTAGTGCCCAAACTCCATGCTATTCCGTCCTAAGTGGAACCTGGTTACCATATTAAATGCTCGAGATGAGATTTCCCGGTAACAACTTAACACTTCCGATCTCTAACAGCCATCCAGCTCCAAGGCTCCAGGCTGAAGGACATTCTGGCAGGGCCAAGAATGAAGAATACTTCGCCCCCAGATGTGATTGGATTCAACTTGATGGCAGCTTCTTCAATTGTGCCACCCCACGGACGGACCTGAGGCCGTGTGCATCGCCCTTGACACAGTCTCCATGACACCAACCTCACGCCTTTTCCAATATTTGGTCCCTTCCTCTCCACGGAAAAGCTGGATATCACAAACGTCTTGTGACCACTGAAGGACTGAACATTGTTCAGAATGAGGTCTTCTTCGCCTCCCTGACGTCGACAGTAGAACTTCACCCTGCCGACTTCGAGAGCGAACGAACGCTTATGCGCGCTATGTACGCAGTTTGAGAATTGGTTGCTGGCTCCGCAGGATCTCGGAGCACGAACGGGAAGTTTTGCTCACTACGATTCATTCACCCAGATCTCCGTTGCAGCTCGCCTGGGATGCCAGCTGTGCGATCAATTGGAGCACGGCATCCTCTGGTCCCATGTTAAAGGGACTAAGCAAGCTTCAATCAGCAGAAGACGCTCGCAAATTCTTGGTTGAACAAGAAGCTGAATATGCCAGAAAGTCTACGGCATCTGATAAAGATGCACTTGGGATGCCCCGGGATGACTCGTCGCTGGGATATTCGAAATGTGGGATGGCGGATTTCCGTGCCAGAAGATCTATACTTACAAATGAAACGTGGCTTGGGTCAAGGCGCGAGGATACGCGCCTACTTCATGCTCTGCGTTTCGAAGGGTAGGTGGCCCCCCAAATGAAAAGCCTGTATAATCGCTTACGACTACCGGTAGAGGAAAGTGCGCTGACAGGAACGAGATGGCATGGTAAAGAGCTGCCTCCCGAATTTGACGCAGCACTGGCGCGACCCTAGCTCACTACCTGTTTGACATCACATGGCAGTCGCTGCAAAACACTTTCGACTCTGTCCACTATTGCTGGACCATCCCGGTTGATTGAGATCAGACAGTAGACAAAAGCCTTGACCGCCAAACTCATAGCCTGTCACGAGGCGAAAGCTTTGAGTATGCTGCATGGAGATGTGGTGGGAATGCTGGTTAGGCCACGAAGTCGAGTCTCTGCATACGAATAATACCCAGTTTGAAACCTCCTGTGAGAGTGTCTGTATGAAAAGTTTGCTACGCGAGCCACAGCCTCAGTCCATTCACGCGTGGTGGCAAGCGAACATGGCCAACTACACCAGAGGCAAGCTATCTTTTGTGAAGGACCGACTACCGGCAGTGTCGGGGCTGGCCAGTGTCGTCCAACAGCGGACTTCGACACAACGTCTCGCGATACTAGGAAGTCATTTGTCACCTTCATCGCTGCTCAAGTCAATACCGAGAGTCAGGACCCATTTGGTCGCGTGCTACCAGGATGCCTCCTAACCCTGGGTGCCCCAGTTCAGACCGCGAAGTTAACCAAGTCCGGCAAAGAAGGCAGATGGGACGTCCGGACGTCTTCTGGCCGCTGTCACCGCGGAATAGGAGGCTCCTTTGACGAGAAGATGTTCTCGCTAGGCCTAGTTCCCGGTCTTGAAGATCTGGAGTCCATGAAGTTTTCCGCCATCGAGCTCGGCGTTTTCGACTCTGGCGGGCGTGGTCATAATGGAAGAGAATGCGGGCTCCTCCTCCCGACCGACAACGGACGCTTCCGCCGTGTCGACCTTCTCAATAGCTCTCGATGTCTTATTGCAACCGGCGATTGATTCTGGGAAACTCGAAAATCTTCCGTCTTCCAAATTTCCAAATAATAGTGCAGATAATATGATTATTCAGTTACGGAGGATTTCTACCAAAGGGTCCGCCCTGCGCAGTCTTCATATTCGCGTCTGCCGTGCAGGCTCGGCAAGGCTGCGTTACGCTTGCACACCGCGATAGCTGGAAAAGAAAGCGACCAAAAGATTAGCCCTGTGTTCCGAAACGACATCTCTCGCAGTTCCACCTCTTTCGCCCGCGATTCCATTTGATGTCCCTTTGCCCTTTCGTCATCATATCCTTTGCTCCTCCTCTTGGATTCCCCCCCAATTTTAGCTCTTCTTTCACCATCATTTGTTCGACCTATGACACATACACGAGGCTGAACGTGATGCCCGCGCACCCCGCCGTCGCACCGTCTTCGAAGAACACGGGATTCCCATCGGCCGGGCACGTGGCGAAGTCGCGGACGCCGATCGCGCAGTCGAGCGTGTTGGCCGCGGTGACGCTGCAGACCAGGGCGTCGTAATTTGCCGTGCCGGGCGGGAACATAAAGACCTCGGTCAACTCGGTCGTGGTGGTGACATAGGCGATGTTGCCGTCCGCAGTGGTGACGAGGTTGCAGTCGTCGTTGAAGGTGAAGTCGATGGCGTCCCCCTCGGACGAGTCAAAGTCGAGCCTTTCGACGTTGTTGATGTTGACCTCGGAGACGTATTCGCCGTCATAGGTCGTGCCGCTGTTGCTGGAGATGAGGATGAAGGTTGGTTGAGCTCCGCCAGGATTACAGCCAGTTGGGGTCACGGTGGGCGTGGTTGTGGTGGTGGTTGTAGTAGTTGTAGTAGTAGTTGTTGTTGTCGTCGTCGTTGTGGTAGTAGTGGTGGTCGTGGTAGTGGTGGTTGTAGTTGTTGGGATAGTGGTTGTTGTCGTCGTAGTTGTAGACGGTGAGGTTGTCGTCGTCGTCGTGGTTATAGGAGCAGTGGTCGTGGTTATTATGATCGTCGTGGTGGTAGCCGTGCTCGTAGACAGAGTTGTTGGCGTGGTTGAAGCCGGCGTGGTCTTGGAACTGGAGGTAGTTGGCTCAATCGTCTTACGAGTCGTTGTCCAGAAAGTCTCTATTGATGACCAAGAATTCCATCCTGGTGGACCTGGGGGAGGAGCATTGTGCACAGGGCCATCAGGGCCCTTAGGTGCACCAGGCTCGGGACCCTGAGGCCATGAAGCTGGGCCGGTGCCGGGAGAGCCGTGGAGATCGACGTCGGTGGGGGGGGAGAAGATCAAAGAGCCCAAACTGGCCTGGGCGAGAGGAAAGGTGAGCAAGATTAAAGGGAGCAGAGGACGAGTATAAAAATGCATATTGTAAATGAGTGACAGAACGAAAGACCAGAATGAGTGGCAGATTGGTCGGCGGGGTTAGGCAATGTATGTCAAATATTATCCTACTATTGTGAAGGTTGAAAGAATGAAGGGAGGAAGTAGATGCTATACTTGTAGACTAGGCCGATATATACAGGAAAGGAAGCATTCGTGAAGGGGATGTGATCATTTCGTTTCAGCCGCGTAAGTGCATCACAGTATAGGGGCCCAAGGAAGTTGTGCTTTCCCATTAGGAATTCCTTCGAATCATGTACCGGCGTCTCTGGCCTGGCTGCAGAGTACGGAATAGTCATTATGCCCTCATTGCCTGTGCGGGTTGAGAACGAGGCTGGCTTTAGAGCGTAATAGTCCAGGAGAAAAGATAGAAAAGTGGTTAGCGGCGGAGTGGAGATCGGCCACTAGTCTCAACGGCGCGCCAAGCGGACGATGATGCTTGTGCCAAATCTTAAACGATGCGAGATTGCAGTAACGGAGGAGGCGAGCGTGTTGAGAGCGGATGGTAAGTGGCTATAGAAGCGACACACTCTGGTGAGTGCCACGTAAGCTCTGAGAGCATGCGAAGTCGGAGAACAATAACACATGGACGCCGCCATAGGCTCTGACTCTGGGGCTATTAACTTGATCTCCTATCCATTCCTTGTCATATAACTCTGTCTGACCATCCGAGACGCGAGGGACATTGGTTTCGAGGTCGAAGCCGATCTGCAGGAACGGCATTCTCATCCGAGTCCATGAGGTGGCGGTGTCCTTTGCGCATTGAATCCTTGCACTCCTTATCTCGCAACTGACTTGGAACAACGCCTTCCGCCTAAGGCATTGAAGCACTGGTTTGGTCTGAACATGTCTTTGCATCAGTCATTGGTTGATTCCCGGCCTGAAGATTGTCTAAAGGCTGTATTCCCAGATGCATGAGCCTCTCAAGCCCCGTGTGCCATCAATCAAGCATTCCCTGCAGCTAATGCGTGTCTCAAGCAGATTTTCCTTTGCCCTTCATGACTTTGCGCCGCTGAGCCATCATATGAGTGTAGAGAATATAGCTCCCTGGCACGTAGATGAGTAGGACAGTCTTCAACAGCAAATCGAGCCGCTGTCCTTGTTTCGCTGCCGGCGTCAAAGCCAGGTACATGAGCAGACACTCGCTGGAGATGCCAATGGGGTACAGGACAAAAAAGGTATTGTATCGGAGCCACGTGAGGCCAGCAGGAACTCTTTCACTTATGGCTGCCTTCCACACAAAGAACCCATATCGAATGACTTCTGTGGTTCCCCAAGCCATCAAGATCCCCGCAAAAGCTATCGGCCCAGATGTCGACCCCGGTACCGACTTCCCAAAGCTGTTTGTCGTCGAGACGATCTCTGGAAACATGTCTAGAACAACCCAGACCAGTAATATCCGCGACGCGACCTGCATTGCGGTTGTAATGGGGCTGGCCCGGACGAGGCCGACGGCGGCATGGAGGATTTCGAGGAGGGCTATGGTCTGGGTCCATTTGAGAAAGGGGAAGAGAGCGTCGAGAAGACCCTGAGGCTTTCCGAGAGCGAACAGCGTGGGAATGAGGAAAACGGCTCGGAGGGTTATGACGGACCACAGGCCGAGGCAGATGGCATTGTATGCTAGCAGGTAAATCTGCGTTGCGGATGCAGAAGCTCTTCGAGGCGTTTGGTTCTCCATAGTGTATCTCGTAACTCTTAGTTACGGGAGAGAGAACCAGAGAGAGGAATATGAAGGGAGACACAAAGTTCAGATCCTCCCTCGGAGCTGCCCCAGCATTATGGTCTGCGACAGCGAGGGTCACGAATTGAATGGAGACGCAGATACAAATGGCGAGCGAAATTGACTCTGTCGCGGTCTCCATTGCGGGCTTGGCCTTCCAGAGACTTGGCAGCGGGGAGGCTACGAGGCTAGTCGGGAGCCTCGCCGAATATTTGTGAGGCGGTTGTGTGCGTCATACCTCTGATTTTCTGTGCGCCTCCCTCCGCGTTGCAGCCAGAATCCTACTCGTATTGCGCCTGGACCATCCTCGCAATCTTAGGGTGAGGGACTGAGAGGACTGATCAGCTCACGGTCGCATCACGCTCGTTTGCATCCAGAGATCCCTTTTAGCAGGCCAGACCAAAAATGCCCCCCATCCCGCCGTCGCGTCTGGTCGCGCTGCAGTCCAACGCCCAGAACATCCGCAACATCTGTATTCTCGCACACGTCGACCATGGCAAGACGTCTCTCACAGACTCACTTATTGCTACCAATGGGATCATCTCCCCCAAGATGGCAGGCAAGGTCCGCTATTTGGACTCACGGCCGGACGAACAGATACGGGGAATTACCATGGAGAGCAGCGCCATCAGTTTGTACTTCAGCATGATGCGCAGACAAACGGAAGGCGAAGAGGCAAAGAAGGAGGAATACTTGATAAACCTGATAGACAGCCCTGGTCACATTGACTTTTCGTCAGAGGTCAGCACGGCTTCCAGGCTGTGCGATGCCGCAGTCGTCCTGGTTGATGCCGTCGAAGGGGTGTGTTCGCAGACGGTGACGGTGCTTCGACAGGTATGGTTAGAAAAGCTGAAACCATTGCTCGTGATCAACAAGATTGACAGGCTGGTGACCGAACTAAAAATGACCCCGGGCGAGGCATACTCGCATCTGGAGAGAGTCCTAGAGGGCGTGAATGCCGTCATAGGAGGCTTCTTTCAAGGCGAGCGCATGGAAGAGCATCTAATGTGGAGAGAAAAGCTTGACCGGGAAAGGGCGGCTAAAGAGCAGCAAAGGCAGGATGTAATGAGCGAGACTGCTTCCGAGGCAGACCTGGACCAACAATTCGAGGAGCGAGATGACGAGGACCTCTATTTCGCTCCCGAGAAGAACAATGTCATCTTCGCCAGCGCAATAGATGGGTGGGCATTTACTGTCCGTCAATTCGCGGGCATATATGAGAAGAAGCTAGGTATCAAAAGATCCCTTTTGGAAAAGGTCCTGTGGGGTGACTTCTATCTGGATCCAAAGACCAAAAAGGTGCTCGGTCAGAAGCACCTGAAAGGAAGAAATTTGAAACCAATCTTCGTGCAACTTGTTTTGGAGCCTATCTGGCAGGCCTACGACGCCACGGTTGGCATCAATGGCGCTCGGGGCGATCCAGCACTGTTGGAGAAGATAACGAGGTCTCTGTCTATCAATTTGCCCGCCCACATCACGAGGTCGAGGGATTCCAAAGCCATTTTACAAGCCGTCTTTTCCTCGTGGCTGCCACTCTCAACAGCCCTTCTCGTCTCCGTCATCGAGTACTTACCAAGCCCTCCCACAGCCCAAGCCAGTCGGTTGCCCGAAATGATTGAGGATCTGGTCAGTTCAAAGAGTATTGACCAGTCCTTGAAAGACTCCATGATCAATTTCGACACTTCTGGCTCTGCGCCAGTCGTGGCATACGTGAGTAAGATGGTTGCCATCCCCGAGAGTGAACTCCCCTCGAAGAGACGAAAACTGGGCACCATCTTAACGGCAGACGAAGCCAGGGAGCTCGCGCGAAAGAAACGTGCTGAGATCGCCAAAGCGCAGGCCGAGACAGAAGGCGCGACTGGTGTGGACACTATAACGAATGGACTAAATACGGCCAGGATAGGCGAGGAGACCGACGAGGGGATGACGCCAGAGCAACCAGAAGATCCGGAACATTTGATCGGTTTTGCCAGACTTTACTCCGGGTCACTCTCGGTCGGAGACGAAGTCTACGTTCTGCCACCCAAGTTCAATCCAGCCTTCCCTCACGCTTCGCCAGAGCCGAAGAAGGTACCCATCACGGCTCTCTATCTCCTCATGGGCCGATCACTAGAGCCGCTGGACAAAGTACCCGCAGGAGTAGTCTTTGGGATCGAAGGGCTGGAAGGCCACATTCTCAAGACCGGGACGTTGTGCTCGCAACTAGAAGGGGCCATCAATTTGGCCGGTGTTTCCACGCTCAGCCAGCCTATCGTCAGAGTTGCACTGGAACCCACGAACCCGACGGACCTGAACAAGATGATCAAGGGGCTAAAACTGCTCGAACAAAGTGATCCTTGTGCTGTCTATGAGCAGATGGAGAGTGGAGAGCATGTCATTCTGACCGCCGGGGAGCTGCATCTCGAACGGTGCCTGAAAGACTTGCGGGAGCGATTTGCAAAATGTGACATCCAGCCTGGCGAGCCAATCGTGCCATATCGAGAAACAATCGTGAAGGCCGAGGAGATGGAACCGCCGAAGAACAAAGATCTGCCCAGAGGGACGGCGATCGCGGTGACGGCATCCAAGACCCTCTCTGTCAGACTGAGCGTGAGACCTCTGCCGCAGAACGTAACGGAGTTTCTCATCAACAATGGAGGGTCGATCAGAAGACTATACGCAGAAAAGCAAGCACAGGAGGAAGAGACGACGAAAGACTCTGCCGATGTTGAAAAGGAGGAGATAGTCGACCTAGGCAACGACACCGGAGGGCGGGAAAGGAGCCACCTCTCCCTTCAAGAGTTCCGAGATCAGCTTCAGGCAGCATTCGACGAGGTCAAAGAGGACAAAGAGGTCTGGGCAAAGGTGGTGCCTAGGATATGCGGGTTTGGTCCTCGGCGGGTCGGCCCCAATCTCTTCATCGACGCGACGGGAGAACACACCTGTAAGCGATTCCTGTTCGAGCAGCACGAGATCGCCGAGAGGGAAGGAGACCCAAACGGGACCGGGACCAAGAGCAGCAATCCCGACGGGGTGGAACACTCGTCGCCCAAGCAGGATTTCTCCGACACAATCGCATACGCGTTCCAACTGGCGACCTCGCAGGGCGCGCTCTGTCGCGAACCCATGCAGGGCGTCGCCGTCTTCCTCGACGAGATCAGTCAACAACAGCAACCGGCACCGGCCACCGACCTGTCTCCCAACAACGGCGGCGGCAGCGACCCGACCTCGTCGGCGGCAGTCGAGTCGGGCCGCCTGACGGGCGAGCTCATCACGTCGGTGCGCGAGACCATCCGCGCCGCCTTCCTGGACTGGTCGCCGCGCATCCTGCTGGCCATGTACAGCTGCACGATCCAGGCGACCCCGGAGGTGCTGGGGCGGGTGTACTCGGTGCTCACGCGCCGGCGGGGGTCGATCCTGTCCGAGGCCCTGCTGGAGGGGACGCCGTACTTCACCATCAGCGCCAAGCTGCCCGTGGCCGAGTCGTTCGGGTTCAGCGAGGAGATCCGCAAGCGGACCTCGGGCCTGGCGCAGCCGATGCTGCAGTTCGTCGGGTTCGAGGTCGTCGACGACGTCGACCCCTTCTGGGTCCCGCGCAGCGAGGAGGAGCTCGAGGACCTGGGCGTGCACGGGGAGCGGGAGAACGTCGCGAAACGGTACGTCGACGGCGTGCGGAGGAGGAAAGGCCTGCTCGTCCGGGGGACGCGGGGTGTCGGGAGAGACGCCGAGAAGCAGAAGACTCTCAAGACCAATTGAGACAAACCATGCTCGCCGTCCAGGCTGGGGCTAGAAACAGATACCTGGAACATGCCGCAACTAAGTCAAATACAATTCCGGCTAAAAGGCTTTGTCTTGAATGCGTAGATGCGAACCCCACATTTTGCTCTATCACTATTCCCATCTGCAATTTAATCCCCTTATATCGCCTTTATCGTAATGTTGTGAATGCCTAGTCACGTAGGCAGACATCCCAGCGTGTTCAAACATTCGGGCATGCGAATCATGAGGACCCTAAGGCTCCTAGCCCTCTGCAACGTGGGTGTTGGTTGGTGCCATCACCCACGAGGCTGAGGTTGTCCCGTTCCCATTCGCCTTTGCACTTTTCATACGTTGCTTCCCTCAGACCTACCCGTTGGAGATGGTCGCCCAAGCTGTTTGGTGCTCTTCTGGCCTATCGTTCCATGAAGGCAGATATGTCATGTCCAGCCTCCCGCGCGCGCGATGGCGTCTGTTCCTGTTCTTGCGCTTGCGCTTGCCTCCCCGTGCCTGTGGCCTGGGATGACTGCAGTCCTGGTGAGAGCAATTCCGATTGCCTTTTTCCGCAACCCATGACGTCGGCATTGGACATGAAGAATCGAGCTCGTGTTGACGACGGCGGCGAGTGCTTCCATAACCTGTACTGCGCCAATTTCTCGACCTCTCCAGCATGCAGGCCTAAGCTTCATAACCCGGTCGACAGAACCCCGCGCGGGTTCCTTCGTTGCATTCGCCATCCTGATGCTGCGTAGGTGGATATACCGTGCTCTCGAGTTCGCGGGCCTCGCACATCAGCCGTTCGGAGGGTGGTACAGACCGGATATTCGATGTATTCCAATGGAACCGGCCATCCGTCGGCAAAAATCCTTGTTCTGTGCGCACGGAACCTCATTTTCTTCTTTCATCGTTCCAGACACTGTCCTCCTGCTTGATTGAGAGGGATGGATTGCGTTCCGGCAACATCTTCAAGGCCCATCTCGACGCTTCGATAATGTTTCCAAGAGCCTCCCGCAGTGTAGTGTGCAGGGATGCTCCTTCCCCAGCACCTTCGCCATCAGAGGCACCGCGTCATGACATAGTTTCAACGCTTCTTCATGCTGCCCTAGCTTGTTCAGTGCCCAAGCTAGATTATGCATACTTGCCAGTGTGTCTGGATGTTCCTTGCCTAGCACCTTCTCCATCAGTGGCACCGCTTCCCGACATAGTTTCCACGTTTCTTCATACTGATTCAGCTTGCCCAGTGCCAAAGCTAGATTACTCATATTTATCAGTGTGTCTGGATGTTCCTTCCCCAGCACCTTCTCTCCGCGTTGGAACACCTCCTGAAAGATTGTCTTGGCTTCTTCCAGATCCTGTAGTGCGTAGAGTACCGCGGCGAAGTTATCCATCGAGGTCAGTGTTCGAGGATGTTCTTTTCCCAGCATCTTCTCGAAGCCTTGTACTGCTTCCTGGCACATGCTCTTCGCCTCATCGAGCTGCTGTAGACCGCGTAATGCGCAACCTAGATTATTCATGGTTTCCAGTGTCTCTGGATGCTCTTTTCCTAGCCGCCTCTGCCGTACCTGTAATACATCTCGAAGTATCTTCTCTGCCTCCTCACATTTCTCTAACCCAAGCAGCATTATGCTTAGGTCACTAAGCATCTTCAGCATGAAAGGATCCTCCTTTCCTACTAGTTCCCCAGTCATCTCTAAGGCTTCTCGTTGTGTCTCTTCTGTCTCCTCAATCTTTCCTAATTGGTTCAGCGTGAAAGCAAGAGCACCCATCGACTGCAGCGTTTCGACATTCTTCTTTCCTCTTGCCCTTATCCTCAGCTCCAATATTTCCCGATATGACTTCTCCGCCTCCTGATACTTTCCCGAATTCAGTAATGCTCTCCCCAGGTTGTCCATACTTTGCAATGTGTGATGATGCCTCGCTCCAAGCACCTTCTTTCTTACCTTCAGTACTTGGAGAGCCAGCTCCTCTGCTTTCTGCCATCGACCTTCGCTGGAGAACACTCCCAGGAGTTCTTGCGCTAGTGAGGCGAGTGGTATTTCCTTCAGCTGCAACTCTTGAACCAAATCGCCGTAGTCGATGTTCATTTCTAACAAATGCGCGATTAAATGCCGTCGGAACAAGGATCGTTCTTTGTCGCGATTAATCCGACAAACTGCCGCAAGGAGGAAGAACAATGTGCATCGTCTCCAGACTACTTTCATCTCCTCTCCAGCTTTTCTCGCACGCCACTGAACCAGATTGTGCATCGTCGTTGCTGACCATTCGCCATCTACTTGGCGAAGCAACCCATAGCGCATCAACGGTTGAGTCGCTTGTCGGTAGTGAAAGTCATCCCAACCAATATTGTGGCGTATGACCATGCATTGAAGCCACTCGGGTATTCCATCTTCAGATAATTCGCATTGATCAATCATGTCACTCCACCCATCACTAGCAAGTCGAAACATCTCCTTCTCCACCTGTCCTCGGTCAAATTGGGCGAGAAAGGTCAGCATTTGGTTCGTGTGACTCTGTGGGAACTGTTTCTCGATGGCCGCCAAGCTTGTATCCCACACAGTCCATACCGTCTTCTGATAAGACGAGAGACGCTGGAACGGCTTCCCCTGAAGAAGCTCATCCTGATGTCGCTCGAAGTCATCCAGATATTGTCGGAAGACCCTGCGGAAGGCTTCGGATTTCATCACATTCGTGTCGTTGAGAAAATGGGATAGCTGATCGCTCAGATAGAGTCCTGCGAGTTCTGTCGCCAGAGCTAGACATCCAAGCCGACCAACCACCAAGTCACAAAGATCATCCATTCCCTCGAGCTCTTGCTCCCACCCACTACCAACGGTCAGACGTACGTGGGCCTTTAGTAGAGTTCGAGCTTCTTCCCTGCTCAGCTCCCTAGCCTCGACGAGTTTGCAGGATCCTCCAAGGAAGTTTGGAGTCTGTCGGTGCTGACTTGTCACAATGACATGCCCTCGAACCCCGCGCGGGATAATTTCATCGATTCGCCACGATGTGTCGTCCGCGTTGTCAACAATCACCAGCCATCGAGGGTCTCCTTCGTCCCGCTCAGAAAACCAGCAGCACACGCCAGCCACCGCAGGGAAGGCCTGTAGTTCTATGTCAGCGGTTGGGGGGTTCCGGAACGTCAGTCCCAGGGCGGCTGCTCCCCGTTCAAAGCTTATTTGAACTGTCTCCTTTGTTTGAGCGTCAATCCAGAAAACGGGGTTGTAACATTCACGAGTCTCTTCGGCGTAATTAAGTGCCAGCTGTGTCTTGCCCACACCACCCATCCCGTGGATGACAACTGCTTGGAAGTCACGGACAGTTCCGTCAACCTCGGCGGCCCCATCGTCAAAGGTCACCCCTAAAGCTTCATAGATGCTCTGCGAGAGGTCTTGCCGAGCTGTATATGTCTGCACTCGACCCCGAGGCACAGAGTATATCTTCTGAAGTGGAGGTGGGAGGAGTTGCATCAGTGCGTCGCGGACGAGCTCGTATGCTGCTGTCCGTGCCCCAAACTTGTTCAGGCCGGAATGATCGACGTTCAGACCTACACTGTAGACATGTTGAGCGGAGTCGGAGTATGTCGCTGACTGTTCCTTGACACACTGTACTTCCTCTTAGCACTGGCCAAAACTTCCAAACCCTCTCTCACACTCACAAATTTGCTCAACTGAAATAATCTGATGTCGACGAGGTAGGTCGGACGCTCTTCGAAGAAGTTGTATATCTGAAGATTAGGGCCGGTTGCCTGTACAAATTGCTCATGGAGGTCTTGGAGGTGTACCGAGTCGTATGTTATCTCATCGAGAAGTGTTTGATTCGATCCCAACGGCCGTAGAGACCACGCGATCCACGATCCTAGCAGAGTAAAATTGGATCCTCGATGGGGCGTCCCGAGGAAGACGATTCCACGGGTCCGATTCACGATGTCTTGAGAAAGAGCAGCATTCTTTGCCCGTATCAAAGCCTACCGGAATGAGAAACATGCGCGGGTTTCATGGGAGAGGGTATAGCAGGATCCAAGAAGGGAAAGGAGATTGGGGATTTCCCACCTGTTTCACAAGGAGGCCACCATAACTGTATGCGACAAAAACCAAATCTCGCGCTTTTTCCTATTGGATTGGTATTAGTTGCCAGGGAACCGTTTTAGTATTTCATCAAGTATTCAATGATATGTGCATTTCATCATGTCCTGACATACCTCCTCGGTCTGTCGAATTTTGCCTTGGAGGTGTTGGAGTAAATTTCCTGCGAGATTCCATAGCCGCGTCTGAACGGCTCCGCGTTGCCAGTATGAATCGTGGTTATAGAAGAAGATCCGAGTTTTGCGGCGTACCGCCGGAGGGATGTCGGCAATGAGGAGATCGGTAACCCAACATACTCCATCCCCGTCAACTCCCGCTCTTTGACGCGGCCCCGTGGCGTTGCGCGGTGATCGTGCCAGCCATGTGCTGTCTGGGTTTGACCCCAGCCCGTGGACGAAGATGATACTGAACAAATGAGATGGTCAGTCTCGATTTCCTCTGCTCTAAGGTCTTGTCTGCGAAACTCTCTACTCACTCGACCCCATCCCTCCGCAACTGTGTTCCCAGTCCCTGCCGAGAGCCATCCACTGGTACCACCCCGAACTTCGACCGTGGGGCTTGTTCGGGTCGTTGACGAGATGGAATGCCTCGCGTAAGCTGATAGTAGAGGAGGAGGGTCGCTAGCAGGATGACGGATGTCCATCCACCCGCCACCGCTGTGGGCCAGGACATTGGCAACGAAGAGAGTTTCGGTCAATCCCGTAGCATCTACAGTAGGTCTCCGGCTAGTGATATTGGGGATCTTGGATGGAGATCTGATGCTGGCAGTCGCCTGAGCTCTTCGTCATCAAGTGCACCGATTCTGCGAGGAGGTACATGGATGCAGATGCAGGGAAAGTGCGATGGCTGCTTGCTGGTCAGGCTGCGCACATGAGGCCACTCGTGGTCGCGTTACGAGGCTAGCCCCTCAGCCTTATCAGCCTTATCAGCCTCACAGCCACCCACTAGCCACCGAGCAGGGCCACATCCTACATCAACACCGACCCTTTTCCTTTTAACACCCATTGCGCGCTTTTTCTTCGTGCCGTGTTCGATCCATCAGTCTACGCGGACCAGAGAGTAAGGACTCAGACAACCAGCAACGTCTGTTTGCTATACGACAACAGCATCCGGAGTCAGTTCCTTGAGAATGTCGAGGACCGACTGTACACCTTCCTCCGATGTTCTCGCTAGACCGCAGACAGGGGCGACGCCAAACCTCCCCAAATGACTTCTCGCCGCGGCCACCCTCTCCTTTGAACCTTCCAGATCATCTGGGTACACGAGGCCGAGGTAGACGGCGACGTTCTTGTCCTCCAGCCCGGACAGCGCGGCGTACGGCGTCGGGTCCTTCCACTCGGCCAGACAGCCAAAGTGAATCCACTGTAGCTGTCTGCTGGCTTTGGCCTTGGATATGATCCGGTTAGCCAGTGTGACCATGACAGACATATCCCGTGGCGCTAGGACGGGCTTATTGTTGATATTGCCCATGCATATGTGCAGACCCGTGTATGCCTCCCCTGGGACCTTTCCTATCAAGCCGGCGTACTGGCTGGAATACCGCTCCATGGCATCCTCCTGAGGCGGGTGGAAGTCCTCTCTCAGCGCCCCCAGGTAGGAAGATGGGTCTTGTTGGGCTTCGTTTTTGATGTAGTCACTCGCAATATCGAATTGAACAGCGAGATCCTCTGCGGGGATGGCCGCTGTGATCGCCTCCGTCTCCTGCAGCATGGCTTGGTAGGCGAGATCCTCTACAAGATATTGGAATGCAGGCTTGACGAAAATGGCCAGACTCGAAACTCCCGGCAAACACACCTGGAAGCGGACGTGCTTCTCGATTGTGCCGTCTTCTCGCAACTTGCAAAAGACCTTATATGACTCGACGGCGTCCTCAGCATATCCGAGCTTCCACGAGGTCGACTTGATGGCATCACGGAGCTGTGCAACATCCTCGGCCGGCATCTCCTTCACCGGCAAAGGGTCGTATTTCTCGTCATACTCACGCCAGATCCTACCAATCGCCGGGTTTTCCGTGGCTTTCTTTTGCACCAGGCCGATGGTGAAGTTCCAACGCCATCCTGGTTCACCGTCAGGGATGGCATTAAGACGCCCTTTCAGAGCTGTGGAACATTTGGAAAATGCCGTGGTGGCATCGGGGGCTGGGAAACTGCCCACGAGATGCACGGGGGCCACCTGATACGGTGACATTGTGAATGAGATCTAGGATGTCCTTCTCGGGTTTTGGGACCGTTTGTTCGATCAAAACACCAGGTGTGTTATCTGACAAGCAAAAAGCGTGTGTGCAGGGTAGGTGTGATCCAATACCCGTCGGTGTGGAGGAAAATGAGTAATGGAACCCTGCCTCTGGATCAAAGATTCTACGGCCAAAGGATCCACGAAGAGAGAAACCATTTGAGGATAGTAAGTACCGGCACCAATCCCCTTTTGACGCCGCTTGCATGCGCGATCTCGGGATGCAGTGTGCTGGTCCAGTCGTGCGTCGAAACAGCCCGAGGATGGCCTGCTACATCTAAGCGATGTGCTGCAGGTCTCGATGGGTCGTTTGAGCATGGTGGCCCCCAATTGAAGAAGTGAAACAAGCTAACTTAATATTCTTCACCGGAGTATGCAGCTCAACTTTATGTACATCTATGCTTGTTCCGTCGAGGGCCTTGTGTCGTTTTACAGAACACAACGGTCAATCTTCGACGAGAGCGAGCCAAAATTGGCCATGGGAAGGTTTTTTAAATCCTCAATGTTACTCGTTAGTCTGGCAGCATACCATGACTAAGGAGGCATCACTCCGTACTAGCTTTTGCATCAGGATCTTCTCCTCTTGGATGACCCCCACGCTGCATGATGGGCGATTTCGCCATCCGCTCCCAATCATGGAGCATTTCCGTGTTCTCCTTGGACAAGCGAACTTCCTCGCCTGCGCGATCTACCAACTCGGCTTGGTATGCCGCCGCAGCTTCTTCGAAGGTCGTCAGTCCGGCCAGGGCATCCTTGTACTTGAGGACCAGGCTTCTGGCATCTGCTATGCCGTGATTCAAACCTTGACCTCGCTGGAAAGTCATGGGATGACCAGCATCGCCGGCAAGGAGGATCCGGCCTCTACGGGTATCCCAGGGCCGAGGAATCCAATATGACAGATTATTGCTGTGGACCTTTGTTCCTTCAGGAATCCACAGGTTGGCGGAGCGGAAGGGCTCGCCCATGGTTTCAGCCTTGGCCTTCAAGTTGGCCAGCGAAGTTACCTCTTCCCCTTCTTTCTTGTGCCATGTGGTTTGCAGTTGGAAGACCCAGGTTGCCGGATCATCAGGGTCGGGCACATCTTGGACTATTCTGGTGGTTAGGATTCATGGCATTGTGAAGACAAAACCACTGCGAGAGGCGGATGCTTACTCGAAATCCACTGCCAATAGCCATTGGGGTGCATGCCCATGGCCATGATGGGATGAGCCTGGCGAACGAACTTGGCTTTCTCGGCATCATTGTAACAGACATGCAGATTAACAGCGGAATAAGGGACGCTGCATGGCTGGCCCTCTTCTCCAAATATGATATTTCTGACCGGGGATTGTGCCCCATCAGCTCCAATCAGTACGGTCCCGGTGGCTTCGGTCCCATCCCCAAAAATAGCTGTCACAGTCGAGCTACCATCATCATAGGTGATATCGACAAGCTTTTTATTGTACTTTGAAGATTTGGAAGGTAGGGTCAGCTTTCATGACGGCGCCCGACGAAGGTGGACGGTGAGCCACAGAAATTTACCTGGACATCTATGCCCTCCGAGCACAATTTCCTGAACCGCCGACGGGAAACGCGATACATGCGCAGCAAAGGGATATTTTTCATCACCTCACCAGTCTGGCCGTTGATGGCTGGGAGATGACCAGGATCAGGTGGAACAAAGGTCGGGTCGACAGCAGCGGTGTAGACTCGATCGAATAGGTCTTGGGGTAGACAATCGGCGAGCATCGGCAGGCCCCATTGTACTGACATGCCCCATTCCCGCGGTCGGTAGGCTGTGGCAGAGACTTCAGACTCGTAGATGGCATAGGAGATGCCAATCTAACAAGAGACACATGGATCATTGTCAGTCAAGGTTGGCCTATTGCTGTCTTTGCCGCCCCAACTATCCGTACCTTTTTCAAGCCCTGGGCAATGAGGAGGCCGACGATGCCTAGTTATGAGACTCGCTTAGCTTGTTTCATGGCAGATGACGCCCTCAATGCCAGGCATGTCCAATACGACGATAGGCGAGCCGAACAGAGGACCGCGTGACGCCAGCCCAACCATACCTGATCCTATAATGAGAACGTGAACCGGATTTTCCTGGTCAGTCATCCTGCAGATGCACTCTTCTCTGCCAACAGAACGGTCCGAGGGGAAGAAGGGTGGGGAGGGCGACGCAAAGGATGATCAAGCAGCAGGGAAGGGCGGGTACGGAAGGTTTGATTCGAGAAAGTCCAGCTTTTATTGAGAGAGCGCAGTCGGCAAAGGGTCTGAAGTCAGTCATCTGAGAGCCCTTGATGACGCCCAGGGTCGTGGGGTTGTTCATTGGACATGGATCTGGGCCGAGCTTCGTCCAGTTGAGTGGATGAGCTGGCAGACACTCGAAGGGAGGGGTTGAGCTGCAAGAACATTGTGATAGCGGGCAGGAGCTTGATTGGTCTTTGAATCAAGATTTGGACGACACGTCAGCGGAGAGGATATAGAGATGTTCATGTGCGAGTGAGGAGCAGAGGTTGGCATCATTGGCATCCCACTCGAAGGTAATATGTTGATGGAATAGTCTAGCTACAGGCGTAGCCTCGTTAGTTCGTCCGCCTCGTCTAGCGCCTTGACTTCAACACCGGAGTGAAACACTCTTCCCTGCCTAACTAGAGCCAGTTAGCTGCCTGGAAAGGGCTTCTAGCCATAGGCAGAGTACTTGTGGAATTATTGGGACGCTGAGACTGCCGGAACGGACCCTTACGGGCCGCCTAGGGAGCATTCACCCATTGCCTAAGCCCTATACAACGACGATGAGCAGCCTAGGATTTAAGCGATGTGGCTAGTTACACCGCCGATGGGACTTGCACAACAACCAACAGCCATCGTGCTTACCCATGGGCTCCTCCTTACATTTCCGGACGAGGTCCTACCATTTCAAGATTTTGCACGACCTTGAACTTCTGACTCTGTGTTTTCATCCTCTGTGGTCTGTCTCCCCACTGGGGAGTCCGTGCTTCCAACCAATCCAAGTTCTCGCACATTGTTTGCTACCACAGCACCAAACTCTAAGAGAGTGTCATTGACTCTTCGCGATGGACCCTCTTCAAGGCTGGCTCCTGCTTGTGGGGGGCTAGTTGGTGGAAGGAATACATTACACCTCGAAACGCCACCTTGGGCTTGGTCCAAGGTCTTGTCCGTCACATTGACCCTTTGCCGCTTGAAGAGTCAAGTGGTGACTCTCAGGATATGCCAGCACAAGGCCCGACCTCTGTTGATATAACTGGATCTTCAGACGCGCCCGCCTCGGAGCCACCAACCGCGGAACAACGTCCGCCAGAAGATCCTGGGCCTGGCCCAAGTTCACACCCTGAACCATCCCCGGAACCAGATCCGAACCAGCCCATCGAAGTTGATGTAGGCTAAATTGCATTGTGCCTTTCGTCTTCAAGGTAGCTGCTTGCTAATCGACCTTTTCCATATCACATCAGAGGTCCGCAGACTTAGATTCTGCCTATGGAGAATCAATGTACACAATCCGGGATCCCCTAGGGACATAAGACAGCTGACGAGAACAGACATAGCGACTTAACGTCATTGGCGTCCAGCATTACTCGAGGTGTCTGGGAATATGGCCGGCGATACCATTCTTATGGTCGATCCCGTAGGTTCTGCCATGCCAAAATCAAGGAAGTGACAACGACACCAGGACTGACGGGTGTCCCAGAGTACGCTTTCCCAAATGACGATGCCGAAGCCGAACGACTAGATATGCAGCATGCCATGCAGACACACCTGCTGGGCGATCGACTGTTCTGGGCCCCAATCAACCCCAACCCGGCCAGAGTCCTAGATCTCGGAACTGGCACAGGTATCTGGGCCATTGAATTTGCCGACATGTTCCCTTCTGCTGTGGTCACGGGCACCGACCTGAGTCCCATCCAACCCGAGTGGGTGCCTCCAAATTGCAGCTTTGAGATTGATGATGCAGAGGCTGAGTGGACATGGGATGAGGGTACATTTGACTATATTCATAACCGCAATTTCGTCTGCGCAATCCGAGACTGGCCGAAACTCATTCGTCAATGTTACCAGTAGGAGCACCTCTTTGTGATAACTCTGCTTTTTCGTGGCAAGTTACTGACAAAGCGACGTGTACAGGTTTGTCAAGCCTGGTGGGTGGGTAGAGTGGCACGAAAAACACCCCTATCTCCTCAGTGATGACGGGTCTCTCCCAAAGGATTCAGCGCTTTTCCAATGGGGAGCCAAATTTTTCGAAGCTAGTACGTGAACAATGATTTCCTTTTCCCTCTTCCCATCTTGTGTTCGCTAGTCAGGGAGACTTTCCACTTACATGTAGGATAGGCATTCAATTCGGAACGGACGCCCGTTCGCCGCAACATTTGAAACGGCTGATGGAGGAGGCCGGGTTCGTGGACGTTCAAGAACACATCCTTAAACTCCCCGTCGGATCGTGGCCGAAAGACCAGCGACTCAAGGAGGTGGGCTTGTTCGAGACCGTCAACATGACCGAGGGAATTCAAGGGTTGACCATCATGCTCTTCACACGTTGTCTGCACTGGACTGCTGCCGAGGTCGAATCGTTTCTCTTGGAAGTCCGCAGGGACGTCAAGAACCGGGCTATTCACAGCTACTATCATTTGTGAGTACATGTTTTCCTAATGACACTGTAAATTGCCGGGACAGAAAATTAACCATGATGAACCAGCTATGTGGTCTTTGGGCGAAGACCGGAGTAACCAGATTTACCACAACTTCTTGCACAAGATTGTTCAAGCGGCTCACAGGACCAAAGCAGACTGCTCTCTTTTCTTTCATTCTTAAGAGGATTTCCCTGAAACCAGCATGGTCTTTTAACTCGGGCAGGTAGGGCTTAATGCGGATCAGGAAATACGATCTCCATTTATATGACCATAGAGCACAATCAAGCAGAATGGGACGACGTAATAAGTTTGGGGGACGAGGCTAAACGTTTGCTCCGCAACGGATTTCTATACCACTTCGACCTTCAGGCACAGCGCCAGGGTCTAGCAGGTGATAACATAGTCAGATCGTAGTAGTGGGAACGTGTAAGGGTAAAGAAGTCTAGAGGAATCTGGCAATCTCCCGGTTCGCCCACAACCAGACTGTGACACAGATGTCTCCGCGTTCCGGAGCCAAAGGCCGACGTTCCTTTCAGTTTTGCTTCATAGGATTTGGTCGTCTCGCGTGGGCGAAACTAATCGAAACATATAAAGGAGGATTCCCATAACGATGAAGCTAGGCTATATTCAGGTGTATCGCTAGACCTCACTTCGGCGAGGACGTACGTATCATTCTCGTGCCCCGTTCTAGTGATGATCCCCAGAAGCCTGCCATTCGCTTTGCGGTTCTCAAGCCGCCTCGTCTAGGGGACAAGGTCTTCCTCATCCTCACCATCGACGGAGGTCCATCTGCCCGTCCTGTAACGTGGTGTGCAGCCTTTTCGGTGTGTCCGGGCTGATTCCAAACGACTCGTGCAGTGTTCTCAGGCCGGTACTGGCTGGGATCGAAGTCTCGAGGAGCTCTCCATTTCTCGGGCGAGTGGTTGATGGTCCAGATCTGCAAGGTTCCCATTTTCGCTGCCACTGGTCTTGCGTACAACGTAGTACTTCCTTGAGTGAATGACTTGATCCGTACACAGTTCACTGTGGCAGCTCCAGCTGGGAACGTATAGCCCATATAGCTCTTAGTCTTCGATAATGCATGAGGCATCGGGGACCCTATCAAGGTCACCGGCATCCCTGAGCAACATAAGGGCCAGAAGTGCGAATAACTTGCGAGATTCCGGGTCGGCGCAATGTCTCTTCGACAACAGCCAGTATATAGGGGAGGTCTGGTCGATCTGACCATGTCGGCAGACGCCCAGGACCAATCACCTCATCTATCTCCCTTTGGGCTTCTTTTCGTAGGAAGCTCTCCTGATAGCTCACCTGCAGGATGATCTTTGGGTCTTCTCCACTTGCGGGCAGAGAGTTGTCATCGGTGTAAATGCCATCAACATGCTTGAATTCGCCCGAATGGTGAAAAGAGTCATGAGCCACAAAGGAGTCGAGCAACAGCACAGCCCCTCAGCCACAACAGAGCATCTTGCCAAGACTGTGGCTGAATCTTCCAAGTCATCACGTGACGGCTGCTTTTGTATCAATTTTTGATGTTTGGCATCGCAGGCCGTCATTTCTTCCCACTACTCCTTGTTCTCTGTGCTACAACCTTGTCTACCTTCACTTAAATGCATGTGGAATGATTCGACTTCTAGCGTCTGTCTGTTGGTGCTCAGTTCTCTAGGTAAAGGTACAAGAATCACGACCACAGATTCATGACTCGTTGACTGAGAAGTCTCCGACTGTCCCAGAGTGCTTCTTCTGGTTTTCTCGAATCTCTCGCGCTTGGAGAGGATAGACAGACCTTGGTCTTCAGGTCTGTTGGGGTCAGTTCACGAACCATGACTTCCTCGCCCGTCGTACCGGGCCAGGTTCTGGCCAGCACATCTTCACACATTCCAGGTCCGGGAACTCACGTCTACGAGAACAACATCCTCGCCTCTATCCTGGGACAATCACTCATCACCCCGGCACCGAACAGATCAGGCAAGCCAACAGTCTCTGTACCCCGTCAAGCCACGGCTATAGCTTCCCTCAACTCATTGCCAAAGGTTGGCTCTGCCGTTCTCTGCCGCGTCACGAGGGTCCGACAGAGGGAACTCGGCGCCTCGATCCTGGCCATCGTCGACCCGTCCTCGTCGGGAGCCGTCTCCGCCAGCGAAATCATCTCTTACTCCCAGATCACCGACGACGACCTCCAATTCCAATGCATCCTTCGGCGCGAAGACATCCGCACGCACGAAAAGGACAAGATCGTCATCAACGACATGTACCGCGTCGGCGACATCATTCGCGCCACGGTGATCAGCTTGGGTGATGAGAGGAACTACTACATTAGTACGGCGGGGAATGAGTTCGGCGTCGTGGTGGCCACGAGTGAGGCTGGCAACGCAATGGTTCCCGCAAGTTGGAAGGAGATGAAGGATGCCCTGACGGGCAAGGGCGAAAGTCGCAAAGTCGCAAAACCTTCGTGAAAGCCCGTGCAACAAACAACGCTCCTCGAAAAGGTCTGGTCTATTTTCCATGTACGAGCCAGATATCGTCATGGCCGAACCCTCGGCAAATACTACAAGTGGCGGGATCTGCGAAGGGGCACATTACCCGGATTACAGCCAGGACGTCCTCAGCTGTATCAACCCGCACTGCTACGCTTCTGTGAGAGCGAAAGAGGGTGTGGTTACACCCTGCTTCGTCCAGAAGTCGCAGCGCAAGCAAATGTGAAGCTCAGCTTGCCTAACCAGAGCAAGCTCACCAGGCCTTTTCAAGCCCTGTCTCGCACCACGCCACGGACAGGAACAAGGCGCTGACTGACAGGACTCTTCAGGCTGAAACTGGGTGAGCGATCCACAGCAATAAAACTCAGTGTCCTGAATGAGATAGGAGACAGAGCTCTCACAATGCAATCACCCAGCGTCAGCTCCGCCCTGCCAGCGCTGAGCCGAGATATTGCTGGGTGGAGATGGAAACGCGAGGAAATTTGGACCAGACCAAGACTGCTTCTCCGGCCTCGCTCTTGAAATTCAGACTCGGGACAAACTCAAAGTCCAATTCGAACTCCGAACATACTATCGGTCACGTCCTCTTCCAAACGCCTCTCCAGGGTCCTTGCAAGAGGTACAGTATGTGCCTACAAGCGCGCCAGCTACCTACCGAGACAGATGAAGATCTCTTCCCACCATTACCTCTTGACATCCACCATCTCCATCTCCTTCTTCCTCCCTCTGTGATTCCACGCTCGCGTGTGCTCGCGATCGACACCATCCTCTTCCCCCGGCTCTTCCATCCTGTTCTTCAACCACATCTACACCTCCTATCCCCCCGCACTCACACGCACACTCACACTCTCCCACAAAAGCCATCCCCACCCATCCAGCCCCCTTACCACTATCTCGATTCTCTTCGTTTTTAGACGAATCCCAAACCTAAGCACCTCTCCAGTATCCATGGTCACGACCCTACTGCAATGTCAGGCTGTGTTCGTCACGGGAGGAATATCAACATCCCCGAAAAAACCCCCTCAACCCCTAGCTACTTCTCTACTTCCTTCCTTCGTACCTTGACGCTCGTCACTGAGAGAAGAGGGCTGAAGGAGAGAGTAGATACGGTGGGCTTGGGGCTTCGGGGGGGAACGGACTCCTCCTATCATCCAGGTCCGACGTCCTTGATACAATGCTTTGGATGACTCGGAAAGAATAATAGGGGAGGAGACATCGACGTCAATCAAAATGACTGTTGCGTGATCGTGCTCTACCAGCGTCCTGTGTCCAGAAACACGCGCCTGCAGATTCCAAAGGTGTACAATTAATGCATTGAGGCTAGAATGAAATGGCGTAACCTGCCCGTGCTTTCGCTTTCGTCTGTTCCCGCTACCACAAGGACAAACAACGAAAGAACTGCAGAATCTCCCGTCAAAAGATAAGTAAAAGGTATTGACGTCGCATCAATACCTACAGTGCTCCTTTCCCGTTTGAAGGCCCCCATTCTCTTCCACAAGCAGTGACAATCACGCCCTCAACGCCTCGCTATGCTCCCTGCACACCGCGATGCACAACTTTGCGTGCCCATGCCCAGTGGCAGCCCTTTTTTCGTTGCAATTCCGTGTAAAAGGGGTATATGTTAATATCAAGAGGTCTCAAACAAAGAACAACCCTCCAGCCAGCTCGCGTTCACCCTTCCACCAAGGTTTGCTTCGGGCCTTTACCAAGCAATTCCAGGGATCTTTGAGCAAGAGCTATCACCTCGCCCTCACCCTCTTCGCCTTCCTCATCATCGGATTCGACATGTTTGTCGGCAATCGTCTTGACCATCTGAATGATGTCTTCGGATTTGGCGACCAAACTGACAAGCTTTTTGTCGTCCGATTCCAGCAGTTGCAGCAACGTCCAGATGGCAATATGTTGAAATGTGGGATCACCACTGCACAAAAAACGCTTGAGATATCCGTGAATGCCACCATTTGGCTCGGTCCAATCGCGAACAAAAATCGAATAGTCGCCAACCTTGGAAGACAAATTGCCCAGGGCAGCGGCACTGTTCCCTTGGACTTCGATGCTTTCCGAATCGGTCAGGGGAATCAAGACATCGAAAACTCCCATGTTGAGCAGATGTGTCTTGAGTTCGTCGCTCAGGGCCAACACGGCGATGCAAGCCGTCATCTCAGACTGTACACTCAATGGGACATGCAGAACGAGATCCTTGCATTTCTGAACTGCCCCCGCCTCCAAGACAAGTTGCTTGTTGCGGTCCGAGCTTGCAGCAAGATTCCGCAAAGTCGAAATGGCATGGCATTGGATCTCCTCATTATCGGTAGAGCCGAGAAGATCCACCAGGGGTTTAAGAAAGCCCGCATCAATGATGGGCGATTCATTCAGAGGGTGAATCGAAATATTGCGGATGCAGGCGACAGCGGAGAGGATAAGTGGTAGATATGAAGACTGAAGCAGACGAAGGAGTGGCTGCAAGCCTCTAGCTCGAACAATCTCCAGTTGGTACTTTTCATCGGATGCCAAGTTTCGGAGAGCCAGTGCGGCCTGACACTGGACCTTGGGAGTGCCCGAGTCCATTAACTGGACCAGTGATTGGACAAGGCGTGGTTCGGTCTGGGCAAGTTTCTTTCTGTTGGATGCGTCGACGGCGATGTTGCTCAGAGCTGTGGTGCAGTAATATTGGACATCCATATCAGGCGACTGAAGCAGTTGAACGAGCACCGGAATGGCTCCGGCATTGACGAGTTGTTGTCTGTTATCATCTGTGTAAAGTTAGCACGACAACGACTGTGAAGCGACATATTCATGCCTACCAGAATGTGTCATGTTGAGCAACGCGCCAGTTGCATTCCTCTGGACTCGCATATCTTTGGACTTTGCCAGCCTTGTCAATGGACCTAAGGCTCCTGACCTTGCGATTTTGGCCTTGTTATCTTCATGGGTAGCAAGATTGGTAATGCAGCCGACAGCATTGCACTGAACCTCGACATTAGGAGACATCATCTGTCGAATGAGTGGAGGTAATCCGCCGAGCTGGACAATAGCGACCTTGTTTTCCGCTAGACAGGTCAGTCAGCAGAGGTCAACGGGATTGATGGGCGGGAGCGTACGATTCACGGCAAGATTGCCCAAGGCTGCACTGGCAGCTCGTTGTACTTCAATGTCGGGGTTTTGAAGGAGGAAGAGGATGGGTTCTAGGGTGTCTCGGTCGACCTCTCTCACATCTGCAACAACCATTAGTTTGTATTCGGATTGCCTGTCTCTTGTCTACAAACCTCGCTCCGTAATCTCGGCAAATGTCAGGCTGGCACTCCGTTGTAGGTCAACATTATCCGAATAAACAAGAGTGCTCAATGCTCGTAAGGGTTCTCCGGAAAAGAAATCTGTCTCTCCTCGCTGTGATCTGTCAGGCCTCGACTCTTCATAGTATAGGGCGTCTGGGAACGTACATTCTCGAGGTATTGGAGAAGGTCCGCAACGGCTTCTCGTTCGCTGTCTGCGAGGGCAGGCTCGTAGAGGTTATCCTTGTTCCGACCTGAAACGACCGAGGTCAGTATTCAGGCATGTTCGGGGAACGCAGCTAAGACAGACCTTGGCAGCTTTTGCAGCAAGCCGACAGTACGTTGCCCATCTCGAGGCGTGGGCCCCGAAGGGGACGAAGCGGTCGAGGGTGGTGCTGTTGTTGATCAAGGGAATTGCGACGAGGCGGGAATGTGTGCTGATGCTTTAGCGGGTGAAGGAGAGGTTGCGTGTGAAAGGCTCATCTGATGGTCATGCTGATGCCGATTGTGATGCAACCTTTGAACGATGCTGGCGAGGCTCCCGATATCTATTATGTTAAGATGAGGGAAGCTTTTGGACTCGGCTCGGATTCGCTGACGCAGGCAATGCTGCAGCGACAGGCACGGCGTCACTGCGCGACCTGCAGGTGCAAGTTCCAATTCAGCACCGGGGTTCGTATGCAGGCAAGAGCAACGAGAACTCCCGGAGCAGAGGAAGTGTGTGTGGCGTGTGACCCGGTCTCAAGGAGCGAGCAGTCGCAGGAGGGAATGGCAATTGCTAGTGGAGGTGGTGATGGTGGTGTGAAGGTGGTCAACATGGAGTTTTGGCGGAAGTGCACGAGTTGAGGAAGCTGCAGACGCAGCGTGTGCCGTGGCGGGTGGTTAGCGCAGGCCGGATGGCTATTGGCGCTGCATCAGATACCTAGGTGCTTGTAGGCTTCCTAGAAGCGCCTAAGCCCCGAAGGCGGACACTGTTAGGCTGGTGCCGCCGATGCGGATGCCCCCCGGAACTGGAGGAGAGCCAACCGCTTACATCTTCAACCCGATCTTCCCCTACATTCTCGGATATTTCCATCGCCCTCGCATTTTCAGCAGACCATAGAGTCTTCTGCGACACCTATTGCCATCCAACCTGCGTCGAGTTGACAGGATGCCTCAGTGCTCTGATCCGACCGCCTCGCACCTACAGCTTCTTCAAAAGAAAACATCCAACTGTCGAGATACCCGCGAATGCTCGTAACCCTCACCGCCAATAAACCTTTCACATGCTTTGCGACGTCATCGGTTGGACAAGGACAAAATTTTTGAATAGAGTAGGCAGGGAGCAGAAGATCACCAAGAACAAGAGAGGAAACTGTTAGGCATTAAAGCGGTGTACTATAAGTATCCTCCTTCAGCTCTCCGGCTCAGGCTATGTTATATGCTATGCCATTTCCTTCCTCCTCCTGCTCGCAAAAATTGCAAGGACGCTGGCCCAATCAGCCGACGATGCTATCCTCATAAATCCTATCATGTATTGGTCATGCCAGTTGTTGTAGTCTTAATCAAAGTAAGGAGATTCGTTGCTGTTATGGCGTGTCTATGCTTTTGGCGTCTCGACTCTGACCTCAGCCGGGCTATGCTTGCGGCTAAACAGCGAGCCTTGCTTGATGACGGGCGAGTAGATGCCCGCCGGCGTCAATGTCTCAGTGGTTGGTCGAAGCTGATCGAGGGCGTTCTTGATGGAGGACTTGATCTTTTGCGATGTCTTGGACGAGTGGCTGGAGGTGGATTCTTGGGAGATCCGACGGGACGAAGTAGCCGAGCTATTCTTCTCAGCTTGGGTGAGGTTGTAGTATCCTGCGTAGAGCATGTTGATGGATTCGTAGGGAATGTTTGGCTCGTTTGGTGGTGGTAGGTTGATATGATGTATTTCTGATACGAGCAAATATGGCTTTGGATGGGTCAAGTAGATGTTTGTGGCGAGGATAAGAATGTGATTACTTCTTGTGCTTTGACAGACTTTGATACAGAACGAGTCACTCGCCTTCGGCCAGTCGATGCGTGGGTTTATATAAGAACCATTTGACCCCTAGACGGAGAAACAAAATTTCTCATCGACTCACCTCTCAAACGTCGGGATTGAAGCCACCCTGGGGGGTTTCATCATATACCCACGATGAATCTCAAATCCCCCTAACTGTTGTCTAGGAAATGGAAACAAAGTCACAACTCGTTCTCCAATCACGATTGATGTTGAATACGCCCGTGGGAGCATGGTGCCCCAGGGCGTGTGCGGTTGTCGTTAGCGGATATCCATGTGTCACGTACAAGAAAAGCGCGTGTCGACCTGCTTTTAGAGGAATTCGGTTTGTCATGAGCGCCCTAGCCAGTCACAGGCCTGAAAATTCTCTGTAAAAATTCTGATTAACTAGGAACTTAGAGGGAAAGCGTCTGTGGGCCAGTCGGAGGGCGTGGAGCTGGCGTCGAAGGCGTTTAGCAATGGGATGTGCCAGTTGTGGGAGGGCGACGTGAAGTGACATCTGCCCCCTTCATGTCGTGCCATTCCATTACCACAGCATATACGACCTCGGGGCAGAGTGCTTGCCATCAATAGTTCCTAGGCGCCATGGCTGTCATACGACTGTGCTGCGATCAGCCCCCGCTTCCAAGCGGTGCCTATGTCGACTGACTGCCTCAGGGGCCATCCATCTCTTCATTGCGGTGGGACAAGTCTTCTGAAACCTGGGCTCTCCCAACAACTGGTAGAAGCTGACCTCAATCAACTTCAAGCGTCATTGCTGCTATATGTCTCATAAGAATTATGTTACAACAATGTCTCCCTTACCCGACCTGACCGCTGCCAGGAGGAATGCTGATGATAAAACAAGTTCCAGACGGAGGACATCCGCCTTCATTAAGGATTCGAACTGCATTACGCCTCGTTGATCGCTCTGGGATTCCCCAGATTTCGGATCCAACATTTCCGGGGCCCTCATAGGATCTTACCACCCAGTCGGCCACTGTTCGAGCCAACGGTGGCTGACAGACTGCTGATTATCGACCATCTCGAGAGAGGGAGTGTCACTTTTGCGTTTTTCTCATTTGACCGAGGCCGAAATGCGCAAGACCCGAGTAACAAGTGTCTCCTTACCACGGTGGCGCGAATGCAAAGGGACAAGAGGCTGACTGAAACTCCACAGTTTGTTTGAAGACGTTGAGCATGAAGATACCCACCCGCGACCAGCCATAAAGGTGATAGAAAGGTTGCACACAATACAAATCACGGGACGAGGAGGCTCAATACCTTCTGCGCTGTCTGGGATCGTCGTACCCGTCATTCTCGTGGTATCGTTTTCTCGAGCCATAGTCGTCTTCACGCCTGCTGCTTCCGTATCGGTCACGGTCTCGATCGCGGTCTCGGTCTCGGTCACGATCTCGGTCACGGTCGCGGTCTCGATTGTCATATCCACGATCTCGTCCTCCGAGGGGATCGGTGTTGCTGCCAGTTGCGCCGCGTTGGTCCCTGCCTCCACCGTATCCATTTCGCCGGTCGTCATAGCCTCCACCATAGCCGCCTCTCCCACCAGGTCCGCTAGGCGCATTGGGGGGAGGAGGTCCATTCTGGTAGCCTTGTCGTCCGCCGAAGCCGCCTCCTCCTTGGTAGCCAATGCCACCTCGCCCACCAAAGCCTCCTCGATCGCCGCGAAACCCGCCACGGAAGCCACCACCACGACTGCCAAAGCCACCTCTGAATCCACCACCACCACCATACCCACCGGGGGGTCCGAATGTGGGCTTTGCAGGAACTTGCTTGGTATATCCTCGTCCACCGAGGCCTCCGCCAAATCTTCTTGGTCTCCAACCTGGGACCATGCGGCCACGCTCAACATCGACAACAACTCTTCGGTCTTTTATGCGTAGGCCGTCTGTCTCTTTGTAGGCAGCTGTAAAGTTGTAAGGAATCTCGAGGTCAGTTCCATGACATCTTACCATTGAATCTCTGGTGTGGAAAGAAGGGTCAAGGGCAGAGGGGTTTGCATAGAAGAAAGTACCTCGCATATCCTTTTCTCTTTCGTAGACAATGAAAGCGTAACCCCTATGAGGCTTTTTGGCTTTCGGCGTGGTCTCATCCTTGACGATTCTGATTCTCTCGATCGGACCGAACCTGCCGAACTCACGCTCCAGGTCCGCTTCTTTCGCATCATAGCTCAGACGGCCGACAAACAGCGTTTTGACAGCATCGCCCTTGATCTTGGGATCTTCGTTTGGTCTGTAGCCCTGAAAATCAGGCTTCTCAATCTCTTGCTGAAGTAGCTTCTTCTCGAGTCTCTTGCGATCGCGCTGTTGCAGCCATGACTCGGTGGCTTCATACTCGTCGGTTGTCTTGTACTCCTCTAGCTGCGGAAGATACGCGGCCACACCAGATAGCTGCGATTGCTTGAGAGCTTTCTCGTCCGGAGCGGTGTCTTGAGGAGGAATGTAGCGGAGGGGAGGTCGGGGTTGGAACAAAGCAAGGAGATTGGGAGGGAGTTTGTCCGTCATCTTCGTGCCACGCCGGAAGAAGCTTTTCTGGAGGGATGCACGAGAGTCATCAATGCGCAAGGGGAAAGAAGAGAAAAGAACACAAATGCGCCGAGTTTTAAGTAAAATTACAGAGGCAGCGGTAAAGGAAGAGAAGGATATGCAGACAAAGGGTTGAAGGAAGCTGAATTCACAGCGCGATCGATGCGGAAGTGAAATTGTTATTTCCTGAACTGCCCCAGGGGAAGATCCTAGATCCAAGAACAGTTTAGTGCCACGTCAATATTCAACAGCCACAGTTGACCAGACCGTCGCCACGACTCTCACGCGCCATGTAGCCTCCATACCTACTGCACAGCACAGAGGCAGGTGAGTATCTGGGATTAGGTTACTATCTCAGATGCCTTGGTGCTACTGTATGCTCTGGTATGGCCGATCTAGTGGAACTGCGACCCCCTGCGAAATGCCTACCTACGGCCCCTGACCCCGTCATCAATCATGAATCCACCATTTACGAGTAATAGGACTAGCGATTCATGAGTGACGCCCAAGCCATACACATACATCCCCGAGCACCTATCGGTGATGGCGCCGCACGGTCGATCCATCAGGCAACAGTGATTTCCTGCGCTGCGATGCTGTTTGATCTCAACAACCTTGGATTGGTGCACCGCCACCCACACGTGACATTATATACCAAAATTGCGCCACAGTCACCAGCCCCACGTCGTGTTCGCTTCTCTCTGGGCGACTCGGGATGCGAGCAAAACGTATTCGTATCTTGGGCGTCGATCCGATGCACCGACGTCGCTTCTTCTCAGTGATCATTTATAGACTCTTCCCCACAACAAGAGTGAAAACAGCCTTGCGGATTGCCTTACAAATCTTGGCAGACATCGCATAGGGACGTCTCCCGAGCTCGTCCAGAAAGCTCTTGCATCAGAGCTGGGCTGATGCTATTTTCCGCAGAATCTTCCTGATCGAGATTAACTCGACAGTTGAGTTCGACGATCCTGGATTACTCGGCAAAAGATTACTGGTCTCTATTTCAGAATATGCGGATGCTTCTCAGGCAGCTTCTTTAAACCTGCGGGGAAGGAACAGCGCTCGACGGTATTTATATCGAAGCTGCTTCCTCCCCCTCGTGCTATCATCTTCTGGCGTCTCATCATAAAGCATTCTGGCATCATGAAGAGCAAAATCAGTCTCACAAGCGTCTGCTGCTTTCTCTTGCTTGGTGGCACGACTCAAGCAGCCCCTCAGCAATACTGCAAACCTGTTGTAGGTTCGCCAGGTTGGCCCTCCGCCTCTGACTGGCACGCTTTGAACAACTCCGTCTCGGGCCGCCTCATCGCTCCTGTGCCTCCGGGCTTGGTCTGTCAGACCAACAGTTCGGTGTACAACGCGCAGGCCTGTGGTCAGGTGCTCGCCCAGTGGAGCAATTCGTCCTTTCATGCCGAGGACCCCTTCACGACCGACTACAACGATGACTCTTGCCTCCCGGATCCTCGAGCCCCATGTTCTACGGCACTCCTCCCAGCCTATGTGGTCAATGCCACCAACACGGCTGATGTCCAAGCCGCTTGCCGATTTGCTTACAAGACTGGTGTTAGGCTGATTGTTAAAGGGACGGGCCATGACTTTCTAGGACGGTACAGACTTAACGATATATCGTTGAAGATCTTATCATACTGACGCAGTGGACAGGTCCTCTGGCCGAAGCTCTCTCTCAATTTGGACGCACAACATCCGTGGCGTCAACGTCACAATGGGAGATTCTCGCGCGAAGCGGTACGGGGGTGTTGCTTCTGTCAAGATTGCCGCTGGCATGCGTTTTGGCGAAATCTACCAAGCCATTTCCTCATACAACCTAACCCTAGTCGGTGGTGCGGATCCCAATGTCGGCATTGGTGGGTGGGTTACTGGGGCTGGACACTCTCCGATCAGCGCCGTCTACGGCCTGGGGGCAGATCAAGTCCTTGAGATGGATGTTGTCACCGCCAATGGGACACATCTGACTATCAACGAAGATTCATTTCCTGGTCTCTTCTGGGCAATGCGAGGTGTAAGTCTCCTCAGACTAGATTCGTATGTCTATACGACAGGACATCTAACTATCAATACCCGTGTCTAGGGCGGCGGTTCCACCTTCGCAGTCCTCCTCTCTGTCACTGTCCGAGCATATCCAGTCCTCCCTGCGGCGGTGTATACATTCAGCTACAACACCACTGCGAACAGTGATACATTCTGGTCTCTGGTAGCATACTTCCACAACCAATTGCCTGAGCTCTCGGACGCCGGTATCATGGGTTACTACTTCATCACGCCCAACAACAGCGCGTCACAATCTGATCCCGCACGTATGGGCTCGGTCTCCGGCTTCTGGTTCGCTCCGAACAAGTCTGTCGAAGAAACCCAGCACATCTTGGCACCCATGGAACAGACGATTCAGAAGAACGCGTACAACTGGACGGACGCGATCTTTGTTAGCAATGTGTCTGCACCAGTGCCGGACTTCACCAAATTCTGGCTTGCATTCGTTACGCCTCAGAGTGTAGGGTCAGAAGTCCGGCTGGGGTCTCGCCTTTTTGACCGGGCTGCACTCAAGACTGACCCAGCAAAGTTGAAGAGACTCTTCAAGCAGACAAGTCCAATCCCCCAGTATCCGATCCTGGGCCACGTCGTGGCAGGCAAGGGCGTAAAGACCGTCAAGAACGGAATCCCGGGAGGGAGTAACTCAGTCTTGCCCGCCTGGCGCAAGGCATACGCGCACATCGTGCTCCCACGATCGTGGGCATTTCTGAACGAGACCGCAAAAATTGCGGCGACCACACAGCTTCGCGAGGTTGAGACAGAAGCCCTTCGCGAACTGGCACCCAATATGGGAGCGTACGTGAACGAAGCAGACCCAACTGAGCCGAACTGGCAGGAGACATTCTGGGGGTCAAACTACCCGAGACTGCTGCAGTTGAAGAGGTATTGGGATCCCAAGAGCGTATTCTGGTGTGTGCCCTGCGTGGGTCACACGGATGGCTGGGAGGTCGTTGGCCAGGCAGGTGTAGAGGGTGCGGTGGGAGAATCTTCAGGGAGGATCTGTCGGACTTGATGAGGTGTCGAAACTGTTGCTGGAGACGTTGCTCTGTATTCTGCCACGGCTCTAAGAGAGAATGGATATCATGATCTGGACAGTGGTGGTTGATACAACGGCCGAATGACAAGGCTGTGGACATGGACCTGCCTGCGGGCGTTAATGTATCTGACCGTCTTTCCGTACCAACAATATCGTAGCCCGATATCTAGTGTATATTATCGGCGAATATTGCAACCGCTGCTCGTTCTACTCCTGCTTAATATATCACAGCTCGTTTTGCGTTTGCAAATGACCAGCCTTGCACATCACAAAGAGCCCTCGTCATTCATTGGCTGCATTTGCGGCGAGGCTAAACCACTCCCTATCAGGTTAGCGCCAAAGCCTTCCGCCTCTGCTGTTCGTTGTCTGCGAATTATTCCTGGAAGAGCTTCTTTCCCCGAACTTTTCAATTGGAAAGGCTACCTAAATATCTTGTGCTCTCACCCCCATTCACGGGCCACGCTCTGTGTGTGCGCACGACCTACATCTCCTCGGGCCTCTAGCCATGGGTGTGCAAGGGCTCAAGACCGTGTCAACGGCACGAGTAAGTCTCTACGCTGCGTTTTCTCAAGTGCTCTCCCCCAATCCATGCACGATCCAAATCATGCCCAGCAATCCATCCATCTATCTGATCCCCCCACCATTTCCTCAAACTCTCACGTAGGCTGACTCAACCCGCACAGAACGGCATAGGCGCCTACATCCTGCAGTGCACGCGCCTGCACCTGACGTACTCGGACCACTGGGCGTCGTCGACGGGGCTGAAGTCGCTGCTCGCGTCGCCGGCCTTCTCGTCGCTCACGCACCGCTACCCGAGCGTGGAGTTCCGGATCTCGCCGCGCCCGAACCGCCACCCGGTCCTCAAGGCGCAGTACTGCAACGGGCGGTCCAAGGCCATCTGCGTCAAGAACATGGCCCGCGAACAGGTGCTGGAGAAGGCCGAGTTCCTGCTCGGCAACTCGGGCGAGAGGAACGTCCTGGTCAAGGGCAGGAAGGTTGTCAGCGCCAACGAGGCCGTCAGGGGCATGTGGAGTCCCATGCACGGAGGCATCAAGCGGATTTGAGCAGCTCTTTTGGGGAGACCTGGTGCTTGACCTTCGAGCTTCGAGCTTCGAGCTTCGAGCCACTTGGAGGCCGGACGAGGGGACTTTGGGAGGGATCGGCAATATGGGCTCATCTTGTGTCCTCTCGTCGTTGCAAAGGAGGAGGGCGGCTCGAAGAGATGGGGAACGGCGAAAAGGTCAAGCGAACAGGGAGAAAAGCGTTGCCCTGCGCGTCAGATAATGGGTACAGGACAAAGTGTTACACCACGACGCCGACGAGGGACGGTCATCACATATTGGCAAAACAATTGGACGAGTCTCGCGGTCTACATCTTTCGAAGAGCGAGGAGAAGCATTGAACAAGCCAACACAGGCTCGTGTTCGGGAAAGATTACAAAAACCGTGGCCCTTTGACGCTGGGACGGTCGCCGTTATGACCCATAATCCGAAACCGAAAGCCGATGCCGGCAATTGGAAGACGTTTGAGATCTCAGTGGGTGAGACTCGACGAAGGTACGGGAATATCGAGTCGCTGCGAGCGACGCGACAAATTCAAGCTTCAATTTCCCCCAGACAAGCTTCGAACACAACCAAATTTGTCGAGTAAAGCTGTTTTTTTGTCGACCAGAGATGATCCAGTCAGTGGTTGAAGAACCCGCGACGAAGCATAGGGACATTGCTGGCGAACATCACTTGATTTACCACATATGACCAATAGTTACAAATGCATTCAGAGGGCATCTAAAGCGTGCTCTGGCTGATTCGACTCTGATATCTATGCACCGACCCCCATCATGAACGTTGAATTGTCATTGGAATGATAAAAACTCCTCGATCCTTCATTAAAAGATTCATCTCGTCATTGGCTGGGTCGACGTCTGGCTGCATCTGCCACTCAGTGGCCGCATCCGGCCAATTTGGGGCGTCCGATCACAGGTAAATGGGGAACATGGCGGTCTTGCTGACGACCTTGCTGGTACAACCATCGACGTTGCATACCGTAAATGGCACCGACCGGGACGATTCCAGCTTCTTTTCAGGCTCTTTGCCTTTGCCTTTCTTTGATACTTTCGACTTTGACCGGTTGACGGCACATTCGCCGCAATAGACCTAAAAATTCTGGGTTAGAACAGAACGAACATCTGGCTTGGTTTCGAATCACTTACGTGTCCACAACTCTTCACCACCCAGACCTGTTTCTTGACGTCCGCATTGCCGACCGCTAATTCGTCGCCGCACATCGGACACAGTATGACATCTTCCTCTCCGAAGGTCCGAATAAACCCCTCCTTAGCTGCTGGAGGCCCTTTATAAGGTTCAGGCACTACTTGGGGGGTTTCAGAGCCGCGGTCAAAGACATCAAAAGGAGCCAGAGCAAAGGCGGGTTGTCTGTAGTCCAGGTTGATGATGAAAGCGTCGCCACCGTCGTTGGCGTGCCGTCCATTGTGGCCACGAGGCGGGACTCCATCCAAGCGATCCAGAAGCCCTTCGCCGTAGCCTGGGGCGATATGTTGCATGTCCCCAAACAAGAACTGTGTCGACCTCCTCAGGATCTCTGGGAAATATCCGAGTGCACCTCTGTCGGTGCGAGGAGCGTTGGCACCGACATTCGCTTGGACTGCTGCTTCCTGACGCTGAGCCTGTGGAACACGCCTCTCCTCAACAAACTCGACTTCTGGGCTTGCGGGTTCAGGGGAGACGGATCCAGATCTGAGCGTCTCCATGTCGATCGATACTTCAAAGTCATCCATATCGAAATCCGAATCCGAATCGTCAGTGTCTGAAAGATCAATGATCTCGGGGGGGTCATTTTGTGGTCTCTGGCCAAAAGGCGGAGCACGGACATGTCGTTCTTGTTGTCTCTGTTCAAGCTCTTGTTGTCCCTCGGCAGGTTGTCGTCGCGTCTGCTCAAGTTGTTGTTGTCGTCGTCTCTGTGCACTCTCTCGGCGTCTCCGTACCATCTCTTGCTCCTGTTGGACTATTTGCTGTTGCTGTGATACTGCCATCCAGGTTCTGACGAGTAGTGTTCGCGAGTGACTTCGCGGGGCGGGTTGGCTAGACACTTGCCTCAAGTTCGGTTGTAGAGAGGAATCTGAAGCAGTGGAAGTGTCATCGCTGTCACTGTCCGCAGTGAGATCGATCGTGACATCGTGCGGGGCAGGGGTAGCAGTTGCTAGATGAGCTTGTGTAGGCATGGTCGGTCTCCGGTAGTCAAAGCCGTCGCCTTCAAACCGTATTGTTGATTCTGGGTATGGTGGTGTCGAGTCTCGAGAAGGCTCCGGCGTTGGGTGATAGTTTGTTGGTTGGTAATTGATGCGGCGGCGCTTGGACGGTACGTGGTCGGGGGTAGCACTTCGACTTTGTGATCGGGTTATCTCTTCATGAGATCTCTGTGGCTGCAGTCAGAATCTTGCTTTTCCGATCCAAATCATATGACATGAGTAAGTGAGTAGAATGTGAACCATCAGCTGTGTGTGTGTGTGTGAGAGAGAGAGAGAGAGCGAAAGCCGAGGACGTACCTTTCGACTGGAGGAGGCCGACGCCGAATTCAAGAAACTGCTCAAAGCAAGAGTGCCTGCGGGAGGCATGATCAAGGCGCCTGCGAGGGCAGACTATGGCTCTCGGGTCGAAAATGTCATGGGGGAGAGAAGTTGAGGTGAGGGCGTTGTAGGGAATGGTCGGGCGGGATGTTGAGAAGTCGAGAGGTCGAGGAGGTAGGTAGGTGGTAGTCAGGTACGATTTGAATGTCCTGCGGGCACGAACGCCAAACCCTCGCCAACCACGGAGCCAGCGAAGTGGGAACAATAGGCCGACCAAGAACTTGACGCCGGATGGATGCCGCTGTGACGGGTGAGAGCGACTTGACAGATGCAGGACAAATCGAAGGGACAGAAGCAAGGAGAATGAGGGCGAAGGGCAAATGCCTGGCTTTGAAAATGGCCACCTGCGGGTTTGCAAAAGGTTGGAACAAGGCAAATAATAATAATGGCGATAAAGGATGGTTTGGGTTTGGGGGGTTTCCCTGGACCTTGGGCTTGGGCATAGGCGGGGCCTTAGGCGGTACCTGGTGCCGTCACTGTGGTTTTTGGTGGTTTTTGGTTGACTTTGGTTGTGTTTGGTGGTGCAGGCTGCGTGCGCTTCGAGGGCGAGGGCCCATTTGCCACTCCTCCTTGTTGATAGCGGCTCTTAAGGCCGCTCATAAATCCGCCTGCGCTTCTCATATCACCTGTGAATTGTCACTGTTGCCGCCACTCTAGCTCACAGAGGCCTGAGCCGTGTCCATATAAAGGCAGCAACCAGAACAGAACACCACCATGGAAGCTGGTTCATTTTTGATTGTTTGTACATGCCATCGCAGGCGGACAAAGAGACCATCTGTCGACGCAACTTCCAATTCCTTTTCGCGTTGCCCTGGCTTTCTTTTCCCTTGATTTTTTTCAGCTATCACCGCCGCATCCCAGGAAAACCCCGCCCTCTGGATCTCACATCAATTATGGGTATCAATGCTACCTTGCCTTCCGTCCTGTCTGTATACAAGTAACAGGGAATCACCTCCCCCTATCCTTCCGTTGCCGCGCCCAGGGTCGTAATCACCCCGTCCTCATTCAGAGCGATTAGACTCTGAGCATGTTGGCCCCATGCAATTTGTGTCGCCGGCGTCCCTCGTTTGAGGATCTCCGACCATTCTTTGGACGCCTTGGAATAATGTTCGACCGTAACTCCATCTTGTCCTGCAACCCCCAGGAATTGTCCAGTGTAGTCCCAGCTGATGGATTCGATCTGGCTGCCCGTCTCAATGGTTGTGATTTCGGTTGCTTTCCTCAAGTCCCAGATCGAGATGGTCGACGACTTCTCCGTTACCCCCGCCAACCATATGCCGTTTTCGGAGAAAAAGATACATCGCACAGGGCCACCAAGGTCGAACGTCGCGGCTTCCGCGCCGGATTTGACATCGAATATCTTGATTTGGCCATCGACACCGCCCGCCGCCAATAGGTGACCGTCAGGGTGGAATTGAGTACAACGAAGACCTGAATAAAATTAGCGCCCTGCAGGTCAAGAGAGGAGGCATTGCAAGAGGACATACTGGAGTTACTCGAAACCTGAGTAAGAACTCGGCTGGATTCGAGGTCATAGAGAATATATGTCTTGTCTTCTCCAACAGAGGCGAGAATGCTGCCGCTGGGGTGTAGAGCCACCCCATTCGCCTGTCCGGCGTGGACTGCGAAAGACGAGACTTCCTGATCCTTCTCAAATACCTTGACTGCGCCTGCTGACGTTGCAACAACCGCCCTGTCATGAGCCCAGAGACCGCTGGTGGCGTCTCCTTCACCGAAGTCGAGCGCATATGATAACGTGTTCTCCGACAGTGAGTAGACGCCCCCTTGGGTGCCTGCGACTAGGATCAGATCTCCTGCCTCGTGCACGGCAAGCACACGGCCACCAGGAAACAATGGTTTCGAGGCTGATCTTGACGTGTACGCTGATATGGCGTCCGAGGAGGCCCATTCTTCTGGCACCGGTCGTTTCCGCCGGGTTTTCGACAAACTGGAGATATTCATCAGTTCCTGGACAGAGCGTACAGAGGGTAGCCATACCTTTGTTGGGAGTTTTCAATCTTCTCGACGACGGATTGTGGTAATGGGGCACTGTCGACTTGCATGGCATCGCCGTTTGTGTTGGCAGGAGCTCCTCTGCTGATATTTATCTGTGCCAGCGTCGCTCGTGCCTCGTCTCTCTCTTTTGTGAGCTGTGCAATGACCCGTACCGCCGCATCATTTTCGTACAGGGCCGTGCTGAGCTCTTGTCGAGCCTGGTGAAGATTCTGTTGCAAAGTGTACGTCTGAAGCGCCAAAGCATCCCATTCGTTTTGGAAGAAAGAGAGCATCGCAGGTATCGAGGTCATCTGTGGAGGTCGTGGATAGACGACGTTGGGGCTCTTAAGGTCGATCAGGTCTTCGACGGACAGGCTCTCTCCCGTCGTGGGTTCGGTGCCGTTCTCGCTGATATATGCTTCGATGAGGCGCTTTTCGTAGACATTCCCTGCGACTGTCAGACCAGTGAGACCTGGGACACATATATCCTCAACGCACCACTCTTGCGTGAGGCCACTGGGACCTGCGGCGCCTCTCCCGAGACTGCCATACCATTAGTCGCAACCCACTGCGCGAGATTGAGAGTACCTACTTGCGCACAACATTGTCGCAAAACTGCTCCAACAAAGAGGATAGCGATTGATCGGGAGGTAGGACACGGATTTCGTCTAAGAATAGCTTCAATGAGCAATCACGGACTATGACAAAAGACCAGGGCAAATCCACCTGCACGTACTTTTTCCTTGAGGTTTTGCGACCTCGAACCCAAGGCCAAATAATTATGGAGTTCGGCAAATCTTCCTCTTTGGGCCTCAGCCTCGTCCGGTTTTGCCTTCTCAACCTTGAGTACTCCGTATTTCGACTGCATCATCATCAACTATCTACATAGCACCTCAATTCAGCATTCGCAAAAGCATCGGATCAGATTTTTCTCGCATATCTGTGCTCTAAGTGGCATGGAGTTTCGTCCTGACTTCTTCGTCATTTCACTCCTGTCTGCCCATCATGGCGGACGTCGCCCTCCCATATCATGAGCCCGGGATTATCACAATCCTGATTCAGTCGTCTTTTCTTCTGGTCTTGAATGTTCTAGGATTTGCCCTGGACCAGATTTTCTACTGCGGTCTTGTGGGGCAGGTTCTCATCGGTATGGCCTGGGGAACACCTGGCTCGAAGCTGTTGTCCCGCCCATTTGAGGATGTGGCAACGCAGCTTGGGTACCTAGGCTTGATCGCGATTGTCTTCGAGGGCGGACTGGCGACTTCAGCCAAGTCGCTTGGCAGGTCCCTGATACTGTCTATCTGCGTCGCACTCACTGGGATATGTCTCCCAATGGCTCTATCTTTCTCTCTGATGGGGATTTCCGATGCCACAAAGCTTCAAGCATTCGCAGCTGGAGCTGCGCTATGTTCGACGAGCTTAGGCACCACCTTCAGTCTTTTAAAGACGACAAGCCTAACGACGAGTCGCTTGGGGACGGTCCTCACCAGTGCTGCAATGTTGGATGATGTTGTTGGGCTGATCATGGTGCAAGTCATAGCCAATCTAGGCTCCGGCCAGACGTCGATTTCAGCCCCTACAGTCATACGCCCTATCTTCGTATCCCTTGGCTTCGCTATCATCCTTCCCCTGGCCTGCAAGTTCTTGGTGAAGCCAGTTTTACCTCATATCTCCGCCCTATCAGTCAAGCTGAAAGGGAAATTCTCTTCGAAGGCTCTGGACCTTGAGGTAAAGCTTCCTTTCATTGTTTCGACCGCCCTTTTGGCGGCCTTGGTCACCGCGGCAACCTATGCTGGCACATCAAACCTATTTGCCGCTTATCTAGCAGGAGCCACTATATCCTGGCTAGACGAGGCTGGTCTGCAGACAATAGGTACTCGATCCCAAGGGAAGTGTTCGCAGACGCCAAAACTTCAGAAGCATCCCGTCAACACGACCTCCAATATCGCGCCTGTACAATCCTGTGCCTCTCAGCATGCCAGTGAAGTCCATGCATCAAAGGATGAGAAACGGGAAGACCATCATGCGCCTCTGATGCAGCCATCGGGACCGTCTTGTGAAATGACACCGCCTCCAGAGGATCCAAAATCAGTGACGAGCATCGATCAAAATGCAGGGCCAGCTGATATCCCTGACGCACTGGACGTCGAGAGCCGCAGCCTCCGGATGTACAACCATTACTATGCACCTGCCGTGGAGCGCATTTTGAAACCGCTTTTCTTCGTAAGTCTCCTACCTCACCAGCTTTCAGTACGCATGCGTGGTTTTTTTTTTTTTTCTCTTTTCTTTTTTCGCAAGCGGCTGACGCACTGATCATCAGGCATCTATCGGCTTTTCCATTCCGATCACCAAAATGTTTCGCGGCCCCGTCATCTGGCGTGGCCTAGTCTACGCGACATTCATGGCTATCGGCAAGCTCTTTTGCGGCATGTGGCTCATCCGCTTCTCCACTTCGTCAACGACACCACAGCCTCCTCGTCCGCAACCTATGGAATCCGACAAACAGCAAAAGGGCAAGGGCACGAAGCAAAGGAGGAATAATAAGGCTACCCCGCGCAGGTCTCTCCCTCGCCCGAAGTCTCTGTACCCGGCATCCATCCTCGGCTGCGCGATGGTCGCTCGCGGCGAGATTGGATTCCTAATCTCGGCACTCGCGGCGACGAACGGCATCTTCACAAGCAAAGACACGTCCGGTAACGCTGCCGCCGGAGATGGCCTCGTGTCGGATCTATACTTGATTGTCACGTGGGCGATTCTTCTCTGCACCATCGTCGGACCGCTCGCTCTGGGGTTCCTGGCGAAAAGGGTCAAGAGGCTTCAAGACGATAGGGCACGAGAGGGCGGTGGTGGGACGAAGGAGGATCCCCTGGGCATTTGGGGAGTCAATTAACTCCGTCACCTTGAGATTTGAAGGTGGGCTCCGTAAAGACCTTGTCGTTTTCGAGTTGGACAGAAAGGCAAAAAGGCGGTTGTAACGGACCAGTTGGCTTTCATGATCCTCATATCTTCGTATTTGACGCGAATATAAACGCGAAATCTCAAGCAAAACGCCGCTCAATGCAGTCTAACCCGCATTTTGACCAGGGAGGAAACCGCCATCCAGCGTCCTGTCAGAGGCCCATACCATCGCGATATCCCGGAAAATTGTCTGCATCCTCATCTTATCTGTTCGTCCGATTTCATCCCTAGACCTGAAGATCATCTGGAGAGCAGTTTACCAACAAGATCCTTGCCTTTGCCATCCCTGATGTTCTCGACCTGCTGAGCCAATGTATCGAATAGCCCTGTCCCCCTCGTATTCCCGCGTCTGCTCCGCCCATCAAAGGTTGAGTTGGAGACCTCGTCCGGCTCGACGAAGCCGTGCGGGCGCCGTTGTCGCCAATCGTCGTAGTGCGAGGGCGGCGCGCTGCCGGCGTACATGTCTGCAGGTTCCGGGGCTGTTCGCAGGTCTGAATCATAGCCGTATGCGGCCTGGTGGTTGTAGCCGTGTGGCAAGGGCGAGTAGGCGCTGTTATTTGTCAACAGGACTTGAGCTTGGCCTTGCTGCTGGTGCTGGAGCTGCTGCTTTTCTTGGTGTTGACCACGTCGCTCGGTGAACTCCAATGGCAAGACCTTTTCTTGCGGCTGATACTGTTGTCGTTGCTGTTGCGTCTGTCCTGCCTGGTAAGGGTCGGAGTAATAGCAAGGAGGCGCGTCGAAGTATCGCTGACGCGAGGCGCTGTCCTGTGCGGCAGCAGCTGGTGCAGGGTTTGTGCGTCGGTTTTCGGCTGATTTGGTGATCTTGTTCACGGCGTAGATGCCGACGCCGGCAATCATGGCAGTTTTTATTAAGCCCATGGTTTTAGGACGTCCAATGTCAGCTCTGGGGTCGGGTGTAAGCGGTGTTGAACAGTTCAAGGTCGCTCCCGCAGACTACCAATAGGTCAGTCGGTTCTTTTCGTTTCTGTTCCAGTCGCCCGGTGATATAACGTGAAAATCTGTGTTTCTCTCTGATTGTGAGATACTCTCGCAACGGCAGGATGTCCAGGCATTTTATAGATTGCACAGCCGGAGCCAGGGAGCAGGAGAGGAGGAGACTACTATCTCCAGTGTCTTGAGCCACGCAGGCAGGCACATCGCAAAGAGCACCCTGTGAGGTTAGCGCGAAACAATAAGACAATATACGCGCATGGAAGAGGCACTAAACGGATGTCGACAGCGTCCTAGAAAGTCTGTGCCGTTTACTCGAGGGGGCCGGTGAGGCTGTGTGGAGGGTTTGGGCCCGAGATCGACGCGGCCTTGGGGCAGTATTTGCGCCATGGCATCAGGCAGCTGCAAAATGCTCGGGCCGGAGGTAACACATATACGCGCATTCGGTGTACGAAGAGTACCGTTTCCCTCTTTTCATTGAGTCTTTCTAGAACTTCAGGCTCAGACCTGAGTGCGCTCTGCTGAAATGGCTGAGCCGGAAATCTACGGAGAAAATAATTTTCCGGCTCCGATGCCAATTCGACACTAATCCTGAATATCGAAACAACCAACTGGCCATGGCCTGTTCTTCGACAAGTTAGCAAACATTTCCATTTGAGGCCAACAGAAAACACTGCTTGTCGCTTCTTCAATGCACCTAAGCCCTTTCTCTGCACGCACTATTTCGCCTATACCGGCCGCAAATCACGAGCTAATCCCCCATTCAGCGACACTCCTCAGCTCAATCCACACGGCCCTAACGCACAAGCAGGGTTTTCAGAATAGATCAGATGGCGTGTTTTCTGTGCTAGCAACATCGTCGGAATCGCCAATGACCCAGTAGAGACTGGTTCTGGTCTTCCTTATACCGAATTCTTGCAGCACTCGACCCTTTCACCAGCAGAGACATATCTGGGAGGTTAGATTGCTGACTGAGGAGAAATGTCGCAGCTCGTTGCCGTGTTTATGCACCCATTTCTCGTAGAATGGGATCTCCGTACCGATTCTTTGCCGCCTGTCTCATAACGAACGGATCAATCCCTCCCATGGCTCATAGGATTGCACTGTTTATGAATACCTGTGGGAAATGCCGTGGAATTGATGTATCTGGTGGCAGCAGTCGGTTCTCAGGATATTGCTCAAACAAAAACCTTCCAAAAAACACTCCCCACGCTTGACTCTCTATCCCGAGCAGGAAGCAGTGAAGTCGGGTTTAATAAACGTTGAAAATCGGCCGAATTCAAAATGGCAGCATTGACGAGCTAGATATGAGAAACGGGAGATCGGATCGGATGATTTTTAGCATCAGCGACTATCAGTGTAAGTTGACGCCATGGTTGCTTATGTCGATGCCTACCGCATCGTTACCAGGAACACAGCCTCGCGGTCTGTGTGGTGCTACTCCATAATAATCAGCCAATTATGCTTCCAGCCTCGCCAGGCAGAACCATTTCAAACATTCATCGACGTCAGCATTCGACCTTGCATGATCGTCATGGCGCTTTACGAAGCACCAATCGCTTGAGCGAGGCCGGGCGCCATCAAGAATCTACAAGCGGTCCTCGAAGGAGGGTGGCATTGCGTGTATGCCGCGTCCCCACTCTGCGAGCTGCATACTGGATCCGGCATAGTCGATCCAGCCTCATCTACAGATTATTCAGAGCTGACTTCTACAACGACCTTCACCCATGGATCTTCGAGAATTCGGCTTTGCCTGCCACTTACCGCAGCGAGCGTGTCCGCAGTCGAAAGGCCTGTAACCTCCGAGCGCGGGAGCCGACAGCGGCTTTTGCAGTCCATCCAGCTGTTGGCAGAAGTTCACAGCTGAGATAAACAGAACCGGGTCGTACTTATAGTAGCGCATGCCGGACTGAGTCAGGACCGCATCTCCTGAGCCCGCTTCCTGGCGATCTCCCAGCTGACGATAGGATGCTGAGGGCCTCGGCCGCTGGCTCTACGAAACAAAAGCATAGAGATTTCTCCCTCCCTCCCTCCAGCCAGGTCTGCCCGAGACCAGGTGCACACTCTTCTTCGCCCTATTTCCGGACACGAGCGCAATGGTGTACTGCGGAAAGCCGTCTAAAGGCTGCGACTATTGCCGCAAGAAGCGACTGAAGGTAGGGTCTGTCCGGATCACGCCTGCAGATCGAAGGCACTAATCATCGAAGGTATGTGCTAATAAGGAAACCAGTGCGATCAAAAGCGGCCGGGATGCGGACAGTGTCGAAATGCTTCTCGAGCCTGTCCTGGGTATCGCAACCAACTAGATCTCATGTTTCGTGATGAGAGTGATCGGGTGCAACAGAAATATCGAGTCACGGCAGTCCTAGATGCAGATGCGGAGGCAGATGCAGATGCAGATGTGGACATCGGCACAGTAAATGCCAATCAATCCAGCGGGCATGATTCAGCCGCAGATACAAGTACGCCATTACCGGACACTCGAGCCATTGAGAGAGGCCTGTCGCCAGATGTGGCTGGCAACAAGTCCACCCAGATCTCGAAGCTGAGGAAACAACCCTGGCCGGACCACCCTTACCAATCACTAAGCCAAGCTCTGCCCGAGATCGCAACAGCATTCTTCCTGACGCAATATATTCCCGGAAGCCATTTCGATTACCTTCCTCTTCTCTACAACTCTGCAAATCCCGCCTCCTTGCTGACAGGCATTGTTGAGGCCGTCTCTCTGGCAAGTCTTAGTCATGAGACTCGCAAGCCCGAATTCATGGCTCTGGCCCGACAAAGATATTCACAGAGCCTTGTCGAAACCAACAAGGCCCTTCAGGATCCGTCTGCCTGCCGCGACGATGGAACATTAGCGTCTATACTGCTGCTCGCTCATTTCGAAACTCTTGCGAGCGAGGATACCATCGGCGTCGAAGATGTTGCGTTAGCACACGCCAATACGAGATACTCGCCTTCGGCGAGCTGGAACCGACATGTGCAAGGCGCGGTGTCACTTGTCAGCCTTCGTCCCAAACCTCAACTCGACTGCTCTCTGAGCGTCCGGCTCCACCAACACGTCAATGCGATCGCCAGGTACAGCAGCATCCAACGTCGCATCCGGCTACCCGCCGAGATTTCATCGTGGGGCTTTTCAATGGGCCTACGCAGAGATCGAGAGGACCCCAATCGCCGATTTATGGTGGTTGTCGATGACTTCACGGAACTTCGGGCGAGCATCCATGAAGGCTCGCTGACCGACCCGTTTGAAATCATCGAACATGCGAAAGCCATCGACGCGCACACTGCATTGGTCGCTAGAGGGTTTCCTTCGGCCTGGGCGTACGATGTGGTCGTCACCCGCCGCAAGATGGATGGCGTTTATCAGAATAAATATCATCTCTACCCGAGCCATTACTCCGCGCAGCTGTGGAATGAGGTCCGAATGACCAGATTGGCTCTCAATGAAATCATACTCGTCTATGCTGAGAAGGCTCGCCGGCGTGATCCCCTCGATGGCGAAGTGGACGACATATTCACGTCATTACGGTCGCGCTGTGTGCGCGTGATCGAGCAAATGGCCACCGAGATATGCCAGTCCACCACCGAGTTTCTACAGAAGCCAGACTGTCTCTTCCCCTTCTCCGGGGCCCCGTCATCGTCCAAGATGTCAATTGCCAGCGCCTACTTCCTCATCTGGCCGCTCTTCAGTGCGGCCCGCGCGTCCAGGGTGGCGTCCGGATCGTTCAGGGAGTTTGTGGTTGATAGGCTGACCTTCATCGCGAAAGAAATGAATATTCCCCAAGCGCGAAAGGCGTCGCTGATGTTGGAACAGGGTATTGTACACGAGGACTGGCTGCATATGTTGCATTTGTTTTAAAATGGGCGTGGACCCTTGTGTTACAGAACCGTTTCTCATGCAGCGTGGAACCCCACCGTGCGTTAACGAAACGCCGGTTGTCTTGCATGGTGGTCAACTCAAGTGAAATTCAAAGTCTGGACTACAGTATATCAGGACACAGCAGACCTTGTCAAGATCGAACGCCATTGTCCGAAGCGTACCGAGTACAGCGCCTGCCATCGGATCGCACTTTGGAGAAGCGAGGATGAGTTCCTCCCTTTCTGCGGCCCCAGTTGTTGCCGGGATGTCAGAGGTGAACGGGGAGTAACGCATGTCTCACCGACCATGAGCGTCGACTGTCCTAGAATGCCCGTCGCCAGGTAGACATCCATCTTTGCGACACTCTGCTGGTTCGGTACGGACGAAAGTTATTTGTGTCGAGGAAGATTACCCGCACATACAATTCCCTCGAATCGGCGGGAGTCTCTGCAGCCGTCAAAGGCAGCGAAGATTCCGAACCCTCAAAATGTTCGTGGACACTTTGGTATCCTCAAGGGTTGAGGCCCAAGTCAGTCGTTGTCAAGGTCGTTAGAGCAGCCTTCTGAGTTCGTCCCGAGCGACGGCTTCTTGATAGTATGCCTTGAAAGGTGACTACGGGGTCCGACCCAGGTAATGATCGTCGCTAAGGAGTGGTGGTCCAAGTTGACGCCCTGGGCGTCGTCCGTGTCTGTTGTCACTACAGGTCTAATATATATATGTGCACCAGCGGCAGTTTGATCCTGCTAGGATAAAAAAAAAACCGCACCCGATTTTTCCCATTTCCCCCCAAGACGTAACTGCTGTTCTGGTAGTTTTACAGTACAATAAAACACAAAAGGTCCTAAATTCATTCCCTGAGTTCCGTCCGCACTTCCCATTGGACATCCTTCCTGATCATGTATCGTTGGCTTTCGTCGCTGTTGATACTGGTGGTTTCGCCGTTGGAGCCTCGGATGCCACTGCCGCCGCCGGACCACTGCACCGTGGTCGACGCCGCGGGGGCGCCCGCGAGCTGCTCGGCCGTCAGCGCCTTGGCGTGGTGGCCGTAGTACTCGTCGCGGTCGTCGTTGATGGACGGCATGGCGGCGCTCTTGTTCTTGGACCGCAGCTTGGACATCTGGAAGCTCTTCGCGTCCTGGGCGTGGGCGTGGCTGCGCGTGCCGCTGCCGTAGCCGTACCCGTTGCTGGTGGCGTGCATGCCGCCGAACCCCGTGCTCAAGCTCTTGAGGAAGTTGTGGAAGATGGGCACCGTGGCCGACACCAGCGAGTAGGTCATCTCGCTCTGCGTCCACGCGATGAAGCTGGACTCGTGGAGCAGGGGTTCCGTCGTGTAGCCGCTCTGGGAGAAGGTGTGCATGCGGAACGCAATGAAGATGACGAGACTGAGCGCACACGCACTTTGTGTCAGCCGGCTATTCGTCTGGGAGGCCTGAAGGAAAGGGGACTTACAACAGGCGGATCCCGAAAATGGACAAGACCGTCATTTTACTCGAGACCGACGTCTGCAGGTCGTGGACCAGGTAGCCGACCAAGGCTACAATGGCGACCTCGGTCACAATGTCTAGAGCGCCAATGACTTGCACGCGTCGAAGCTTGAAATCCATGAGCATTCCAGAACAAAAGGGGTGGCTTGGGTTACGGGTCTTGAGCTTACCACTCCCGGACACTTCTGACCGACGGTCAACCACGGGTGCGACAGGTCGCATTGAAAGGCCATGGTCAGGAACGCGCCCACGGTCCATACGCCGAGCAATCCCATGGCGATGTTGAAGACCAGCCGGTGCTGCTTCATGCGCGAGATGCGGTGGAGGAAGGACACGATCGAGATCTTGGAGAGCCCGATGATGACCATGAAGAACAGGTTGCTGGCGTAGACCATCTTCTGCACCTCGTGCTGCGACTCCAGGGACACCAGCCGCAGCGCCTTGCCCAGGCCCTTCGAGCAGGCTCCCAGGACGATGCCCGACTGGATGATGGCCAGCCCGGTGGCCGTGTAGAACAGATAGTCGTCCAGCCCGATCCCGTGGCTGATGGTGGTGCGCACGACGGTCCTAATGCTCGCGAAGAACACGATACAGGCCAACCCAAACGCCGCCGAGATGAGGATGTACGCTTCGTGGTCGTCGGGCGTCACCACCGCGAAGGGCGGCGACTGGCCCGCGGGGACTGTGATGCTCGATTGCGAGCTCATCGTGAGGCAAACCCTCTCTATGCCCACCCAACGGGGCAACAACGAATGTATTTGCTAATGGCAATAGCTTTTCCAAACGCGAGGGAAAAGAGATCCGCCGCCGACGGAGTGTTTTTGCAAAAAAGAGGGAAGTGGGCGGCGGTGCCAACGGGCGATCAACCCACGTGCTTATACATAACTCGTAACCTACAATCGCGCAAGATGGGCTTTCGTAAAGGTCTTGGAACCCTCTATCGCGCGGCCTGCGAATGGAATAGGAGAAGAGGGAATTTCATATCCGGGACCTAGGCGAGAGGGGCCGTATCAAGTTCGCCCCTGGCGATTGCAGGAGGTTCCACGTCGCATTTGTCCCAAGTGTCGCCCAGGTCTCCCAGTTCTCTCCCAGAAGAGCCATTCGGCGCCTCACGCCACCTGAGCCTCGCCAGTCTGCGATGGGAAAGGATCTTCAGAGCCGTTGCTGGGAGCCAGCCACAAGCCTCGTTCCTGCGTGCCGCTGTGGAGATGAAGTGGACGGGGATTTACGGGTTTCTGCGAGCGCAAAGCACAGAGCAGCTGTGCCGACCGACCTCGGCCTGGTGTTGTGATTCGTAAGAGGAGGAGGGTCCAGGTTCACGTACACGTACAGGTATACCTAGTTATGTACGTTAGACATTGATTATTCTTGTGATTATTCGGAAAAGGTATGAAGGAGCGACGTCCAACCACGACCTCGTACAGTGGATATTTTCTCCTCCATCCATAAGCCCCCCTCTGAGGCATCTCTCTGCTCCGTACTCCGTACCTCTCTACTGATCCTCCTCCATTTGGGCGATGCCGTGCTTCCGTCCTATGCCCCGCGTCCCACCGCTTCTGGGAAGTCGATGGGACTGATAACAATAACTCCTATTCCTATGCTCTGGCTAGGGAAGGGGCCCAGTCCCCAAGAAACATTGCACAAGCCCGCCAAGTTGCTCATTTTAATTGCTAATGCCTCTTGGGGGGGGGTCCCGACTCCCAAGGAATTGCCCGCTAGCTCGACATGGGTCCTCGAACGAAAAGGGTCTCGAAGAGGTCGCAGCTATCGAGCCCCCCCCCAAATTGGCCGCTAAATCATGCACTCTTACCCCAGGCGAAGCAGAAGGTCGCATTGGTTTCAAGCCTAGGGCGCCGGCAATGGACCGGCTGGGATTTTGCCCAAAACGGTCCAAGCGAAGGGGCAATGTGGGCTGGACTACGCAGAGCTACCAACTCCCACCAGACACCAGAGGAGTTCTCCATCAGGTACGGAGTCACTACGAAGTCGCTAGGTCAATGGAGGATCTCGCCAGTAGTGGTGGCCACTGGCCACGCCTCAGCGATGAACGCTTACCAGGGGAGTTGTAGTGTGTGGTAGTCTGCCACATGGCAACGACTTCTTTCCATCCCTCCCCCAACTTTCCTACCCTTTTTTTTTGTTTCCCACATCCCTCATTCTCGTGGTTGTTGGTTTTTCTGTTTTCCAAGTTTCCAAAGGGGCCAGATCAACCCCCAGCAACATCGTCAACATGGCTTCCTTCCATCTCGATGGCAAGCAGATGAGAAATGTGTCCATCTCGGACGCGCCAGGCTCGCCTCCCGACGGCGCCGACGAGGTCTTCGACGACGGCCTCAGCCATGTCGCCGAGAAGTTCAGAGGCACGTCGGCCGACAAGCGGGACATGATGGTCATGGGCAAGAAGCAGGTGCTGCGTGTAAGGAAAACACTGTTCCTCGATCTGGCGCCGTTGGCGGTGCTGACCCCCTCTCCAGCGAAACTTCAGCTTCATCACCATGCTGGGATTTGCCTCGACTTGCATTGCCAGCTGGGAGGGTATTCTAACGTACGATATGGCTCCTTGACCTTTGCGCGCGCGCGCGCGTACGAATTCCCCCATATTCTGACATGGTCCCTAGGTACCTTGGCTTCGTCTTGACTGACGGTGGCCTCCCCCTCCTGTTCTGGGGCTTCATTGCATGTGCTATCGGGCAGACTCTGGTTTACGCCAGTGTGGCTGAAATGGCTTCGATGTATGTGGCGGGCAAGCCAGCCGTGTGGAACGTCCCGGGGCCCCCGCTAATCCGTGTCAACCAGGTCACCTACGGCCGGAGGTCAATACCACTGGGTGTCGGAGTTTGCGCCTCCACGTATGCGAAAGGTGCTCAGCTACTACTCTGGTAGGGAGTCATGTGTGTCTTGTCTCGCTTGCTCCCAGCACTGACACTTGATAGGTTGGCTCACTGCCATCGGCTGGCAGGTGTATAACGCCAGCGTGTGTTTCTTGGTCGGCACGATGATCCAGGGCTTGATTGTCCTGAACGACCCGACCTATATCTACAAGAGATGGCATGGAACCCTCCTGTCCATGTCCACCACCGTGTTCTGTATCTCCTTCAACACGGTGTTGGCGTCGCGATTGCCCATTATCGGTAACGAGCATTCTCCCTGCACGGCGACGTCGAGACTGGTTTAGACTGACGCTTTCGCAGAGGGCATGGTCCTGATCCTGCACGTGGTGGGTTTCTTCGCCATCGTCATCACCCTCTGGGTCATGGCCCCCCGCGCCGACGCGCACACCGCTCTCCTCGAGTTCACCAACTTTGGCGGCTGGTCGAGCGACGGCCTGTCCGCCATGATTGGTCTCCTGGCGCCCATGGCTGTCCTGGTTGGCTACGATTGCTCCGTCCACATGTGTAAGCAGACATTCTGTCCTTGGGGTGTAGCTTGAGCTAATCCCTTTGGTTTCCAGCCGAAGAAATCAAAGACGCCTCCGTCACCCTGCCTCGCGCCATCATGGGCTCGGTGATCGTCAACATCACCCTGGTGTTCGTCGTGGTGACCACCCTGTGCTTCACCACGGGCGACCAGGCCTCGGTGGCGGTCTCGGCGACGGGCTACCCGTTCATCCAGGTCTTCTACAACGCCACCAACTCGTTCGCCGGCACCAACGTGCTGACGGCCATCATCATCGTCATGATGGCCGCGTGCGCCGTGTCCGAGGTGGCGGCCGCGTCGCGGCAGATCTGGGCGTTTGCCCGCGACGGCGGCCTGCCGGCCTCGCCATGGCTCTCCAAGATCTCGCCCGGCTGGAACATCCCGCTGCCCGCCGTCACCGTCACGCTCCTGGTCTCGGCGCTGATCTCGCTGATCAACATCGGCTCGACCGTCGCGCTCAACGCCATCACCTCGCTGGGCGCCATCGCCACCCTCATCTCCTACTTCCTCACCATCAGCTGCGTGCTGTACCGCCGCGTCACGGGGCCCGAGCTGCCCCCGCGCCGCTGGTCGCTCGGCCGCTGGGGGCTCGCCATCAACGTCACCGCGCTCCTCTTCCTGATCCCCCTGATCTTCTTCCTCAGCTGGCCTCTGGTCACCCCCGTCACCGCCGTGACCATGAACTGGTCGAGCACCATGCTGGGCGGCTCCCTCATCATCGCCACCGCCTACTACCTGGTGTGGGGCAAGACCTCGTACGTGCCCCCCGTGGTGCACGTCAAGCGTGACATGTAGAACAACAACAACACACAACCCGCTCATCCCAACCAAACCCATTTGAAAATATGGCACCTTTCTTTTTCTTTGCTCGCCGCTGTCACTTGTGCGATTTGGGTTCGGGAGCTTAAAACGGGGTTTCGGGGGGGCTCATCCGCAAAGATTAAAAAACTTATCGTGTATAGACTTTTTTTTGTGGTTGTTTGTTGCTTGGGGACCATTTGAGAGGTTGTCTGAAATCATATACACACACTCCCTGTCTAAAGATTTTGTTGGAACCTCCTTAGCCTTGTTCTCTAAGTTACTATGCAACCCGAGAGGAAAGCAAGAGTCGTACATGAGATTGGGGCCGTATGTATACACATATACATGTAGTAGCTGATCTTTGATCACAAGCTAGGCAGGCAGATCAGATGGGTTCCTTAATAGATTTGACGCCTCTCGATGATGTTGTTTCTTCATCTGTATGGGGGGGAGAGAGAGAGGTCAAAAGTGCTAGTACGAGCGACGATCCCTCTCTCATAAGTATTTGAACAGGGCGTGGATTAAGAAGCATGGCCTCTCGCTCGTCAATGGCGAGAATGTCACATGGCACATGAACGAGAGGACAAGTCGATGCCAGCGTTGCTATGCCTTGGCCATAGTACTCGTACTTTTCGCGCCTGCGATACCCTTTGTAATTGGCTGTGCTGATATATCCGCATCAACATCAATCAATAATGTCCCCCCCGGTCCCTCCCTGCTTTTGCTCTCTATGACCATGTGGAGGAGGGTAGAGGTATTTGCGATACTCGCTACCTTTAATTTCAGGGTCTACTACGCTCCCCACTTACGACGACTGGAAAGCGTTCGAAAACGAGATTTGACGAGTCGCGGGAGAGGTGTGCGTATCAACCTATCAAACTAAAGGGGGGGGGTGACGCGGTGTCTTCCTCGTCGTCGTCGCTGCAAAATACAGTGCATGTCTTGCGGAGCGAGTGGGTGTGTGAGTGAGTGAGTCACTTTCCCCATGCTCCGACGTATATTGTATATATATATAGCTTCGTTCTCGTGTCCTCTTGACAACCGAGTGGCTTCAGGGAGCATGCAGTAGAGAAGAAGTGGAGATGGGCGAGGATACGGTCGAGCGAGGAAGGGAAGGAAAGGAGAAATACAACGACAGAAGAAGTTCAGGCAAAACACCTGCACATTTTATTGGAACTTTCAGCGGCCTTGCTGGCGACCTTTGGGCTTGCGAAGGCTTGTACCTTTCTTTGGACGGCATGGTTCTTCTGTAGTCGAAGGATCATGCCCTTTTGTCCCTCTCTCTCCCATTCACTTCCTCAGTCCTTCCATTCGGGACACTGTCGTCCAATGAACCATTCAAGACCTTCCCCATTAGTCTTGTCTCATCGCTGAAGAGCAAGAACGGGCATCGGTTATTGACTCTCACCCTCGTCCCCTAGGTGCGTCCATAGGACCGACCCGCCGGTGATGCCTCGCAGTTTCAGCGGATTGGTCTTGTCGAGCCGGACGACCTTTTTGCACTCGTCGTCGTCCTCGATCTCGACCGTCGACACGTTGCCGACCAGGTGGCGGAATCCACAGCGCTGGTAGAACGCCTCGGTGCCCTTGGCCCCAATCACCACCGCCGGTAGCCCGTCCTTCCTGGCTCTCTCGAGCCCCCAGGCGACCATTTTCTGGCCGATGCCCCGGCCTTGGTATGTCGGGTGGACGGCGAGGGTCGACAGTTCCCAGTGGTTGACCCGGGAGGGCGGCTGGGTGAAGAACCGGGCGGAAAAGGGCTCGATGCGCAGTGCAAAGTTCCATTTGTTCAGCGGGTTGGGGTCCGAGAGCGAGGGCACGGCTACGGAGCGGTTGGGGATGAGAAGGCGGTGGAAAGTGTAAAAGAGTCCGATGAATGGAGAGATCAATCTTCCTAATGTGATACATCAAATACGGGTCAGCGAAATTCCGCAGAGGTATGTTATGTATGGGTTCCACGATATGGTCTGAACATCAATATCTCATCCTGGAGATGGCCAGCCTTGCAAAGCTCACTTCTGCAAGAGGCCTTGTGTCTCGTGTTTTCATGACATTTGCCGTCCTTCACTCCGCCAGAGGGAGCGAAAGGGTGTCAGCTTTGCTTGAGAGCCACGTCCAGGCTCATGGTTTGAGGGGGAAGATGCAAGGGGGTCAGAAGAAAGAATGAATACTCACTTGGATCCCACCATCTCACCAGACCCCAGAGTCGGTCTGAACCTTTACCCTCGCGGCCCCATTCTGCAGCGCCAGTAATAATCTCTCCAGACTTCTGTGACGGGTCTTTCTCATAGCTGACGAGCCATATCTTGTTGTAATCCCACCAGTTCTTGAGGACCTTCTGCTTCCACACAAAGACATAGTCGTCGGGGAATTGTTTCCGGTAGGGGAAGATGCAGTCGTTCAGTTCCTCATCGTAGAAACTGGCTGCCAGGATCTTGGAGATGGCATCGAGATCGGAGTACTTTGCCAGGCGGATAGGCATGTTGCTTGGGGCCTGCTTCTGGGTGGTAACGCAAGGGAACAAATGGGAACCGGGATCGCTGGTCGACCCAGATGACGGGCCCCCACTCTCGGACACGGTTGCACAGGCAAATCAATTCTCGTACTCGGTACAGTGCTCGTATTCTGTGTATCACAATCCTTCTGATGTCGACGGCGAAGACGACCAACGCAAGCGATCTGCCGGGGGATCAGGCACGCTGTCTGCCGTTTCCTGTAGATCTACAACGTGGAAGGAGACACTCGAAAACCGTCCCTCGTGCGTCGCTTCCCTGGTTCACTGCCACTTTGGCCCCTTTCGATCGCGCAAGGCCACCTGCACGTGGGAAGGGATTGACCCTGAAGGAATCGCAAAAAGAAAAAAAAAATAGGGGCGAAGGAATAGATCGTGCCGACAACGTGGAAGGCGAACTACTGAGTTCAGGTACAGGAACTTAACAAGGCGTTTTAACCTAGCGTGAGATAGAGGAGATCAGACCAGACCGTCAGGTACCCACTACTTGGGCCCCTGGATCGGAATGATCGTCAGGCCAAAGAAGTTGTTCGGGCAGAGGTGTTCCAGCAATTCCTTGCTGTGCCGGTGGCGCTGTTGGGACAGTCCTTCGATAAGGGTCCTACGAGCAATGGACTCATGGTAACTTCGTTTACACGAAAAGAGTCGAGACCAAACCCAGTTATCCACAGCAACGAGAGAGCTATGGGACTGCGCGGACGGGTACAGGCATATAGTACAAAGTCGTTTTGAAGCTTTTGCATCAACATTGATCGGGTCAAGCGTCAGGGACGAAGACGGGACGTTCGAGAGCCGAGAATGGCATTCGGTGCAAAGCACAGACTGCAAGGACATTCAAAAACCATCTAAGCGAGCTGGGCGAGCTGTGTAGTTCGTGATAACCGTTGTGGGCGAAGGACGACCGGTGCTTGCGCAACAGAGCAAGGGAGGGGAAAAACGTGCGGCACTGAAGCAAGCATGGGCCCAGCTGGTGTTCGTCGAGGCAGGCATTTCGAGTAGGGTGAAAGAGGAAAAAAAGGTTGACTTTCCAACATTGGTGCGTTCCGGACAAAGGTCCTCGACACTTTGATAAGAAATGATCAGCACAAGAAGTGGGTACACCAGGCATTCCTCGTATTACTGACCAAGGAAGCAAGCAGACAGGGCCAGGGAATGGAGTGACACGACCAGGAGGACGAGGCAAAGCCAGTGGAGTGAAAGAACTGGATTTGAAAAAAGTACCGGGGAACACACATAGACCCACGCAGCACTGGAGCACTCAGAAGAGACGCGGTTGGACGCGATCCCTTCGGCTGTCTCCCGAAATTGCGTGAATTGGAATCAACATCAGCAACTGGCCAACCGTTGGTGTTCACCGAAGGCCGGGGTGGAGGGGTGGTGATGGTGCGTCCGAAGCTCTGTCGACGGCCAACGAGTCGACAATTCATGGTTTACCCGAGCGAAAATGAAGCCAGTGACCTGTTGTTCTGGCCAAAGAAGCGGTGTGAGGTGGCGGCCAGCACATTCTCCCACTCTTGCATTCTCGGGCACTCTTGAACAAGATGGTGGTGGCAATCGGGGAACAGGAACTGTCCTGATTTGTCGCCGGTAGCGTTGTTCTGCATCCCGACTTGTAACTGCGTCCAAGCAGCCGGCCTGAAAGAGGACAAAGATGCCAGAAGGTGGCTTGACGCTAGCATCTCAAGGTTTGACTGTGAGGAGCCTTTTCCGTCGACCCGCTTATCTGCTGGGGTTGGGGACCTCTGCAGCGTGCATGGTTAGATGCAGGATTAGGTGCAGCGCGATGGGAGACCAAGGGAGGCGAGAGGAGGCGGCGGGGTGGGATGAGGAGTGGCCTGCGAACTGTCGTCGACCCCTGCAAAGTCCCTTGTGTTAGCAGCAGTTTGTACCGAATGCCACCCACTGTCCAGACCAAGTAAGGATCATCGACAGATCACGACATTGAAGATGGAGGGGGTGGATGTCGAGAACAAGTGGTAGTCTTCCCAGGATGAAGAGACTCGCGGTGTCGGAGCGTAACTGCGGTCGTGGGAGTAATGAGGTAAGTGTGGGTGTGGGAGCGGGTGCGGGTGCGTCAGTGGTTATCTTGTGTGACAAACCTCCATGTCCTGCCATACTGTACACGACTCTACCTAGTATTCTCCCCAGCTACTCACACAGTCTCTCTCACACATCACACAGCAGTTGTTACATACTTCAGAAATGGGGGATACTTTTTTGACGTAATTCGTTGGAACAAGCAAGTCGAAACCACCACAAAGATTTTCACGCCTCTCCCAACCCCGGGGGTATCGATCCATCAAATTCATCCACAACAGTCCCAATCTGTATCCAGAAGCTTCTCCATAATAGCACGTAGCCAAAGCTGATATCAAACACGCCCGATGGGTCCTTTTCTAGTCTTGTAACACCTTCACTGCGCCTGTGATCCGCGTTGATATCTCAATTCGCTCCAATCGACAAATCCCTGTAAGAGTAAAAGCAGGTGCAGACAGAACAAGGACGGCTGCTTACGAGGGGCCTTGATTCTCGTAATGGACCCGCCACTGCATGTCCTTGCGAATGATTTTGGCCTCGCTGTTCTGGCTTTCTTGAGACTGTCCAGATCGCGCATCAGGATCGACTGACTTGCCCCAGTATGCGGTTGTGTTGTGCTGGACCTTGTCAGGCCGAAAGTTGGGGTTTTTCTCCGCGCTATCAATCTCATCTTCGTCCATGGACCTTCTCTTGCTCCGGTTCATGCTGCTCTTGTTCGTTTTGTTCAACGACTTGAGAGGGATCGAGCCTTGTTGGTGCGTGTCTCTGCCTCCGCTCGCCTGCGAGAGGGTCGTGTCCATCCATGTACTGCCCATGCTCGTGTTGAACTTTCGAAGGCCACGGTTAAGGGCAGGTAGCGCAGCGGAAGCAATGGCGAAAAGGACCAGCACTTGTCGGTACACGGTGGGGGTCACGATCTCGACACCGGGATTTGAGGAATGGACGGTGACGTCTATGTAATGGGCATGCAGGCCAATCAGTGCAATCGCGCTGTCATACGTGAGCAGGTGAGCAATGAGCCATCTGGAGAGTGCTCGACTTACGCCAATCTTGGTGCAAAAGTGAGGAGAACAGAGACCTTACGATCCGTGCTCATGTGGAGCGGTAGGACTACGGCCAGCGACAACAAGAAGATCAAGACTTCGGTAATCCCGTCCACGACTGCGACTGCGCTCCATCGCTTGGTCTGGGGGCGAATTAGCAGAGAGAAGGCGCAAAAGGACCGATACTCAGGGACATACCAGGGTTGGGCAGAAGGAGGTGTGATATCCAAGTTGTTGGAGTGAGTCGCAATCGATGGTGAGCGCCAGAATGGCCCCCAAGCACCAGAAGGCGCAAATGACGGTCATGGTATCGCACAGCATCCGGTGCCGTTTCATGTTGATGCTGAATAATTTTCGGCAGAGGAGAATGACACAGCTTTTGGTGAGGAACAGGGTGAACAGGAACAAAACGATCGAGGCGAGCAGCAGCTGTCGCTTCAGTTAGCGGAGCTGCACTGCAGCAGGATCAAACCCCGGGAATTCTGCATACCCTGCCCATGGAACTCGCATTGGATGCATCTATGTCCTCATACGACTTTCCCAACCCATGGGATACAGCGATCCAGACCAGCACGCTATGTATCAATCCCACCACCTGGTTAGAGTGATCAGTACTCGAGTTGGCTCGCCAGTAAAACCCCCGTCCGACAGTGCTATACGTACTGACACACCAATAGCCAGTCCATCATCGAGGCCGATACTTTTGTTGGTGAAAGTGCCCCGGAGGGCCAGCATCATCGGAACATATGCGGCGCATATGATGGAGACGACCAGAATGACGCCGCGATGGTCATCGTCGGTCACTCGAAAATATCGATTGCCCGCTATGGTCGGGTCGGTGGTGGAGGAGTCTGCCATGGTTGCCGCAGGGCTGGCAGGGCTGGCAAGAGAAGGTCTAGAGGAGCAGCATCAACGACATTAATCAGAAAGGCTCCAGGAGGGGTCCCCTTTTGGTGGCAAGATTGAATTCCAAGACCTTAAATCACGCCCCGTCCCCCTTGGGATAAACGGTAATCGTCGGGCCTGGACAGATACGAGCAACGGGCAACGCAAGCCAGAGGGGGGTGGTTTGAAACTGCAAAAAACTTTGTTTTTGCCCATTATCATCCTACACGATACGGTTGTCGTTTGGGGCCCATGATTGTGTGCAGGGTAGAGCGGTAGGGCACCAACTGGCTCTGCAAGGCAAAGGTTTAGCGGTCATTTCCAAGCAGTTCTGGGAAGCGAACAGCCCTGGGACTCTTCGCTTGGATCGCGAAAGCAGCCCAAGAAGAAGTGAGGAGTCGAGGTGCTGGTCCCCCGGGGATAGCTCAACCAAGGCTATTGGCAGCTGGAAATGGCCTCCGACGAACTACAGCAGACGATGGGCGCCGAGTGGGCGCGGCGTGAGGCAGTCTGGGTGCTGAATGGCCGCCCGGGAGGGGTCAAGTCAATGGGCTTCAGGTGGGGGAAGCGAGAGGGGGGGACCATTGTTCGGGCAAGAGGCTCCCGGTGGCTTTCAGGTGGCGTCAAGCCCATTAAACCCCTTGCCGTAGTGATCGTCGCGGCGGGCCGACGCTAAGAAGGCCCCGGGTTGTCGGAAACAGCAAAGATGAGCGCTAGGTGTCGACAGTGCCCCTTACTGAGTCCGTTGCTTACTGGTGCCCCCCGTTCCAGCCATTTGCTAGCCAGCAGCCCTTGATTCCACCTCCCTGGCAGCCCTTCAAGGCCACCTCTCTGCGCCAACTCTCTTCCTCCTTCTTCCGCACTACTCGTATCAACCTCTCCACTCCTCGACCTCGACCTCCATGCTACAACTGTCCGCCGCACGAACCAGCTCCCAGCCTACTCGTACCGGCTAGGTAGATGCTCTTCGAAGCCCACTCGCTACCGCAGATAAGCCTTTCTTCCGCTCGATACCTCCTCCGACCACGCACCCGGTCTGCCCACTCTCCTACCCGGTTCCCACTCTCTTCGTCTCCAGGGGGCTCGCTTGAGGGCTTGCGAAGGGACCCTTCATGCCACTCGTGTACAAAGTCTCCGCGATATCTTTCCATGTGCAAAAAGAGATGGACCCCAAGCTAATACCACGCACTTTGTTGACACTACTGCCAGTCAGAGGCAAGACAATCGGCTTGCCACATGGGCTGTTGAACTGTTTAGCTGCGTGCTGCTAGACACTTCCCCAGTGCTCTTTTCTTCCTTCCACTCTGGGTCACCACCAACTCATCCATCCCGGAGTTTTAACCTCGAACCCAAAATTCCAGACTCCCTTTTGTCTTCTTCTCTGCTCACCCTTCTCCTCTACTCTTCCTGCTCTATTTCCCCCTCTTCAGTCGCCTCCATCCTTCTTTCTTTTGGGGGTTTCTGTGCTTTGTCGTTGATTTTTTCTGCTTGACCTGTTTGTGTTACCTGCTCAATCGCCAACATGAGCAAACAAGCTGAAATCGGCAACCTCGGCGAGGTGGTCCCGGAGAGCGCCAGTGACGATGTTGTCATGGGCGAGAAGCAGGGCACCTCAAGGGATGTGGAGGATATGAAGCGTATGGGCAAAGAACAGCTGTTCAAGGTAAAATCCCTCTCTGCGCCCTGCCCGTCCAAGTCGCCCAAGGCAAAGTGTTGACAATGGAATTTCACAGCGTAACTTTGGTTTTTTGTCCATCTTTGGCTTTGCCATGATTCTGATGCAAACCTGGCAAGCGCTGCTCGGGTCAGTCTCCCAACAATGTTGCATGACACCCCCTCGTCGAATGTCGCGCTGACCGTAACAACTACAGTACTATTGCCTTCGGTCTCGGCAATGGTGGGACAGCGGGTCTGATATACTTGTACATCATCGTCGTGGTTTTCTTTACTATGGTCAACATTTCGATGGCTGAGATGGCTTCCATGGCTCCTACAGCAGGTGGTCAATATCACTGGATCTCCGAGTTTGCGCCTCGAAGTCAACAAAAGCTCCTCTCCTTCATCGTCGGCTGGCTCTGTACTCTTGGCTGGCAGAGCGGTGTTTCGATTGGTTGCTTTTTGGCGGCCACCGAAATCCAAGGTCTGATTGTCCTCAACAACGACTCTTACGTCTATGAGCGATGGCATGGAACCCTCCTCACCATTGCCATTGTGCTCTTTGTCGCCTTTTTCAACACCTTCCTCGCCAAGCATCTGCCTCTGGTCGAGGGCATGGTTCTCTGTTTGCACGTGGGCGGCTTCATCTGCATCCTTGTTCCTTTGTGGGTGCTTGGCCCTCGTGGAAACTCCCACGAGATCTGGACTGTCTTTGAAGACGGCGGTGGCTGGGGTTCAAGTATGCTGCCAAACCCCTCCGAGTTGTGATTCGCGCCCACTGATCCTCTCTTAGCTGGTCTCGCGACTCTCGTCGGCATCATTACACCTGCCACTGCTTTCCTCGGTGCCGATGCTGCCGTGCACATGGCTGAGGAGTTGAGGAATGCTTCCAAGACTCTCCCGAAGGTCATGATCTGGACTTCAATCGTCAACGGTGCCCTTGGTTTCATCATGCTCATGTAAGTTTCTGTGTCTCCACTAAATTGTCGAGCGTGTACTAACAGGTGTTACAGCACTTTTTGCTGTAAGAAGCTTCTCCCTCAAGCCATGGACTGTGTTCGGAGCTCCGGCTTGGTCCTTTTTTTTTTGGAAGCACGTGTCGCTGACATGATATAGATACCCTTGGCGACTTGGATAGTGTGCTCTCGACTCCGACCGGTTATCCTTTCATCCAAGTCTTTTATAATGCAACCGGATCCAAGGGCGGTGCTACGGCCATGTCGTGCATCCTCGTTCTATCGGCCGTGGCGAACGGTATGACCAACATGGCCACAGCGTCTCGTCAACTCTTTGCTTTTGCTCGTGATAAGGGTCTTCCCTTCCACACCTGGTTCGCTACGGTCGGAAGTCGGTTCGAAATTCCCGTCAACGGTGAGTCTTTGTTGCGGTCCCCTCTTCTTGTTCGAGAGCTAAGAACATTGCAGCTGTCCTCTTCACTGTCGCCTTCTCGGTCCTCTTCTCCCTCGTTAACATCGGCTCAACGGTCGCCTTCAACCAGATTCTGTCGCTCGGTGTCGCAGCTCTTCTGTCGTCGTACTTCATCTCGATTGCCTGCGTTACCTGGCGTCGACTTGCCCATCAACCACTCCTCGACCGAGTCTTTGACCTTGGCCGTTTCGGAATTCCCGTCAACTTTGCCGCCCTTGCGTTCCTCCTGCTGGCTTTTGTCATGAGTTTCTTCCCTGGGGCGGCCCATCCGACCCCGCAAACCATGAACTGGTCTTCGCTGGCATATGGAGCCGTGATCATCATCGGAGGCATCTACTACGTGTTCTGGGCACGACATCATTATGTCGGACCTGTGGAATACGTCCGCAAGAGTGCTTAAAACTGATTTTAGAAAAGGCGCCTTGGCTTGGTCTTTGGAGTTGCAATGTTCCCATGGTTGGGACCCGTATAGTCGACTTGTTCTCATGCACAAAAAGAAAAGAATGGCCTATATCCGAAATTGGAAAGCCTCACTTTATTCGAAACTGGAGTCGGCAACGGTCCACGGGTTACTACAGTTTTGGAATCAAGCTTTAGATGATGGATTGATTCCGAGGTGTATAGTATCTCTTTCGCATGCACGACTCGGACGGCAACACCCGGACGAGGTCAGTATATATATCATGTGAGAAGCGCCTTCACAATTCCACCTCTTGAATTAGCTCCTGCTGGCTCCTTAGCTGGTTTTCTTGTTTCCAGTCTTCATGCGCCCTCTGCGTCCGCTGCATCGAGACATACCAATGCCAGCCTGGCCGCGGGCGTGGACACAGTAAATTTGTAGTTGATACAAAGTATACTATCCAACCCCGGTACTAGGACTAAACAGACGAGCATGGTACGTGCATTATAGACTATTTACCAAGTACAAACACATCTATTCAAGCAGCCCCTTGTATGTGGATGTATCAGACTGAGGTTGGGGTTCGAGTGAGGGCGGGACCAGATGGAGCTGGAGAGCTGGATGTTGCCGTCAAGCGTGTGGATAATAGTGGGAAAGCAAAAAGTGAACGGGAGCGGGCCGTTGATAGCTGACGAAGGGGAGGCTTGTTGATCAACCGTCTCACGTTAGACGGGTCATGGTGGTTTGGAACGGGGATGTGGGTGTAAGCAGTATTTGTGAGCGTTTAAGTGTGAGAATGTATTAGTATACTCGAGTACGTACAAATTATCCCATATCTATCTATCCCAACCACAAATCTCAGAGAGCCTAGGGCGGGCCTCCACAGTCACTGGCTTGGCGACTAGGTCAGTCACTTTGGATCGCCCGCCTCTCGCACTGGGCGTCTTGTAGCGAAAAGCGCTGTCTTCCCGATCCCAACCCAAGGTCCACCCCCAGGAGGGGAGGGCAGAGTCTCAGTCTCCTTGGGTCTTCGCCATTCGGGGACCAGATCCTGGACGCGGCCGGGTCACCAAGGGCCTCCCTCACATGATGTTCGCAGACATGTAGACCACGGTACACGAGATGGTGCTAGGTAACACAGCAGCACATTAAGGTCGAATTGTGGGCTGGCTAGCAGCGGGCAATACGAAGGAGGCGCACGGCATGGCACGGGTTAGGGCTGGCGATTCTGTTGGGGATAGGCATGCCTACTTCTTCTTTTGCCTAGTCAAAAAGCGCCCCAGGTCGGACCCTGATCACAAGACGAAGAAATTGTAGATTCTCCAGCTCTTTTGTCGGTGATGGGCTGCGTTGTCACAGTGCTGAGAGGAGTGGGAGGGTAGAGATGTGTGGTGGTGGTGATGTTATGTGTGGTGGTGGTGATGTTATGTGTGGTGGTGGTGATGTTATGTGTGATGGTGGTGATGTGATGTGTGGTGGTGGTGGTCATGGTGGTGGTGGCGGGATGTGGACAGGGAGATCGAGTCCTTCGCCTCCCCTCCATCTTCTCTACACGGCCCAGGACTAGTCGGGGAAGACGGAACGCGTGCCTCTTGCGATGTCTCACTAGCCAGTCTGTGTGGAGCATCCTGCTCTCAATCTGCTTCTCTGTTCGTATTGAGCATTGGCATGCACCTGGTGATGGGCTGCAAGCTGGAGATCCGCGCTCCGCCAGCAAAGCCATCGCATATGTTGCTGCAGACCAGCCCAACCCTGGCAAGCATTTCACGGGGCTTGCGCCTCTGTGATCAACTCCTTCCCACCCTGGGCCTGTCTTGTAAAGGCTTGGGATTGTCGCTGGTTGGCCGATCAGCCTGGTCTGAGATTCCCCGACGTGCCTCTAGTCTGAAATCCCTCGCTTGAGCGCCTTTTAGCTTCCTTCTGCTTGTTCGCTGCTTCTCAACGACATGGCTGCCTTGCCATCCAAGAGACCAGGGCTTCAATGCCTCTGTCGATCGACCAGGCATACGCAGGATTTGACGCAGCCCATGGCCCAGACGGGGAATTCCAGCTGTCTCAAAGGGGACAGCCCAACAGCCCAATCCACCTCTCAACCAGAAGTCCAACGAGGAGACAGAGCCCTGTGGAAAGTTCCGCCGATCCAGATGTCCACCAAGCGGCAGAAATACGAGCTTGACTGGGCCGCCGTCTATTCGCCTGCGGAAGAAGCAATGTCTGGTCCAATCTTTACGTCACGACTTGGTGCTCTTGCTACCTTGGACGCGGCCAAGCGATGGTAGCGTGGTTGAGATTCCTGGTGATGGCTGTCATCGTCTCCCCCCAATTGGATTCCATCCAGGAACCTCTCCATCTTTCTCGCTGCCACTGGTCAGGCTCCTCGCGCTACTGTGGCTTCAGCTCTTGCGGTAAGCGGTGAGGCGCCTCGGGGGACAACTCTGCCCCCCAGAGTTTGCTCTCCCGCCAACCGAGAGATGATCCACCAAGGGCCGCGATCATTTCTCATTTCTCGGATCTCCTGGGATCGAACAATCATTCGACCTGGGCCGTGTTCAATGCCTGCCTCCAGCGAATGCGCTGTCTGCTTGGATTTCTGGCCCTCTGAATGAGAATGGAGGAGAGGTTTGCAAAGCCCGCACCATCACCCCTTGGGAAATCACTTGTTGGGACCATATACGGTGATTGCAAGTGCCCTGACATCCTAGGCGCATGCACAGCTACCAGGGTGCTATCTCCCCCGCCTTTGCCATCTCCCTCCCGTCCAGCCTTATATCTCCCATGAACTTCGTGTTGTTTCTTTTTTCGTTCTTTCTTTCTCTTCCTTCCAGCGCCCAGAACCCATCTGCTCTTTGACTTTCCAACATTGGTCTCTATGCTGGTGCGGCCGCAGGAAGAATTACCGGCATCGAGACGATCTCACCATTGAGAAAATGGCTTGTCCACTACCAAGCATTGATCCCTTGTATCAAGACCTCGACCATGCCAGAATCCAGTTTCTGGACCGCCTCGCCGAGGATGACAGAAATTCGTTTCAGGCTGTTGGCACTCCAACAGACTTGAACTCTGACGCTGTGCAATTCTTGACGACGTTTCCAGGCCATAAGAGAACTGCCAAAAAGATGCTGCGCGGAGTAGCGGGACTGGTTGACGCCCTTGTACCCTATTTCGAGGTGCTTGGGCTTAGTATTCAACGGGTCACAGCATATGCAGCAGGGGTCTGGGGATCTATATTCCTGATACTCAAGGTTAGGAGATGCCTTTTCCCTTCGTCTGTGATCAAAGTGCTGAAGCATGGAAGATGGCAAGCCGATTTCCCACTTTGTTCGACAAGCTGGGCGAGTTGTTGCTGGAAGTGTCGACACGCATTCCTCAATATCGAAACCTTCTAGAACGGGCGCAACTGGATGCGTCTCTATTTTGGCTGTTGACCGCGAGTGACAACCTGAACCGGTCGCTGCGACGGCTGTACCGTGATCTCTTCCTTTTCTTCGGCGACGTGGGCAGAGTGTTTACCCAGAAAGACGAAAGTATGCAGCCCTCCCAAGCTCTTCAAGTGGTACATAACCCAATATAGGGCTAAGGAATGCGGCTGTGGCCACCACTGATGTGTGCCGTCCTTTCGCACTACGATTCGAAAACTTTCTGAAGAGAGTCGCCTTTCACGCCGAGGTGTTCGACTCAGAAATGCTCACACTGCCACAGGGGGATGCAGAAACTTTGCGTGCCTGTCATGAAGGAGCCCGAATTCGAGGGAAGCCGCCTTTTGAGCAAATGCCGAAATATGCTCATATCTTTGGGGAAGTCGACCAAAGATTGGGTGAAGTTCCCACAAGCAAGTTTGCGCCATCCCAAGTACTAAGGCAGACCCTGACCAGCTTCTCCTAGGTGAACTAATCTGTAGCATCCAAGGGTGGTTACGGGCGCCGTCCTATGCTGCCGCCTTTGAAAGAGCCTATTCCCTCCGTCAAGCCGACACGGCAGAGTGGTTGTTTGAGCTTCCAGAATACAAGTCCTGGTTGACATGTTCTCAAGAACCGGGTGGACCGTGTGAGCAGCCTGGCTCTCTGCTCTGGGTTACAGGTCAGCATTGTATTTCTCTTGGGCTCGCACTTGACACTGATGTTGCCCTCAAAAACAGGGAAACCCGGCACCGGCAAGACTGTCCTTGCTGCTGCGACAATCTCGAACCTCCGAACGTCAGTCCGCTCGAAGAATCATGGCTCGAAAATTCTCTCCTACTACTTCTTTGATCAATGTCACCCAGGGCACAGCTCGATCCGCTCTGCGTACGCGTCGTTATTGGCACAAGTCCTGGATGAGTGCTCTCAATCTCTCGACATTCTTGATTTGTTTAGTTATGCCATGATTGGACGAACTCGCGAACACGAAACTGCAACGGCCGGCGACATGGCCGACATCATCAGACTTTTGAAGCCACTGTTGAGTGACTGGTACATTGTCATAGACGCTGTGAACGAGTGTGAGGCGTCTGAAGCGTTCCTGAAGTGCCTTGCGGGCTCGGAGTCGACTCACAGACCAAGGATTATGCTATTCGGGAGACAAAATGCCAACATTCTTCACCGAAATGCACTTGAGGCGACCACGATCACGGTGACGCCAGCGCTCGTGAACCTCGATCTACACCGCTTTTTCATGCGCCATCTCGAAGACAGGCTCTTCTCGGATCTCTTGGATCGCGGCACCAACCTGGACGAGCTCGTATCTTCGCTTCTGATAGGCGCTAACGGGGCATTCCAATGGGCACAGCTCATGGCTACTTACCTGAAGTCCGAGGTCCTACCAGTCTCAGACCGAGTTGAAGCAATTCGACGCCTCAGGTCGGCTGAAAGTCTCGAAGATATGTACGCACGCACACTTACAGTCATTGCGCGGAGGCCAAGCGTTGAACAACTGTCTGCAAGGCGTATGTTCATGTGGATTGTCTTCGGTAAAGGTGTCGCTCGCCTCGATCAGTTCGAGGATTTGCTGCAGATGCTGATCTGCACAATCGGCCCGGGCCTCACGAACGAGGAAAAGGGATTTCATCTGTCCTTGTCTACAAATTTCGAACGCAGTATATCAAGAGCTTGTGGTGGTCTAGTCGAGGTGAGGTGGTCAGAAGAACTTCGAACCGGGGTATGCCGCTTCGTGAATGGCACCGCTCATAAATTCTTCCTGAGGAAGTGTGCTGACGCTGGCCGCGAGGCGAAACTCGCGACGGGAGGTATCGAATACCTTCATCCCCCAGCTTTCGAGGCCGAGTCGGAGATGCTGATGTTATGCTTCCATTATTGCCAGGTCCAGCGGCAGGCGAGGACCGCTTTCGGAGCAGCGTCTAGGACGGCGGTGGACAACCCTCGACCCTTTCTGAGGTACGCCACGGTTTCCTGGGTCGAGCACCTGATTCAACCTCCAGATGACGCCGAGAAGACGGTTGAGGCCGTCCTGAATATGCTACGGGGATTCCTCGATGACCGTGCTGGCATGCTGGCCTGGGTAGAAGCCATCTACACGCACAGGGCAGAATTCAAGACCATCACTGATAGACTACGTCGATGGGCGTCCGATGTATCTGCTTCCTACTCAGGCTCCCTTGTTGAGAAGGCCAACGAGGTTACCAAACTGGTGTATGCTCTGGTGGGAGACCTTGCCGAGCTCGACAAGGCGTGGAGATATAAACTGCTGAGGAATCCGACTCTTCTCCGGAAGGACATCACGGCCTTCAGTCACAGTTTATTCTTCCCGCAGCCGGAGCCGCAGCCTCCAGCGACCGCGACCGTCTCCCACCCAGTGCCCATGCCCGCACCAGAGGGGCTGTCAAGTCTGAGTTCGGCTCCTCTGTGTCAGATATCGCACGAGAAGGATGGCGGAGGCAGGTCTGCTACTCTGAAAATCTGGCCCTCCGTGGCATTCGCCAATGGGTCCCAAGGTGGCTCCTCGCCCGCTGCTGGTACGTCCAACGAAACGTATCAAGGCTGGGTTGCTCAGTATCAAATATGGGTTCGGGGAAAAGGATATGGGGACGCTGTTCTCAAAGAAGAATGGGATTTCCCACTGAACGAGCAGGAGGTTGCATCCCACATGGCTCTCATCCCCGCTGGGTTCAGGACTTGCCTGGGATCCGTCGATGGTGCCTTCAACGAGGCTGATGTTGTCCGACAATTTCCTATCAGTATCGATCGAGATCTCGACGTGTTTACCGTCCTGCACACCGTTTACATTCTCGACCGAAACCAATCGTGCTCCTCCCACACTGGCGAGGCGAATCAATGTCAGTGGGTGCGAAAGTCCCTCCCCATCGGCGGTAATGCGAGATCGCTTGCGGTTTTCCAACCAGTGGATCGCGGCGTCGAAGACCGTTGTGACAATGCGCGGAATACGACTGAGCACCACAGTGTCTTCCAGACCCCTCGATCGGCAACCTTCCGGATCTTCTCACATAATGGTCTGGTCATTTACCAAGGCGTTGCAAAGGGCAACCATGACAAAGGACTGGACCACTGCAGCAGCCGCTTCGTGAACGAAAGCTGCTTCATGGTGATCTTCAAGATCGTGACCGACCCCCACGATGTCCTCATCAAAGTGGTCGCAACTCTGGACGGCCTTGACTTTGCAAACGTATTCAACGGCTGTGTCTTCCACCCGAGCCTGCCGTTGGCGGCCCTCATCTGGCACACGGGTTCGTTCTGCCACCGTGCTGTCCTCTGGAGCTTTGCCAGTCCGAGTCCCGTCAGGCAATTTGGCGTCAACTGTGTCACGCGGGTTGACTTCGAGAATGGCGACGCGATCACTGCCGAAGTGCTGGCCGATTGCGGCCCGGTGGCCCAAGTCCAGTTTTCAGGATGCGGCAACAAATTGCTGCTCGACCTCCCGTTCCACTACTGCCCGGGAGTCTTTGATCTCCAACGCAGTTCTGCGTATCACGCCGCGGTGGCTGAGCACAAAAAGTCGCAAGGGCCCAGGGTCGAGCAGCGATCCGGCATGTCTCGCCGTTGTCTGCTTCTGCACCAGGCGCAGTCTCGTCTCTCATCGACCGTGGGGATCCAGAGGCCGCAGCACGCGGTGCAACAATGTGGCCATGTTGGGCGACGAGCCCAGAGCGTTTCTCACCACGTCTCGAGCCTCGATTTGGGTGGGCAGACTCCCGGTCCGTCAACCCAAGTCAGCCTTCGGTCACCCGAGACAGGCAGACAAGACAAGATCAGCATCAACACGGATCATTCGCTTCAGTCGTGTTATAGCTGGAGGGGCTCCATGGGACCGCCGCCGCGTCCGACCATCACCAACAACTTCCAAGCCATAGCACCTAGCAGGAAGTTGAACACGGACTATCAGCCTGTCCTGGCACCGACGCCATGTCATTACGGGGATGACCCGATGGAAGGGCCCTCGTCAATGGTCGTCACATCAACCGTTCATCGAACCGTGCCCGCCGAAAGAACGACCATGGATTGCGAGCACGAACGGGCACCGACACTATATCCTTGCGGGGGAGAACAAATGGTCGAGCCTTCGTCGATGGTCATCACGTTAGACGCCCAAGAGGCAGCACCTGCCGGAACGGCTATCATGGACTACCAGTTTGACGCTGCACCAACGCCATATCATGGCATGGGAAATCCAACAGGAGAGCCCTCGCCACTGGTTATCGCGACAGACAACATCCAGGAGAGCGAGCCTGCCAGCACGACTGAGATGGACTTTCAGCATGACCACCAGGCGCGGGCCCCAACACCACGTTATGGCGTGGAAGCTTCAACAACAACAGGATCGACCTCGGTGATTCTGAAGGACGCTCGAGCCACCGCCCTTGCCGGCAAGACGAGGATGGACTGTCATAACGAACAGGTGCCGACGCCGAAGGCGGTGCCAACGCCATCTTGTGTCTGGACGGAACCCATCCCCATGGATGCAGTCCGAGCGCTCGCAGCCGCCAGACTCCTCGCACAGCAGCACCTTGGCTGTTATCAGCAGGACGCAGCGCAAGGCGGCAAGACGCCAGCCTTTGAAGCGGGTGCAAGTCCTGCTGCGGCTGCCATGCCTGGGACTCCGTTTGCTCCTCCCCAAGATTTGAATCTGCAGACGCAGCTCCAGCAACTCTTGATCAAGGTGCCGCCGCCGCCGCCGCCGCCGCCGCCGCAGCAGCAGACGCCCAGCAGCAGCGGTGTCATCCCACGTCGGAGAAGACGCCCTGGATCCGCCCAGAGGGAGGCAAGCGCGTGTGGACCCGGACGGGGAAGGGGACATGGACCTGGGAGAGGGAGAGGCAGAGGCAGAGGCAGGGGGCGGGTACGGCTTAGAGGGTAGGTGAGGGCAAGGCGGATCGAGGCACCTGGGGTTACCGTTCAAGAGAACTTTGTCTGTGATTGCTTGATTGACGAGTCTGAATTCGAAGCGAAGGTGTTCGGGGCGCGCAAAATGTATATAGGCGAGGGTTCCATTCGTGTTAGCGAGGTATGTATATATATATATATGTAATCCCCAAACTATCGTCCTTGACCACTCTTACGCCGACTAGTCTCCCGCCGCTTTGCTCTCGCGCTAATAACTATTTAGTCGAACCGCTCCCCCCTCCGCTCCCCCTCTCCTCCCTTCCTCTCTTTCGCGCTCCCGCCTCCGCTCCCTTCTCCTCCCTCCCGGCTCTAGTCCGCTCCACCGTACTCCCTCACATCCTAATAAGAGTCCCGTTTAGGCTCCAGTCTTATAAGCGCTAACGTTACCTATATCCAGCCTTATAGTAACTTTTCTCGATTATGTCTCTAATAGCCCGTTTCGGCCCTGATTATTAAAGGTGGGATCCTAAAGAGGATATACCCCACGGTATTACTAGACGGAGTTCACTCAATCCCCTAGTTCTATACAGTAAGATGATACTTCTCTTCCTCTTTTCCGTTCCCTCTCTCGGTCCTTATGTTGTCCCCCGTCCTCCCTCTGCTTGCAATGATCCTGTCAGGAACCTCTAACGCATACACTACAAAGCTGCCAAGAGGCTAGCCAGCCCAGATAGAAACCCAACCTCCTCGCATGAGAGTAGCACGCTTCTCTCATGCTTCGAGTCCTGTATAACCTGAGCGGTTAGGATAGACCTATTGATACTTGAACCTACTATTCCCCTCTGCCTATCTACCTATAGGCCGTCCTTACAGATCCCCCTCAAAACAGAGGTGTAAGCCTCAAACTTCTGATGAGGTGTTTCATTGTGTTTCGATGGGAATAGATGAAGATTGATCTAACCCGGCCGAAAAGAAACAAGCAGGTCCAGCTAATGGCCGAGATCTTCAAGGTTGCCCAAGGAGGTCTTGTCTGGCAGTACAAAGCTGATCAACCATGAAACAAACCACGCTCTTCACATGACTTAAGCAAATCAAGAACCCTGGGATGTGGCCAAAGGGCCAGCATAATATCTCAGCAGCCTATTTATTACTAAACAGCGGCTAGGCGCTCGGCCTAAGGGGATTGTATGAAGTGAGAGAAACAAGATCGAAATAGTCAAGATGACAAGTGCATCCCATCGAGAGAAAGAGAATGGCTCCCCGTATAACCTCCTACAACAATGAAGATCACTTGGTACAATGTGTCGACTCTGTCAATACTGTCAGTCTCCTCTTATCTCTGTTAGTTATATATCGACAAGAAGACATCGACCATAACTCACCGATGGTAGAGGCATAGGATCAAAGACGCGCTGCCCCTTTCTCAACGTTGGCCAAGCAAGTGCACCCTTTGGAGATCGACAACATGCCATTGTCGGGCCGATTGAAGACGGCGGATTGATCAGCGGGGCCTTCTAGCAGAAATCTGTCCATGACCCCGATATGACGAGGTTGTTTTTCTTCCAAGGACAGACGAAGGATGGGATCGTGGTAGGGGCATGAGCGAAGGGAGTTCGGCGGCTTGCTCGGCTTCGACAACACGTCTGGGGTCTTCTGTTTGTGGTCCTGCACAACTGTTAGCGGTCTATGAAGGACGTGCGAGGGTATGAGACTCAGATACAAGGAGCTGAATGCCTGGGGCAGAGGATTTCTTGTCTTTGGGTGACTCCATTTGCAAAGCTCAAAGAATTCAATGCGGCAAAGGTTGGATATTGCAATAAGCAAGCACTAAGAAAGTACTAATCGCAGAGAGAAATAGCTATGAGTATGGCGAGAAAAGCTGAAGAAGGAGATTGAAACCGCGGAAAAGTGTTCTTGACTTTATACTTGCCCACTGGCCCATTCTGATCACAAGCCTCAAATATCTTCGTACTCAGGTGCCCGTCGAATCTTCCCTAGATGGATCCATCAAGAGAAATGCCTCACGTTCGTAGAAAGCAAGACAGGGAATGAATCTGCCAGTTCAGGTAGCTCCGCCTCGAAGAAAACCCAACAGGTCGGGGGGCTGAGAAATTAGCTGATCTGACTGGACAGTGTGCTTTTGTTTCGCTCGTCCGACCCCTCACATCGTAGCGCAAAGTCGTCCCTGGTGAGCAAATCCTGTAGGAAGTCGACCGTGATATCCTGCGAAGGTAGCATATTGGCTGGACGGTGCATCGACAACGGAGTCCACTTTGGCATGTTGGTGGCTAAATCAGACCAGCAAGGCAGCCTGGAAGGCCTTGATTGGCCGGTATTGTTTTGTCTGCATAAACATCGGGCAAATCCAGGAAGACGCATGTGAATCTTGACATGAGGGTCTGCCCCCGTCCTCCTCCTCCCGCCCTCCACCCCTTGCCCTCCCCGCCCCTGGCACACCTTGTGAATGTCGCAGGGCGCTAGACCTATTGCGGCTTGGCGGGATTTTGTGTAGATATGATTGGCCAGTATGCGTTTGTCCCTCTTGGCATCAATGAACGGGACCATGACCTCGACCTCGCATCTCGTAGGTGGCGTAGTCGAGAAGGCAACCTCTTGCAACAAGGCAGCCCAACTTCGTACAGGCGTAATTCCGCTGCTCACCGCCTGCTGCTGCCAACTAGCTGCTGGCGACTGTCCATCATGTGGTTTATATTGAGCTGGCAGCGCTGCACACGCACTTCATTTCTCAGCTCCTCGCTTCTGCGTTCTTCTCAGCCTTGTTGTGCGCCCATGCCCACGTTCTATTGTCTCCCCTCCTTATGATAGCCTGCAATTCCCCTGTCTCCGACCGGTAGTCTGCCCCTGACTCAACCCTCTTCCTTGCCTTCATCTCGTCTTATCCCCATCCGATCACCCCAGGGCCCGAAGGATTTCCTGCACTGAATCTCAAGCCACCCCGCAATGGACATGGTCATGAATCTTGATGGAGAAGGCCGTTCAATTCCAACGCAGTCGCGGGCGGCTTTGCTGGCAGGCGTCCCCCACGATAAAAAGTGGATGCTACTGAAGGACCTTCTTGAGCCTCTGTTCCACACTCACAAGGTCAAAGATATAGCGAGGCTCATGAAAGAGGAACATGGATTTAGTGCAAAGTGGGTATGCCCCAGAATGACTTCCCGTTCCAAGCTGACATGACTTGAAATTAGTGAACCATCCTACCGATATCACTTTAAGCAGTGGGGCTGGACAAAGAATGTCTCCTCATCTAGGAAAAATCACATTCTACAACGCACCACAGCAAGAGCTATGCAAGGAAAATCGACCACTGCAGTTGTCGCAGGCCGGAAGGTCGATGGGAAGATACTCAGACGACAAGCCAAAGCCAATGCTAGACAGGAGCTTTTCATTTTGGAAAGTTCTTCTCGCCTAGCTGAACACCAATCCCAAGTATTTGGACGCTTCCTCCCCTTTGGGAGCAAAATGTTGTGCCCACTCCTGCCCCTTGGCAAGAATTGTATTGACAGGCCATAGATTTCTCAACTGGAACATGCCTTTAGCTGCGGGAAAATTTACAGAGCCCAAATCTCCCAGCTACACACCTTTTCCTGGCATTCCTCTCTCGACTCCGGACGGCGTCATTATTCGGACACCCTCGCTGACAGGCAATTCCCCTTCACATGCGGCGTCTCCGCACGACAAGCCCTCACCACTTTCAGCTGCTGTGACGGAGACCATGGCGTTGGATCGGGCTCGACTTTTCTTGCATGGTAGATTTGATGATCTCGCAAAGACAATGAAGGATGCAGAGAAAGCCACGATGTCAACCTGGCTATACCAGTTCTGGATGTTCGCGTTCATGACATCGAAACACTGGGGCAAAGGACCTCGTGACTGGACAAGTTACACCCTCGAATTCGACGTTTATAAAAGACTTGGCCAACACCCTTCTCCAGCATCACCGGCTCTAATAGCCAGCTCGCCTGTCGAGGTGAACGCTCACGAAGACAACCCTGAGATCCGAATGCCATCACAGCTTTGCCGGTGGTCTATTCATATCGGCGAGGAACAAAGCTATGACTGGGTTGACGCAGACGATGGCCCAGGTAATGAACACCCACAAGCACGGGAACAACCTCCGTTAGAGGAGAGGCTACAAAATGCCCTCGAAAACAACGATTTCAGTAACATTGGGACAGAGAGGTTACCTCTAGCGATATCGCAAATCGTCAGGGCTGTCAAGAAGTCCCCCAAAGAGCTCATATTGGAATCGTTTTCGTTCAGTATCATGGCTAGAAACGAGCAGCTTTTGGATGAAATGTTGGAGAAGGTCTTCGAAGCCGGCATTGACGTGAAACCTGCTTACCCACTACACATAGCTACCAGTTATCTTGACGGGAGTTCAACATGCTGCAATATCCTCAATCTTCTGTGTGGCGGTCTCCCCAGGCTGCAAAGTTTTTATACAAACGACCACGGCCATACAGTCCTTGACAACTTGATGTTGACGATTTTGAAAGGGCATTCGAACACCACACTTGATATCATAGATGAATCCCTAACACGAGAGTCGCGTTTCGCGGGGATCGAAGTTGATTTGTGTGGGCGCTGGGATGCTGATTCGCCATGCTTTCGCACACTCTTGCAGTCTGGAAAAACCAAAGTCCCACTCAGCTGGAAGCACAAATTCTGCCATACTTCCGTTCTAGCTGTTTGCCATTGCATTGACGCCTTGGGCTATCGTTCTCTTCTTGGAGGATCAAGTGGGCTGTTTTTGAGACGATGCTTCAGTTGCGGTCTGTCTCTGCAACTCTCGCCATTCCATGTTCTGGTCCTAACAGCTTTTCAATTGGCTCGAAGTGGGTGCGAGGGCGAAGATCTTTTCGGCATGATTGCTGTTTTGTTGTGCATGCTGGCAAACGGAATGGATCTGGACACCAGGGCTCCTGTTTCTATCCACTTGCTCCTAGGTATCGATGATGGTACCTGCTGCACTCATGAAGATCTGAGGCCCATTGATCTTGCTGAAAAGTTGCCGTCTAAGATTATCAATGGATGGTCTGCAGAATTGCGACGAGGCTGGCAGATATTCTGTCTAATTCTCCGCCCTTTCGAGCCTTTGGCGGCTCGATCCTTGGGAAGGGAGCTGTCACCTGAAGATTTTGATATCGATTCAACACAAGATTCTCGGGACGATCTCACCGGAGACTGTCTTAGTCCTGAATCAGACTCGACTCCTGCCGTTGGTAACTTTCCTAAGGTATGTGAGGCCGAATGCGACGACTTTCGGAGCATCCAATATGCTGAGCGCTGCGACATCGGTCATGTCTGGGCAGCTATCCAAACGGAACTACTCTCCTATCGAAGAATCAATGAGCCTGACTCCTGGCTGTCCCCCTATTTTGATTTGGACGCTCTCTTGGCGGGCTTGCAAACTGGAGAAAATATATCAATGCCATTGCTCGATGAAGGAATGCTCGAACCATATTGCCGCTGCGGCCGTTGGGCCCCCCCGTGGAAACCCGTCCTCCGGGAACTGACAGCAGCATATTATTTCAGTAATATGGATATATGGGACCGCACCTCTTTCATTGCGCTCGCATACCGTTTTAGAGAATGATGATCTGAGCGAGCGAGGGTGGTTGACCCAGGCCGTGGCATTTGCCAGCAACGTTCGGCGCAAGTCTTGTGGCAAGCACTTTTACGAATTCTATGGGAACTATTACTTTTGCCAGCGACATTTCCATCCCGCATCTCTTCGTCCCTGAGACAGAAAAGGTGGCAGATTCTGACAAGGGGAGGCAGTCTTGAAGGACACGGAAGATTGACTATGGGAACGGTCTTGTTGCATACGTATACAGAGACTCTTGGATGTATTATCGAGAATTATTTTCCCTTTGCAATAATCATGTTTCCCGGGCATGTCCACTCGGGAAGATTGAGGGAATTTGTAGATTCTCCTGCTCAGAACCGGTCGAGCGCCCAAGGAGGATAGAACAGACGGTATCACGTTGCGTGATCATCGTGGTAGAGAGTTAGAGAATCGAAGATGGCGCCGGCGTACGCCTCCTGAAATGCATTGTTCTGGTCATCCCAATAAGCGTCGGCCCACGAGCTCGCATCCACCGCCGAAGTCATGATATCCTCTCGCATCCAGTCCGGACATGTTGACGTTGTGACCGGGAGGAGATCTGTTCGGTGTCGATGATCAAAACGGTCCAACGTCGCGTCGACGAAGCTCGGACCGGTTCTCCAAGCCGTCGAGTCAGAGCATATGCCACCACGAGCACTACGCGTCGTCGTCGTCGGCGCCGGCCCCGACGGCGTCTCGAGTGTGTCTCCCTCGTCAAAAAACCTCGATCGGTTCAGTATGCTGAGCTTTGAGATGATTTGATTATCGTCGCGGGCCATCGGGGTTGGTGGCTGTGATTCGGTGGAGCCAGCGTCGTCCGGAGCATCTGATGTCGCGCAGAGAGCCGGAATGGATTCACTCCCTCGTGCCTCGATGAGCTTTCCAAGGTCTTTAGCCTGGTGGAAAAGAATATTAGATGTTTTTGCACGAAGAACGGGGGAACTAAGCTGGTTAGTAGGAAGGGGACTGACTATTGGAAATACTGTCGGGTATTCACGCGCCAGCCTTTGAAGAAAGCGTAGGCAGTGCGTGGCTCTTTCGGTAACTTGATCTGGCGTCATGCAGAATGCTGTAGGGTCAATGCGGCCATAGAGAATGATGCGGGCCACATGGTAGGTGCAATCGGCGACTTCTGGATCCAGTTTGATATTGCCCGGTTTTAGGGCCAGGACCAAGGCACATATCTCGGTGAAATTGACGGCGTGCTGAAAGCATTTCGCCTGGCCTCGCAGCACGAAGTCGCGGTCGAAGTGGCAAAGTTGACTGTACGGGAATGATTCATGAAACTGCCCCAGAAAACACCGGTAAAGGTCGCAGTAACACGCTTGGAACCACAAATGGGTCATAATGTAGCGGGAAAGCCACGGAGAGAAGACACGAAGGCGGAGGTTCTTTTCGGAGAAGGTGGCAGAAAGCGGCAAATTCTGTGAGAAGGCGTCCAGCATCTGCTCATGTTCCCGAATTTCGTCAGGGATCGTGTCAATATTCTGTCGGGAAGATACAATGCTCTTGGTATATCTTACTGGAGTTTCAGCATAATTCCACCTAGACTAGGGCTGTGGGAAGACGCTTACCTGAGTACGCGATCTCGAAACCACATGATCCGGATGTAGAGTGCCAATGAACCGAGCTTTGTAGTCTGCGGCGACATGGTTTGCTCCAGCGGCTCGGAATCTTCTTCAATGTCTAGTTCGAAGTTTTCTTCTGGACACGGTAGTCGAAGATGGATCGTGTCGGGAGGGCAGAGGGTGAATTCAGCAAGCCCACCAGCAAACCTCGTGTCCAGAGTGTAAACTGCCCACACCAGTCTCCGGCGAGACTCTCGGGCCAGGAAACACAACTTGGAGTTCTCGTAATTGAGGCGAAGGGCGAACGCGGACCTAGCAAGAGTTGCGGTGAGCAAAAAGCCGACGGAGAACTCGCCTCTGCGGATTCTGGTGTGTATCAATAGCACCAGGGCTTGGACTTTGAGAAGTGACGGCCGTCCTGGAGTATCCCTGATGATCTTTTCGGCCACCTCAAGGCATTCAGCCCCCGTCACGCGGTCTGCTTCGTCGACATCAGGCCCTTGAGATGTGATAGCGATGATGGCTAACAGGAGGATGTCGTCAACAACCCCCGCATGCCAGCGTTGGAGCAAAGACGTCCGATGGAGGAATGAAAGACCGGGCAGGGGATGCAGGTCAGCGAAGAATTTGTCCAAGGCGGCCAGGACGCGTGATGGCTTCAGCAGAGCCCGGCTAGGTTCCGTCAGCACATCATACACCAATGGAACTCAAGTGCGGTTGTACATGTCCTGATCAGTGCGATCATCATGAGGGACCATTTGAGCATCCTGCGACGAACATTGTAGGTGACCCGCAGCTGGTGTAGTATTGCCGGCCTCGTCCATTGCAATGGGATGTGCTGAGGTGGCAGGGCCAGGAAGAGGTTGTGAGAAACGTTCGGGATTGGGAGCTAGAGAGACAGTGGGGTACAAGGCGGCTCGTGATGATCGAGTTGGGTAGACACAGGGGATGTCCCGGGCGAGACATCGCGAACATGAAGTCTCGCCACCCAAACAACGAATCTTGAGATCATGGCATGTCTTACAGGCCCGTCTGGCGCGGCAGCGAGGTGGACGTTGCATGCTCGTTGGAGCATCCGCGGGAGAAACCAAAGAGACACGAAAGGAACACTCGAAGCCAAGGCGTTGACAATTGCCACAGGCATCGCGCTGTCCGTCACAGCGGACCTGCCAATGAATGTCCAAGTCAACACGGGCTGTGTTCTTCGACAAGCCGAAATAGTCTTACCTTTCTCAAGTGGCACTGGTGGCAGCTGTTCCGCGCAGCTTTGGAGGTCAACCCATTCTCATTTTCCATGGCGGAAGATGCTCAGCAAACACGCTCAGCCAAAGCGTGCGTTTGCCCACACGGACCATCGAAGCCCAGCAGGGGGATTGCGCACCGTCGGAAGATTCCCGATTCAAGCCGGTCTGTCGGTCAGACAGACAGTGGTGGGCACAACATGCTCAGATTGTGGAGTGGGCTATTCAATGGAATATGGGCCGAAGACGATGCTTTGTTCTTTGAGAGACTCTTGCTCATTCATCATTTTGATCGGCAAGGTGTAAAGAAACCGTAGGAGCTACGCGGCTATCGGTCAAGCTAGCCTCGGTGAGAAGGATCAACATGAATCCCCCGGCCGTGCACAGCTTCAGGACGTGATTGGTGCCGACAGCCGGTATACAAGTACCATATTATACTCGGACAAATGAGAATCCGGAACGATTGGCCCGCAGCCCCATTCGGAGAGTTCACAGTAGACACCAAAGGCTGATAAAAGGTACCCGTTGTCGCTCGGGTGTACCGAATACAATCCCTAGCCTTGATGCCCTATGTAACTCCCAGCTTGCTCGAGCGGTCTTGGGCTTATTTATCCTTTCCTTCTTTCCCACTGGTGTATGAAACGAACTCGCTGACGTCTGTGGGAGGCCCGTCTCTTTTGGAACATCGTATGTTTCTCTGGATCGAATTTGACAAGCACCATGCCTACACACAGAAACGTGGTGCTCATGGTCGCGGATGACCTTGGGATGCAGCTGGGTTGCTATGGAGCCAACAACCCAAAGACTCCCAATCTTGACCAGCTGGCCGCCGAAGGCACTCGGTTCGACATGGCGTTTGCCAGCACAGCGTCATGCAGTGGCAGCCGCTCCGTGATCTATACCGGCCTTCACACCCACGAAAATGGTATGTGGGGATTGCACAATGGCAAGAACCACTTTATGTGCTTTGGCGACATCGAAACGGCCCCGAAACTGCTCAATGACGCCGGCTACAAAACCGGCATTATTGGCAAGGTTCACGTCGGGCCTCAGGACGTGTTTCCCTATCACGTCCTGGACGAGAGCACCACTCGAGACGTTTCTTGGAACGCCGATCGCCTTCAGGCGTTGATCGGATCTGCAAAGAAGGAAAACATGCCCTTCTTTGCCACGGTGGGATTCGTCGATCCGCACCGTGGCTACGCGAGCAGAAGAGGGTTTGGGAACGAGGAAGGCCCGTTCAGCGAGCGCGTCAAGAAAAACCACTATTCTCCCGACGACGTTGACATACCGGTCTTCCTACCAGATCTACCCGAGATCCGCAGAGAGTTTGCCAACTATTACCAAGCCATCGATCGGATGGACCAAGGTGTTGGCATGATCTTGGACGTTCTCAACCAGGAAGGCGTCAAGGAGGATACCTTGGTCCTGTTCTGTGCGGACAACGGGCCGCCGTTTGTCAACTCAAAGACAACCCTATACGATGCAGGTGTCCACTTACCGTTCATCGGCCGTTGTCCCGGCATGAAGCCAGGCGTGGCCAACCCGAACTTGGTCTCTTATATCGATATCCTTCCAACAATCCTGGACTGGGTTGGACGAGGATCGTACACGGAAAGGCGTAAAGGACGCTCGTTACTACCAATCTTTGCCGCCGAGGCACCGCTGGATGATTGGAACCATGTGTTTGGTTCCCACACACTTCATGAAATCACCAATTATTGGCCCACCCGATATATGCGTACCCGACGTTACAAGTATCACCGGAACTTGACATGGCAAATGCAATTCCCATTCGCTACGGACATTTATGTCTCTGGAACGTGGGAAGCCATTCGCAACTCGAAGCTGGCCGTTCCGAACACGGATCAGGATGCTGAGGCGAGGAAGGACATTATGTTGGGGCAGAGAAGCCTGAGGCAGTATCTGTACCGTCCTCCTGAAGAGTTGTACGATCTGGAGAGTGACCCGCACGAGGTGAAAAATCTCGCGCTGGACCCTGCTCACAAAGACACTCTGTTGTCGATGCGGAGAGCCGTTGAAGATTGGCAGATGAGCACTAAGGATCTCTTTTTCTACCGCGACGGGGTCTCGGTGCGAATGATCAAGGACTATCTTGACGAGGGAGAAGAGATGCACATTCCGGACAAGATGGAGTTTGATATCAATGAACCAAGTAGTTTCGGCGTGCCAGCTCTGACGTTCGATGCGAATGGTCAGGCTCAGAGTCGATATTACAGTGTGGTGTCCTTCGATTAGAATTAGATATGAGCTCTCAGCCCATGCGGCAACAGTGGTGATTCCAACTGAGGATTGGGGCACGCACAGTCAATGAAAATGCCTGCAAGGCATTAAAGATCGATCGAGGAAGGCCTCGCCCTCCGCGCCGTAGCTTATTTGACGCCCTCTACAGTTCGAGGAGCACATATATCTTAACTTATAAACATTGCCTATTTTAAGCACTCCTAGAGAAGAACCTCTCGAAGGGACAACTTCCAAGTAGGAGAAAACTCGTAGAGCATTCCTGGGATCGACCGGATTTGGTCCAATCTGAAAGGCCCCATCTCCGGGCCGCGATGGTAATGTCGACTAATTCAATAATATCGTGCAATGAGAGTCCATCTGAGCCATTTTGCACCGCTTCTAGATTGCCGAAGCACTGTTGAGAGCCTCCGTTGCCGTCTGAACGACCACACTCGACCGCACTGGGATCAAACAGGGTGTGAAGTCATCATCCCCAAGGCTGCCATAACCACGCCAGAGCCGAAAAGTGCGTGGGCGGGGAGATTGTTCCATCCAGTCCGTCGGCTTACCAGCGTGGCGTCTTTCGGTTCTCGAACTAGCTCACAGCACCCGGCCATCTAGATTCTCTCGCAATGAGCATGCTGCGCTGTGACCTCCTGTCATTAGAGATGATTAGCTCGCATCTTGAGTCATAGCACCAGATTTGCATACAACCTTTGTATCAGCCCGAAGAATCTCAACATGTTGCCCGTCGACGCCCTCGGGAACCACACCATCATTCTCGATAGTGGCAAGGAAACGGCCAGCTCCGTGGCTCTGGTATTTGCTAAATTGCCAGGCCTTGAGCTTGGCCGCAAATAGCTCGTCAACCTCTTCTAATGACCGGCCCTGATACCCCAGCTAATCAGTTTCCAGGGAGACGACTCAGGGCAGAAAGAGGGTGCTACCTTTAATTCGGGGAAAAAGAGTGCTCCCCACACGACTGCAAAGCATGCAACAGAGCCGAAGATCCAACCAATACTGCTGCCCATGCCCGGTAGGAGATAGGGAGTAACAAACGTTACGAGGAACGAGGCCAATACGTCGACAGCGGTGGCGAACGCCTAGAGACTCTCACGTTAGTCGACCTTGCATGTGAGGACGGCTGAACAGAAAACACAGACCATGATTTTCTTCCTCATTCGTAGTCCTCCGATCTCAGCACCTGTAATGTAAGCGCAATTGGAGCCCGAGATCTTGGTGAATGCTGGGACGATCATAAAGCAGGCAATAAGAGTATTACTCTCACTTTGATTCGGGTTGTGGATTGACCCAAGCCCGGATGCGAGGTATAATAAGAAGCAAGCCACCGCACTACCGAAGATGAATAACGGACGACGGCCGATAATATCGAAAAGGATAAGGCCGCAGATACATCCAACAACGCTAAGAGCCTGACCGACAATTGCATAGGTGAATGACATAGAACCAAGACCCTGTTGGACGTAAAATGTCGGAGCGTACGATTGGACAAATTGGTTTCCATTGGACTGTTGAATAACAAAGAGAGTTGCGCAGATCTTCGCGGATATCGCATGTCAGAGGTTGGATAGGAGGAACTGGTACATGGAGAGATACCACTTACCCAGGTGCGTCGGAGGTAATTACCACGGAAGATATCTGGCCAGCTGGCCCGCTCAGTAGCCCGAGACTCCTCGATCATGAGCTCAATAGTGTCCACCTCAGCCGCTGTGGCGCCGTTGTCCACATCATGCCGAGACCGGATCTTGTCGAGTGCCTTTTTAGCTGCTTGTTTACGACCTTTGAGGATGAGCCATCTTGGAGACTCTACCGTGAAGGGTAGTAGCACGAGGAACGTAACGGCAGGAACAAGTTGCATCGCAGTCGGTATAATCCATCCCTTTTGTGAAGAGTCGGTCGCGTAGGCACGCGACATACCTGCTCCCCAGAGGTTGCCTAGACCGGTCAAGAGCATAATTGAACCTGATAGGAGGCCACGTGCTGCAGCGGGAGAGATCTCTGCGTTGTAGGCTGGCACAACGTTTTCGACCAACCCAACAGCAAGGTAGGCAATAATGCGACCAACCGTAAATTGGACCCAATTTTTGGCGGTCAGTTCGACTGCGGAAAGTGTAAGTATCCACGACTGTTTCTTGATTCGTTTGATCCTTTTCGTAGAGGGAGCATACCGATGATGCCGACGATCTGCACCAGTCCGACGGCGTACATGCTCTTTTTATATCCCGCAAGTTCGATCAGCCTTTCGACAATGAAGCAGCCAACGATCTTGCCAATCCAGGGCAATGAATTCATCAATGCTTTCCTGGTGGGCGGCAGAACGTGGTTTCCCTTGTCATTTAAAATCCCGAAGCGATCGAGGAAGGACGGCAACGCCTGTAATGAACCAAAGGAGCCAGTGTCACTACAATCATATCAGTAACAAGATTTGATGTCTGCAACAGGCGAATCTCCTGGACTTACATGCCAAACATCAAAGCACCAGACAGAAAGACGCAACAGTTGAATATCAAATAGGGCGTCAACTGACGCCATGTGGACAAGATCTTCATGCTTGGACGAGGACAGGTCGCAGGCGCAAGAAAAGGCGATTCTCAGTAGGATGTGATATCGACCAGAGCTTTTGGGAACTAGGTAGGCGATGGATAGATCCGGGGTAGATTTGAGGAGCGCGTAAAGAGTAATTATTCACTTCTCTCCTGCCCATGGGTCTCCAGAAATCCGGGTGCCCCAGCTAACTCAAAAAGGGTCCATACGGCACCGACAACCGACGCTTGGAGCGTTCCGGCAGCTGTGCCAATGACATGCGACAGTTGATAATCATGCTGGCCTAGAACCTGGAACCGAGAACCGACGGTGGAACTCATCCACACCGAAAATGTAATGTCTGGGCCTTCTGGGGGGTGGCTGCGTACCTACGTGGCTGTCCCATTGCCATATTCTGCCAGGGCGCAAGTTGGCGACAGTCTCAGTCGACCCTGACAAGGAGGTTAGTCCATGACATCTTTGAACAAAGATGTGGATGCGGCGAGTAGAAAAGATATGGCAAAAGAAAAGTTGTAACGTGACCGACATCACAAAGTCATCCGGACACCAGGTAATTCCCCATTCAAAATGCCAACAACATAATCACATAGCATTACCAAGATAGAGAGAAGACAAGTCGTCCGTAGCCACCGAGAGAATCCGTCAACAACCTTCGCAACCGTGTCCAGCTCATTCGTACGACTGCGGCGTCGAGTTTTGATGGCGTCCTTAATCTCAACCCTATTGTTCCCCCAGCGATGGATTTGGGAGACAGGGAATGGGGTGGCGACTGTGCGCGGAGACGGTCGACCTCTTCGTACCCAGCTGTGACGCATGGGTACGAGAACTCATCCCATCTCATGGGCCGCTTCTCACCACCATCCCGAACCATTCGACGAGATGAGCGATTTCGTGTCATACGCGGCTGCCGATGAGCAAGAGAAGGGCCGACGTGAGTTGCCTACGAGGTAAGTGTGCACATAGTCAGTTGTCTGGCGCTCTTCCTCGACCACTTGTTTGCGGCAAGTGAGGTCCACGCGGTGATGAGAGCAACGCCGGGGTCAGCGATCTAGGTATCGAGTCAGAACCGAGTGGCGGAGAGTGGGGAAGGGAGAACGGGAGAGGGGGCAAAGATCAACTTTACAAGACATAGCGCTGGAGGGAGGCATCTTATTCTTCGTCTTCGAGACATACTGATCTCAGCTACAAACTCGTCAGCCTCGATATGTGCTGCTCTCTGGTAACCGTTTGCTTCAGCTTGAGCAAGCAGTAGTTGGTCCGGTGTAAGCTCTCGCGGCCTTGGCTGACATATGGCGGTGGCAGAAGTGACAGTAGTCTGATATCACGGTAAAACGGCCCCTGACAACGGCGAGGAGAAAATCCAGCGAGAATCATCACATTCTGAAGGACGAAGGCTTGCACTCCGGGGAGGATAGGGCCTTTATACTTCGTTTGGGATCAGAGGAATCTGTCTGAACGAGGGGACGAGACAGTACATGTACATAGTTGATGGTCCAAAACATGTGAAAGCACAGTTGAGCGCGCCGCTGGTTTGGATCCGATCCTGACTGGCCGCTGTACGCTGCGGAGGAGGTCAGTATAAAGGGGGAGTGTTGCAGGTGAGCGAGGTGAGACAGAGGGTGAATGGTCGTTATACAGTAGGGAGTACTCAGAGTAATAATAGTGGTCAGCTGAGGCCCAAGCGGGACTCCAGAGCGCGAGGTGGCTCATGGCGCTCCCACCTAATCTGCCGTGGCTCCCGCGACGCTCCGTCACGTGCGTAATTAAAGCAGCCTGGCACTGTTTCCTGAACGAAGATGGCAATGGACGAAACACCGTTCCAGGTGTATATACATATACATGTGTATATAAATGTATACATAGTATAGACGTATATAGCCATTCACACCACCACCACCACCACCACCATCACTACGACCAAAAAATCATCATGAGTAAATAAATACCTCATAGGCCGGCTCAACCTCGTCTTCAGCCTCAGCCTCAGCCTCGTCGCGCTGCGTCAAATAATATTAATCAAACCAATCCCCCCCGTGCCGTTTTCGGACCGTTGGCAATTTCCGCATCCGGCCACAAATTTCATCTCCCACTTTCATCCTATTCTCCCACCCTCATCCTCGTCTATCTAATATCCGATAAGTCAATCTCATCTCATTTCATTTCACCTCTATTTCTCCGTACCTCTACTCCGTAGCTATCACCCTCATCTCATCTCCCTTGCCTCCCTTCATCTCCCCTCCAACCGCACGCCTTCATCTCCTCCGCCTCAGCAATCTATGACACCCCCCCCACTACTATGTATACAGGATGGCCCTGGCCCACGCCCGCGCCCACCGCGGAGGACCCCCTCGTGCCACGTTTTAATCTTGTCGTGTCTGCCCCAAGGAAATAGTCGGGCCTTCGTCGTCAAACATCGAGGCTCAGCAATCAATAGTTGAAACACATCTGGCGGGGTCTGTCAAACACAAAAACGGCTAGAAATTGCCCACGATATTAATGGGTCGCTCTGCTCTGCAATGCTAGGAATATAAGTAGATCAACCACCACCACCACCACCATTGACATTCTCCCTCCCCAAACACAGCATCGCATGTGCTGTGCTTGCTAGGTCCCGCCACAGCCTTCTCAATTTCGACATCCCTTTCGACATCTTTGGTGTCAACGCCGACCGCCCATCCACCCAGTGCCAAACCCCCAGCCTCTCCAAGTGTTGATCGTAGATCAACTTGCCTCCAATCTTCCAGAAACTGCCAGAAAGGCTAGATTTGTTCTCCATGTTCCCCAAACTTCCCTGGGGAATCATGCTCGATATATGCGAGAGAAAAGAATTAATTCGCCCGGTGCATCGGTTCAGACGCCGCGGACTTGGATTCCCTTTTTTTGGCCCAAGCACGAGACAACTGCTCGCCAATGCTCATGGGCATGGCCGAGACAGTGGTCAGGATCATCAGTCGGGAATCTCTCATCCGGGCTGAAGTATCCCAGTTCATGCTTTTGTAACTTCCACAACAAAACCCCCAAAAATCGACGAAGCGCGCACAACCCAACAAAAATGTCCCATGGCCCAAACCCCCCAAATTGCAAGAAGCAAAAAAGTCGTTGCTGACACATAACCACATGACTAGACAATTTGAAAAACGAAAGGAAATGGCACGGAAATCAAGAACCGAAGAGACAGCAATCCACGCTATCAGACAGCTGGCAGCGGCCCGGAGCCGCGCACACACTAACAAGAGATATCCATATGTAACGGGTGGTAAAAGATCAATAAATGATGAGCGCCGTCCCGACAGTGCTGAGAAGTATTGTGTATCCAATTTGTGCGAAAAGGCGTGTTTCCAAGAGTTAAGATTCTAGGGGAGGCATCAAGGTCATGTCAAACTGATACAGGGAAGGTCGTTCGGGTGGGTTTTAGTGATGGAGTCCAGCTTGTAGCGCGTGAGGGTCCACGGTGCCAAACGGCGTCATCGGCATGTCCATGTGTTCCCGAGGCGTGTGGAACTCCGACATGTCGTTCATCATCAGCATGCCATTCTCATCCAACCCAGGACTGGGCATGGGCATGTTGAGATTTTGCTTCGAATACATCTCCCCCAACATCAGTGTCTCGTCCATCATGCCGTGCGCGTTGAACATGTCTGCCGACGCGCTACGGTGCAAAGCCGACAAAGGTGGCGAGTGGTCGGCAATCACTGGGTCCGGATGGCCCATGTGTGGCATGGGAGACACCGAACTCGGCATCATCGTATGGTCAACCATGGGAGATGGCGACAAGAACGGCGCACTGAACTGCTGGGGTGTGCCGAAATCCGATGCCTGCATAGGGGGTTGAGCTGGGTTGGACGGGAAGAAGCCGGGGCTGGCGAATTCCGACGGTGATGTGGCGGTGGCAGACATGGGCATTTGACGGAAGTCCATGCCATATCCGGCTGACGTATCGATCTGCAAGCTGGGACCCAGAGGTGCCTGGACAGGATGTTGTGGCATGGGTTGGAAGAGGTTGTGCTGGTCGGGTGCCAGTTGAGGCGAGGGCTGTTGGATGTGGAATGTTGGCATGGGTCCGTGGAGCATGGAAAAGTCAATGGCAATGGGGACAGATCGACTCCTTTGTCGCTTGTGGCCTGGGTGCATCCGTCCCGGATGAAGATGATGCTGCACGCCGAACTGTTCTTGGAACATGCCGACATGAGGAGGCTGAGGCCGGGCGAATTGGACATTGGGTTGCGACGCCGGGCGCACAATACCCATATTCGGGGACACGGGCGCAGACGCAGGCATGGCGTTGATATCGAACGGGTTCAGTCGGTTCTGGAACGCTTCCAGTGACACCAGCTTGGCAAGCTGACCGCTCAGTACCTTGGGATGCCCACCGAGATGGTGAACCAAGATCTGAGAAGCTTGCTGGTCCTCGGTGAAGTCACCACATTGGTAGAAACCTCCCGAGTTGGATGAATCCATGAAGAAGTTGGGTGGCCGGTTCAACTCAATGACCAGTCCCCCTGGCCGCGGCGGAGCGCCATTTACAGTGGGCGCCGTGTCACCGGGTTCCAACTGAATGCTCTTGATGAAGGCAAAGGGGAATTCGATCTTGTAGCCGGCCGAGTCATTGTTGATGTAGTATGTGATGCATGCCTTGTCAGGCGAGTAGAAAATAACCAGATCCATGGCGTTCTGGCCCACTCGACGCCAAGAACCGATGCTCAGAGACCGACAGGTAAAGTGTTGAATGACTGTGTCTTTTCGTTAGCTCCGTGACCATTTCTACTCGTTCGACCACTTTCTGAACATACCAACTTTGCCTTGCGCGTTCGGATCACCATTCATCAGCATAGCACCGCTCCCGTACTGTGCCATTGGCCCGCCAGGTCGCAGCAGCTGCCGAGGAAATGGCCTTCCAGATTCCATGGCCTGCATGGCCAGCAGCTGTCTCAAGGACTCTGGGATGTTGTCCAAATCCTCGCCATTTTCCAGGCTCTTCTTCGCAAGCATCTTGATCTTGGCGCGTCGACGACTAAAGCGAACAGTCAGTATTAAACGCGTCTCAGTTGCAATGTATCATCGGCCTACCTGTTCTGAAACCAAATCTGGACGGAGCGTTCCGTCATGTTGATCTCTTGGGCGATACGTTCACGAGTGGCAGCCGTGGGAGTGGGATTCTTGTTGAATTCCATTTCCAAAGTCACCAACTGATCTTGTGTGGCCCGTTGTCTCTTTTGGTTTTTCTGCTGCTGCGTCAAGGTGCTCTTGCGAGGAGGACGGCGCGGAGCCGACGCGGAACCTTGGGTAGCTGAACTATTCGAGGTCGCCGGCGTCGTCTGCGTGTGTTGACTGGCATTGGGGGATGGAGTGGATTCGACCGAGATGTCGAGGTCAAGGTCTGTAGGGTCCGACAGCGAGTCCATCGCGTCCATTGGGTCGACCTTGATGTCAGGGTTACCCATGGTGGATTATTCGCGTGTCTCTCTGGTTTGCCGTCTGAAAAAGGATTGAAATGCTCGTAGGCAGGAGGGTTGTATAGGGAGGTTGACGTTGCTTCGTTAGGGTGGGAAGGGATTTCCGATGGCTGATCCGAGCAGCGAGATGGAAAATGACTTCGTAGCCCAGCGAGTTCGACGTCTCCAATGGTCGTGCTGTTGCAAAGGGGTGGGGTTGGGTAAAGACTGTATTGGATTGGAGCGAATGGAAAAATAGAAGCAAAGAGCTTAATGAATGTGGTTCGAGGGCCTTGAAGGAGTGAAAGGCACAACTCGAAGGTTGAGGATTGAACAACAAGAGAAGGAAAGAACGTGATACAGAGGATAGAAGAATGGTAGGAATGGGCAAAAGCGACGGTGAGGATGGAAGGGGAAAAAAAAGAGAGGTGGAAAGACGAGACGAGAGGAGCAGGACATTAAGGGAGGGCAGCGAGGCCCGCGAGCGCGGTGAGTTCCAGTTGGGCGCAGCGCCCCCCCGGAGGAAGCGGTAAAGAAAGCCCAGCGGCGGCTGCTGAGTGGCCAGTCGAGCCTTCTGGGCCTCTCGGACAGCCAGGAACCACGCCCCCTTCCCCCCAAGCCCTCTGCACCTGAGCACCAATGCAGGTACACGAAGGGCCCCAAACTCAAAAGCCGCACGGGCCCCTGGTTGTGTCAGTGGGTCGCGTCCTGGACGGGGCTAGTGCTGCTTCTAGCTGAAAAGGGCGTCATTAGCTCCACTGGTGCCTCGCTCTGTACCCAGAATCTGACATGGCGTCTCTCTAAGCGTTCTCTAAGCGTGCCAGGAGCAGCCGCGCTATTCTTTTCTCGGGATAGAGTGGGTGCTAAAGACCCAATGGTGAACCTTGTTTGTACCGACCGCCAGGCGTCGCACCCGCTCCCCTGGAGGAGCTCGCCAGCGCGTCAGACATGGCGCCCCAAAGACACCCCCCCCCCAGTGACGCCAGGGAAGCACCAGAGGATCAGTCAAAACACCCCATGTCACAACATGGATTCGCGCTGTCCGTCTCACCCACCAGGCCAGGCTATTGAAATCCTCAGCCAGGGATCCTGATTGGCTCCCAGGTAGCATTGTTCCGAGTGCGCGCCCACCAAAACGGAGTTGCACACAAAGCAGCCAGCTCTCGACCTTCAAACACAAGAAAGAACCCCTCTGATACAGGCATCCCGTATGAGCAAATATTCCTGGTGCTAAGGACACCGTTGGGGCAGAAGTCGTGCTTCAGGTACAACCGCCATCAGTGTTGGCCATTTCAATTCGCTGTCTGCTGTAACGCTGTTGGGACGCGTCGCGAGACACCAGACTCCCGCTTAATTGCAGCCGCCACCACAAAGAACGTACTCGTAGCTCACCTGAGATCTTCCCGAAGCTTTTCGTCAGTGCTGTGCACCCTCTATCATTCGAGGAGCTCTCACGCTGGCCGCGACTGTATCCCGAGCGAAGATGGAGAACCTATCGAGGTCCCCCTTCGTATTCCATAGGCAATGCCGCAGCCACAGTCGGTGTCGATCGACCATTCAAACCAGGTCATGAGATGCTTCTCGAAACAATTCGTGCGGACGCCAACTAGTCTTGTGCCCCGTGCTGATCGTCTTTGATTCGTGTAGTCTGTGCACCGTTACGACGGCACCAATGATGCGGGCAAACGAACTCATGTTCTCCAAGCTTTTGGACAAAAGGCACGGCCTGGACAGTGATTGGCCACACCTGGTGAGGTATTCATCTCTGGTGAAAGCCCTGCTGGCGGTTATGATTCGCCACAGAACAATGGCAAATGCTTCTAGGCTCCTTCGGATCGTCGTGATGCAAACCGACCGTGGTCGAGCTCGTCAGGCAAGCAGTGGTGCTTCGTTCAGAGTCGTCGTGCCGGTGGTCTCACGCATTGCATTGGACAGCGACTTGAATCTAACCATCGAAACGGAGAGCCAGTAAGATACAAGAAAGACGGCAAAATTCCCGCGCCTATGATTGTCTCACAACGGTTATGCATTGTAACCCTGTGCGTAGTGCTTCTTGTCGTTCAGGGTTTGGTCGTGCTCGTAGTTGGCCACTCAGCTCGGGACAAGACATGAGATGTGGCACATGCCAGGAGCTTCACAGTCGATGGGCCGATCCTCCTGAATATCCAAGCCGGTCGAGTGCTCCAGCCATACCCGGGTCCTGCAGGCGGTGACATGGATTTTGTGACTAAACCGTACTCTACTTGGCTCCCAGTGCCCGTCTTCGCCACATTGATTTGTTTTTTTTTATTCTACGGAAAATGGGCGAACAAAGAAGCATCCTTAACAGCAGGACGGCCTATCGCCCGAACCCGAACCTGGGTGCCCCTGGATCGATTCATATACACCCTGCACACCCGTACATTTCTGTCTTGTGATAATGTTGCTTCAAAGACATCCGCTTCCGCATGGCATTTGAGACTCGAGCGCACGAGGAAAGAAGGTTCGAGCCCGACCAAGTGGGCACGGCACGTCGTACTCGTAGAGGCCTTCGATAAGAACAGATAGGGGAACGGAGGTTTGCGCAATGGAGACCAACCCAGTTGAGGTAGGAGAGAACTGGAGCTGCGCCGGTGGTCTGATGAGGCTAGGCTGCGAGGAGCGTGGCAGGTGCTCCAGATACGAAGCGGCTATACCGTAGAGAGGTGTTAGCATGATGGTGAAGCTTTGCTTCTCTTGGATCGTTGATGTGGCACCCACGCTGTCGAGTTGCCCGCATGGAACAGTCCCAAGTCGATCAGGATCTAGCGCTGCATGAGAAATGGAGTGGCTTGTTTCTCCTTTACTCCGCATTCTTCTGGTGACACTGCGCAGGACTAATGCCAGGTACCCAGTGGCTGTCATTGGAGGAGTAAAGTCGCCTGGTGGCCGAGCAAAGTGGACCGTCCAGCCAGACCAGCCAGGATCCAGGATGGAGGATGCTTCCCCCTTCCTGGTTGATGCACCGGCCAACGCCCAACGGCAACAACGGCGAGCGAGAAAAACTCTTCACCACGTGTCAGAAGCCGTTTGCTCTGCGTGGAAGAACCTTGTTTAGTCACAAAAGACGCAGACCAGTTTGGCGACAGCTAAGCGTAATTTTCTGTCGAGGAGGAATAGTTGGTCGTTGTCTGGGGAGATTCGAAGCTGAGACTCATTAGGCATCTCACCACAGTCCATTCGTGTGTTGAATGATACATCACCCGATCACCCCCGATCAGTCGGGCGGCAATCGAGGCGATGGAGAAGCACCTCGACAAGGCGGCCCATGGCGTGAAACACCCAAAGAAAGAATTCCTTCTCCTGATGGTGTCACGATGGAGCGACTCCCTGCCAAGAGGCCTCGCTTCCCGAGTGGCGGTGGATTTGCATCAAACACACACTTGACCTGAACCTTTTTGTCGTCCTTATGCATCTTTGCCGACCCGTCTGTCTAGTGTCTTTGTGTATCTGCTACGCAGTATGGTCTCAAATAAGTCCCTCGAAGCTATTGCATGACCGGCGATCACCTCAACAGGCGGCACCCCAAGAGCAGAAGCGCTGAATGAGAGTCGACTCCTCCCGCAGGCATGGGGCGCAGGTGCTGTCCCCCTATACCATGTCTCACCTAAAGCCCCATCTTATACCCAAAGCAGGCATCCCACTTGACCATACCGAGTATACATCATGCATGGAATCGATAGCACGGATCCCCCTTTCTGTCAGAAGAAGCAGAAGCAGGTGAAGAAAAGGATGCAAAGGAAAAGCGGCCCACATGGCCACAGACACACGACAGGAATACGGCAAAATAATTGACAAGGTGGAAGAGTATATTCATCGCCAATTGCTCCCTATATGCATGTCTCTAAGTCGATCCATGTTCCAAACCCTGTCCCATGTTCCGTCATAATTCAGCGCTCAATGCTCCGTACATTTCATACTCATTTCTCATCCAAAAAGAAAACAATGCGTCTCAGGGGGTATTTTTTGGTCATCGCCCATGACTCTATCGTAGTAACTCCTGGCTCCTGCGCACCGCGCCAAAGCCCTTGCTGAACAGTTCGCCAATATCGATCGACTTGCGCTGCTGCGACAGCTGTACTTCACTCATTTCGTGACTGCTCCCTTGTCGGTGATTCTGTGGTCTCTTCGTACTGGGCTCTGCCTTGGTGCTGAGTCCCGAGTCGTTCCTCTTCACCTTGGGCTTTCGCCTGTCCGACATGTCCCGAGGCTTGTTCAATAGTTCTTGGACTTGTGCCTCACGTTCCGCTTGTTCGGCTGCTTCTCGGGTCAGCTCCAGACTCGACTTCTTCGTCCCTCTGTCCCAGCCCTGTTGCAGGAGATCCGCTGCAGCCTCTTCGAAGCGCTTGCGAACCTCTCGATCCTGTTCAAATCCCTGAAAGACGTCCACATCGCTGGGGCAGGCAGCCGCACTGATTGCTTTGATTGTCACTTCCAGCAGACAAACAGCCGAGATGGTCCAGAGAAGGGTGATCCACCAGAGAAGATTGCGTCCGAACCCATCCAACAGGGCGTGGTTGACACTGTACACAGGGTTGAAAGGGTATATACTTGACAGAATAAGGTTCCACAGCCACCACCCGCCCACGGACAGAAAGATCGCTATTGCTGCCATCACCGACTTGTTGTGCAGCTCGATAAACTGTAATTTCAAAGAGATGATGACGATACAGGCAGTGAAGACCAGCGACCCAAAGGCGTACAGCTCTTGGTCCCGGGTGAACCAGGCCATGCCGTAGATGCCGTAGATCATAAAGTAAACAAGAACTGCTTCACATACTGCAAGTGTGGACCACCTCAGGTAGACCCAGAAGTTGAATCCGCAATCTCGTTGACCAAAGTTGTAGAGTTCCGGCACTGCCAGTAACGTGGATGCAGCCAGGTCCTTCTCGAAGACGCCCATGAAGATCACCGGGAGAGACGTGAACAGGGTATTGAACATGGACAAACTCCACGGCTCGTACAAGCTGGTGCCGGTGTAACCGTTCCATCGCTGGTACAGGGCTTGAGCGTTGTAGAACATCATTTCTTTCCACAAAGTACCGAGAAGGTACTTGCAGATCCGAACATAGTTCCATCGTCCATGCACGAGCAGCAATTTCAACAAGAAACGGAATTGGGCAATCGAATAGTCAGAAGTTCGCGCAGCTTGGAGACCTTCCTTGCCAGCAATTCCAATTCCCAGATGCGCCTCTTGGATCATGGCAATGTCGTTGGCCCCATCCCCAATAGCCAAGGTCACAGAGCCCTTGACTTTGGTCCTAATGGTCCTGACGAGAGAAGCCTTCTGACTGGGGGAAGCTCGGCAGCATATCACAGAGTCGGCACGGATCGCAACATCTGTAAACAGCGCCCTGGTCGCGCGGTCTGCGTCGATGATAGTCAGAGTTTGTCCATCTATGACCAAAACTGAATGCGCCGTTTTCTCGTCGTCAATCTGGACAAATGCTTGTGCCATTCGGTCGTGCAAGTCTCCAAGCTCATGGTCAAGGACAATGACAGTAGAATAGTCCTTGATCAATCGACACGAGTGACCAATGTTAATGGCAGTCTCTCGTTTGTCACCGGTAAGCATCCACATCTTGATGCCGGCCCTGCGGAGCCGGTCAATGGCATCAGGAACACCTTTCTGCAATTTATCCTCGATGGCGGTGGCCCCCAGCAACTCCAGTTTTGTCTCGAGTAGTTCTGCCGCATGTTCAATCTTCTCCTGTCGGTCCACGATGCTCGTCGTCGCAGACAGATAGACCTGCTTCCATGTCTTGTACTCATCTTCGGTCAAGAACCGATATGCATACAGGAGCGTTCGAAGGCCTTCCGTCGCAAAGTCATCAATATGCTGGAAACAGCGAGCGAACACGGCATTATCGTCTAGAACAAGACTCTCCTCAACTAAATCTTCCGAATCATCGACTTGCATCGAAGCACGAGGCGTGGTCTGAGGCGAGTATTGTGCTCTCCCGGCGTAGCTTTCGGACTTGCGAGATAAAAGCTGCATGGAGGGTCGAGGTGAGTAGAACTGTGAGCTCTTACGTCGTTGCGAAGTTCCCACATCCTTCTCACGCTCTTTCAACCAGTGGTCAATGCTGTCACGGGCAGTCCGAGAACGGTCGAAGGAGAAGCCGCTGGGTCGTGGGGAAGCGGCATATCCAGAGCTTGACCTCCGACTCAATTGAGTGCTGCGTCTTCTCAGAGCTTCTTGGGCTTCAACGCTTTTCCGCTGACTGGCTCGCCTTTCCACGGCTTGCACATTCGAAGCTGCCAGATCTGCCAAGCGCAGGAGATTCCGGATGGTGCCATCCGCGCCCTTACTGATGAGGCAAATGCGTTGGTCGGGAAAACGCACAACCACCGACATTCGTTTCCTGGCGCTGGAGAATTCAATAACATCAAGCACTTCGTAGGTCTCGTAGATGGGAGACTCCTCGTCTCCATCAGCATAAGTCTTGATCGTCACCGTATTAGAATGCCGATCAGTCACAATGTAATCCAAGTCTTGCGCGGCTGTCACCAATGCCAATTCATCCGGTGAAGCAGCCTGATACTCAAGATTGCCTTCATCGTCTTTCTCCGGAATGCAGGTATGACATAGAGCCAGCGAAAGAAGAAAGAATCGAGCTTTTCGTGCGAAGGCGGTAAACGGCCGCCGGTAGATGTAGTCGAGCAGATCTTGTGTCTTGCCAGTTTCCAGAGTCATACTGAGACCGTTTGAGGCTTTCCACGGGCTGTCTTCTGGGGCGGATGCATGCGTAGTCTGGTTGTCAGTTCCGGCACTGGTGGATGCTGTGGATTTACGGAGAGCCCTAGATAAAGACATCCTCTGTTTCTTCTCTGCGCGAGGTTCCTTTCCTTTGCCGCCTCGCTTTTTGTGCCAGAGCTTCTCACGCCCAGCTCCATCTGCAGCTTCATCTTGCAGATCAAGATCATGCAGCCACGCTGTGCCAGCGACGCTCATTTTCCGAAACTTCATCGAGTTGTTCGTCAGCGTCCCGGTCTTGTCGGAAAATATATAGCTGACCTGCCCCAGCTCTTCGTTGATTGTCGAGGTGTGCGGTTCCATTGGGATGTCTGATTCGGGATCGTACATATCCACATCGTTCATCAAGAACATCTGGGCCAATTTGACGATTTCCAGTGACACGTACAAGCTCAAGGGCAACATCGTGTTCAACATGATGATGAAGGAGGTCAGGACATGGCCAAAAGGCACTTTCGCGTCCTGGAGGTACCACGACTTTTCCTCAGTCGTCCGACGCCAAATCTGATAGGCCACAGTCAGAATTATAGCCATGAAGATGACGAGCGAGGCCACGAAAATGACGACTCTATTGACCTTGGCCTGCAATGTAGGGGCCTTGACGCGAGGAGTCTTGTTCGCATTCATGCGTATTTTGCACTCCTCGCCAGAATAGATGACCAGGCCGACCGCAGATGGAGTATTACGCAGGACGCTACCACGATACACGATCTCCGAATTGGTCAGTGGTAGTGTTGAACCATTGATCGTTACCCTGCCATCGAATTTGTAGAGATCAAGGTTAGGGTCCTCCACCACGAATTCGGCAGGGAGTCTGGCGATGGTGTCTGGATCTTGACAAGCTGCACTCACATCGGCGGCGGGCCTTTTGGATTTGAGATTCGTCTCTCCATCGAGGCTTTTCGTTTCGATGTAAGCTGTGTCCGTGGGCTCGTCGGTATGAAGTAGTATCAAGTCGGCAGGAATTCCAGCATCTCTCTTTAACAGTACGATATCGCCAACCCGGACTTCGCTCCATGTCTTCTCCTGCCATTCAGTATGAGAGGAGCTAGATGGAGCAATCCTGAGAACCTGCGTCGTTCTTTCGTTCTCCTCTTTGTCCAGGCGATGTCTCCTAATATCGTCATACCCTTCTTTAGCCATTGACAGAGCAACAAAGATGAGTAGTGGAATTATGGTGGTGTACGTCCCCGTGGTACTCAGACCGGGTATCATTTGGAGTATAGAAACGCACAGGAAGTAGAAGTTGGCGAGTTTCCCGAATTGGGCGACGAGCTGTTTCGGGACAAAGTTCCAGGGTGTGTAGCGACAAGAGCGGATGACGTTGCTGATGTAGGGCTTGCCAGTCCTCTCGTCGAGGGCGTGGTCGGCCTCAACCACATTCACCCTGATATGTCTTCCGTCGAGACTGGGCGGAATAGTGTTGGCCCGAATAATTTTGTCCCGCAATTGGCGATACCTTTCTGTGAGCCGCTTGAGCAGAGTCGTTCGAGAATGGTGTTTAGACATCCATCGTCGGTACAATGGAAGCTCGAGATCCGAATCCGACAGTCGAACGGGTTTGGTCGATCGCGCATCGGGTTCTTCTTCTGCCTCCTCAACAGTGATGGTGGTCGGGCGGGAGTCAATCTTTGGCGAGTTGGCCGCAGCCTTCGAAGGATCCATCTCAAATGTACTTCCATTGTCCGAAGCCTGCTTCTGAATATTCTGTGTGAAAAGCGAACGTCTGAGGGAGTACCCCCGGTTGCGGCCCACCGAGGGGCTCTTGAGTATGCCAGCGGGAGGACGAGCAGATGTCTTGATCTCCCTCGGTCGTATATCCTCCTCTGTATCTCGGGGCAGTTCTATCGAGAAGCGAACTTTGGATGTATCGTTGGCGGGGACATCCTCCACAGGCAAACCTGCCCTGTCTTGCTTCGATTCTCCATTCGCGGCGACTTGACATCTGTCCTCGCCTGATGAGTCCCGCTCACAGTTTTCGTGATTTTGACCACCGGGGTCTGTTGACGCGTCTGCCGCCATATCGAACGTCTCGAAGGGCTTGTAGGAGCGGGCGCAAAGGGCTGGTTTGGCTTGAATGGTTCATCGGCGCAGTTCTCTCCGAGAGTCGAGTCTCCTTGTTGGGGCAAAAAATGGGAGACGAAAAAGTTCCTTTGTGAAGGGTTGGGCTGAGCGAAGGTCAACTTCACGTAACAGCAAAAAAGACATTGCTCAGAAGGGTGTCGCGACACGCAGAGAGGACGTGTCTCAGATTGCGCGGCTGTTCTGAGTGACAGTCAGGAGAGTCCGTGGAGAGGCGGTGGCAGTGCATTGAAATGTTGCGCAAACTGCAGATTCAACGGATCTCCGACCCAGTGAGTTTACCAGGACCAGGGCAACCCACCAGCCAGGATTCCAGGAACCTGCAACAGCGTGGCAGCGGGCGCAACCCTACGTCAAAATTGTGGGCAGACGGTGGGGTTGCGCGGGCAGCACTGGGCGACACTGGGCAGTTCGGGGCGAGCCCGTGGGCGTGATGTCACGCCCAGCCCGCCTATGGTGCCTATCACCCAGTCCACCACTCATCTTGCCTGCTTCCACCCTTCCAACGACTTTTCCCCCGACGCTTCTGCAAGCGATTACCCCAATGAGTCTGGTTTGTCCTTCTGGATCAGTTCCTATTCTGACGATCATCTGCTGTCACTGACGGAGTTCGTGAGATCTTCTACAGGTTTCCAATCCAAACGTCTACAAAGCTCTGGTCACGAGAGCACCCACGAAACTCGAGAAGTCCTCCGTGCGGCGCCTCTTGCAACAGGATCATTGAAGACATCTCCTACTCCAGGATGACTCTAATCCCATCGTTGATCCCGTGTCCAGCCACGGGCGAGACCGCCCATCTCGTACAATGTTCTTGGACGACGCGCATTGATTCAAAGCGCAAGCGAGGGCCTGTAGGACAAGGCTCGCGATGATAGACAAGATGGACCAGTTGCTGACCCAACAGTAACTTAAGGCCGGTCTGTTTGAGGCCTGAGCGTAGGGGATAAGCCCATGACAACCCTCGAGCGTCCGCATGCCGAGCGGTTGGTATGTGACCTGGCGAGGTGCCCCGACTAGAAGATGTGGCAAGGGCGCGGTTTGCGCAATCTTCATATGCCATCTCGATCAAAAAGTTCAAGCCTCATGCCTCCACGATGAAGTCGTTCTGCCTCGAAAGGCCTGAATCGGAGGATGTAAGATACATCAAGAAAGAAGTCATTTCGGTATAGAGTCGAGCGCCCAAGCTACTTCCACCATACCTGAACTCACTACTCCTAGCCGCACAAGTCAATCTTGTCACCAGAGTTCGAACCCCCTTCCATACCTGAAGATGAAAAGTACGAGGGAACAGAGGTAGACCCGAACGTTCTGTCAGGTACTGTCTATACCACGAACCACCTCGAGGGGACTGACTACTAAAGATCAACCCCTAGCACTCCCCGATGGGACGCGGGCCATCTGGTCAGCGACATACAGAGCCTCGTTCTGGGCCATCAGCACAAAAATTGACGCTGAGGACCCAGAAGGTGACAAGAAGTCCTACTTCATGAAGGTAAGACGAACGGAAACGCTCAGCCTAACGCGTACAGTGTTGATTCAGGGCGACGATAAGGTTTACACGACTGTCAAGGCTCAAGCACAGGCAATTGGCGAGTACTTGTCCACAAAAGCCATATACGCTGTCATCCCCGACAGCGTGCCCAGGCCTATCGCACTCGGCTCCCTCGCCCGAGATCCAAGCAAGCATTTCTACCTCGCCGAGTACAAAGACATGAAAGAAGAAATGCCACCTCTACGAGATCTGGCCTCGGTCATCGCCAACCTGCACAACAACTCCATCTCCCCCAACGGACGATTCGGGTTCCAGGTGCCGACGTCGCAATCCCTGCAGCTCGAGAACACCTGGTGCGACACGTGGGAAGAGTTCTTCACCCGCGCGTTCCGCAACACGGTCCGACTCGAGCAGGAGATCCAGGGCGCCCACGACGAGCTGCAGCGGCTGGCCGACGAGATGTGCGACAAGGTGATCCCTCGCCTGCTCCGTCCGATGGAGACCGGAGGCCGGAAGCTCAAGCCCACCCTCCTGCACGGGGACCTGTGGCACGGCAACATCGGCGTGGACCTCATGACCGACCAGGTGGTGCTGTACGACTGCTGCGCGTTCTACGGCCATCATGAGTGTGAGTGTTTTCCTTTTCCTCGTTGAACGAAAGAAATACCACACAGGTCTTGCCTCAACGCGGCCCACACAGATGTCGATTGGCTATATATTTACACCCCTTGACTGATTGATCTATCTAACCTACGTGGATCGAGCAGACGACCTCGGCATGTTCCGCGCGTCGCGCTACCGCACCTCCCGGGCGCACGTGGATGCGTACAACGAGCTCGTCCCAATCTCCGACCCGGCCGCGGACTTCGACGACCGGAACGCGCTGTACGCGCTGCGCGTCGACCTCGAGGTGTCGTGCGGGTGGCCCGAGAACAAGAGGATGAGGCAGCTCGCTATCGAGGAGATGAGGCGCCTGGTCGGAAAGTATCCCGGGGGATATGAGGCGTGGGAGAAGGAGGAAGTGGAGGAGGAGGACCGTGGTAAGAGGAGGCACTAAGGGTGGCGGAAGGGGAAGGACGGAAGACGAAGAAGAGAGAACGCGAGAGAGAAATAAAGGGGGCAAGGGGAAGGGGGAAGGAGAAAGCGGGTCTCAAGGCACAGAAGATGAGGAGCATAGGGTTGAGAACCACAAAATACCCGCCATGAGACCAGAATTATAGACAATATGGATGTAGTGCTATGTCGACTCACCTAGCCAGCCCGCCAGCTAAATTTTCTCATTGCCCGTGAGCCGCAGTGCTCGTTGTGACGGACAGCATTTCCCAAATAGCACATCCCCCAGCGTCACAGGCCCAATCAGCCCACAAATACGCCTGCAAAATGCTCTTCAACTGCGTCCAGGTCGAAACATCTGACCCTCCCAAGTATCTCCCGAGACTCTCAAGGAAGAACGCTCTCTCTTTTGCTTGAGAGCCTGAAGTCGCCATGATGCCCATTGTCGCGGCCCAGACCAGGATCCTGTTGTCGAGGGTTAAATACGGAGGGTGGAAAGATCGAGGCTGCGACGGGCCTCCTAGATGGTTGCCTTCCCCTCTCAGAGTATCACAGAGTCTGCGGACGAGGACCTTCATCGGCTCCGGGTGCGGCAGTGGGAAAATCACGCCGTGGGTGAATATCATGGCCGATGTCCACATCAAATTCTCGACAAAATTGTTGGGATCGGGAGAGTATGCCAGAAGGCGGTATTCAATGAGGTTTCTGAGCACCATGACGTCCTCTGACGAAGCCATATGGCCAGAAGATGAGTCTCGATGGCCGCCTTGAAAATTCGCCGGGCTCAGTCTCACAAGGGTGGAGATCCATGAGCAGAGTATTTGGATGTCTTCGAAAATCTCGCCAAGCGCAGAATTCAGAGAAAGATGTTGATGTATCTCACCCCCAACCCGAGCATGCTGTATCGTTAGAGCGGCCGCCATCCTCAACGTCGGCATCTTTCTCTCAAGAAATTCAATGCTTGATGGTGGCAACTCAAATCTTGGTCTCTCCAAGCGCTTTGCGCTCTCGATAATGTCAAACAGATGCAAGGCCTCTGCAAAACCAGGAGCCTTCACCCGTTGAAGACCACCTTTGAGAACCACGAGCATTTCTAGCTTTGAGAGATGAAGGGAGGCTTCGGAGCTTGGGGAAGGAGTGTCAGATAAGCCCCAGAGGTGCAAGTATTGCAGGCGCCGGAGAAAGATGGGAGGTTTGAAGAGGACCCTCAGTCTCACGCTCGGAGTTTTGAGAGGGTCAGAAAATCTACTGATGTTTCTGATCCCAGTAGCCTTTGCAAGATGCATCACAGCGAACAAAAGGTCGTCGTCAACATCGACATACATCCCACCATTGCCGTTAGCAACACCTCCTGAACCTCCTTCGAATCGACTCTCATTTTTGCCCTCGCTCGGATTGAGATACGGTGTCGAGCGAAGCCCAGACAGCAGCCGCCTTATCTCTCGAATCAATTCATTCGTGCTGCCCAGCATCGCTAGACCATATCGTCTCCCCCGAAGGAGCTCAATATCCAGACATGTTCCAACGACAATTGCGTGTCGCATGACAGGGACAGCAAGGATACGCCGAAACCATATGTCGGGGAGAGGTGAAGATGCGCAGCTTAAGTCGTGGCAAGGAAGACAGGACGAGAATGTGGGCCAAAGTGCATCCCTCGCTGCAAGTGCGTTGACTGCCTTGTTAGCAATGATGCAGGCAATGGGGAGCAACTTTGGGAGTACGAGCCACTCCAAGTGTTTGAGGAGTCAAGGGAAGGATGGGCCGCCGTACCAAAGAAAAGAACCTCTCGTACGACCGGATCGTCTAAGCCATCAGGGCAGAACGTCGGCGATTGGATTGGAACGGTCGACGTCGAATGATGCCCTAGATCGGCTCCAGGGCAATGACCATGTTTCTTGTCTGTACCGAAGACTTGAGCCAACTTAGCCTGCCGAAGCCTTTCCCCTAAGTATTCAAACCAGAACGTCAGTCCGCAAGGCCGCCTTCGCAAGGGAGAGCCGCCCTCGGAGCTTGACCAGAGCATAGATGAAGCCCTGGAGACAATGGCAAGCTCTTACTGTACGCCCGCTGATTAAGGCGATTCTGAAGCATTTTCCGCCTCTTTTGATCCGAAACCCCTGACCAGTCATCCTGAATGTCCTCGCTATAGGTCTGACTGACAAATGTATAATGGGCGGTGGGTAGGAACATGGTTCTCGGCCGATAGTTTGCACCTCAATCAACGTAGTGGGCGCTGAGGGCCTCGCTTGACGAAACCTTGACCGTGAGGAACGATCTCGAAGTAGCCTCGTACACAGAAATCCCCGTAGAAAGCGAAAGTTCTCGGAGAAGAGCAAGATAGTTCGACATGAAGGAGAGGGAAGCAATAGTCCAGAGCCACTGCGGGCACGCATCAATCTCGGACGAATGACGGGCGGAGATGGTCGGCCGCTGATTGGTCAACTTCGAGAACAGGGACAAACTTCAACTGACAGGGGCATAAGCGACTTGCATCACCATCTTCTCCACCAAAACTCTCAGCCTCGTCCTTAGAGTGTTCGCCTTGACTTCTGGCGCAATGGACTGCTTCGTCCTGCCCTTGCTGACAGATCAGAGCAATGCTCTGGCCTGCTGTTCGATCAGAAAGCCATCTAGCCCGCACGAACTCGCTTTGATCTCATCCGGCAGTGTCGTCCCAAAACACGATATAAGGACGGGAGAGCGTCGCAAAGAGACAGCGATCACAGTTCGCCAAACGTGAGTCGGAAAAGGAGGACAGGAGAGATCAAGGAAAACGTCAGAACGGCTATCTCAAACCAATCAATGGCCACAAACTCAACTTCTGATCCTTCATTGCTCCAAGGCAAGGTGGCTTTGGTCACTGGCGGGTCTCGCGGGGTGAGTCCCAGTCCTCTGCTCTCCTCTTCGCTTCAATCGCGCACGCATTGTCTGACACTTTGAGATGCTGTTATAGATCGGCGCCGGCATCGCGCTCCAATTTGCCCGCAAAGGAATCGCCGCAATAGCAATAACGTACGCCACCAACCTCAAAGCTGCGGAGGAGACTTTGTCCAAATGCCGTTCCATTTCCCCAAGTTTGAAAACAGCTGCCATCCAAGCCGATGTCCTTGATCCGTCCATCGGTCCGAACCTCATTCCAAAGGTGCTCAAAGGGCTGGAAACGGACAGGATCGATATCGTCGTCAACAACGCCGCCCTTGTTAACGACCTGAGTCTGGTCCAGCCATTTGCCAACGCAACCTCCGACGCTTTCGGGAAGACAATGCAGGGCAATGTATTCGCACCTATGAGCATTATCAACTCGGCATTGCCTCATTTTCCACCTAAAGGGGGTAGAGTGATAAACATTTCGAGTGTTGCAAGCAAGCTCGCGAATTCTGATCCGGTCCTAACCTACGGAGCATCCAAGGCCGCGCTGGACAGCATCACACGATCCCTGGCAAGTCTTCTGGGCATGAAGACCGGCGCGACGTTCAATAGTGTGTCCGTGGGTCCAACCAGCACGGATACGGTGCAGGCCGTGATCCAAGAGTTCGGGGAGAAGTTTGTCGAGGATGCCACCAAGTTATTCACGACCGAAAGGAGATTGGCTGAGCCAGAGGATATCGCCTTCGTGGTTGGTTTTCTGGCAAGTGACGAGGCAAGGTGGATCAATGGATCCCATATCGCGGCCAATGGGGGAAATAAGGAACTGTTGGCTTTGCAGGGATAGAAGGCCTCATGGGATCTGCAAAAGAAGGCTTAGATCTCCATGATGGCTAGATACAAGTGCAGACTGATATCAAGGTAGTCTTCTGATCATCGACCATCCCTTGTTGTCAGATAATACCACGGGATCCTGCATCCTCTCTGTCCCGAGCTGTTGTTTGCTTAGTAATGTTCAGAAGTTCCGACGAGAACGCGGTCAGTGTTGTTGAGCATGACAACAGAACATTTCTGAAATACTCGAGCAGTATGAGATATTGACGTGTCTTGGCCGCTGAGAAATCTTCAGACCTATGTCCCTTCGAGACTATTTTGGACGCTTTTCCATGTCGTGTCTTCAGGGCAAAGGATCGTTTCTTCCTTTGCAACCACCCAAGGAGAGCAGGCCTCTGGGGTTTCTTTGTCTGAACATTAGGGCTCAAAATGACATCTTGGTGCTGGTCAATCCCGTCATGGGACATGCCCTGGTCTTCTCCACTACTCGGCAACGACTGGTCAAGAGTGATTATGGTAGCATGGAGTCCGCGCTTCGGGCAGCTTTTGCATGGTGGTATAATTTCGAACTCTGAAGCGTCTGCCCATCGTCTTGCATTTCTGGCGGGTAACACCCCCTTGGACAATAGCATATCACAAAGTGGTGTCTTATTGCCTCTTCCCTTGGAATCGCGATCCCAGCTGTTATGGTGGTCCGTTATTTCGGTGGCGCAGATCTGGTCGACCCACTCGTGCAAGTGAAGGACTGAGGCAAGGGTGGAAGTCTCCATTGCAGTGGCTGACTGAAAACTAGAGATTTGTGACAAGTGGAGGATCCGTATTTCAATCACAGAAATGTAGGCTGTACTGGTGGACAGTGTCTGACACGTTGAAAGAACCGAGGACTGTTGACGTAGCGTGTAGTTCAATGGTTATGTTGAGTGATCGAAATGGAGTAAGACATGTAACGAACAGAACTGTAGTGGATATATGACAACTGAGGTTGGAATAGTAGAATGTTGGGCTGGCCAAATAGAAGAATGTTGCGAAGGTCGAAGAAGCTGACATGCGCTTGCTGTAGAATGAAGGCCCAGTCTGCAGCGAACGGGCAGCTTCGAAGAGCAACGCGATAATAGGCAAGAGCCACTAGGCCAAAGAAACAAGAAGCGTGGTCGAAGATGAGAATCTCTTGATCAACAGGAGCGGAAACAAAACACCGCTGTCCTGCTCCGGGACATTTCCCATCTGACGTTCTCCCGTTTTGTGAAGCCAGAGAGTATAGAGTACAAAATCCTGAAGTATACATACCTTTGAGGTGGAGCCAGAAATCTACAGTCGTCCCAGTTTCCATCTGGCAATGCGCGACTGTACATCTTCCCACGGTATTTGTTTAACCTTTTTCCCACTCAAGTCTTCCCCCTCTTGAATAACCACCGTTGGTGCGCCGGTGCCATGGCCCCTGTTGTCCACCTTCCCAGTGAATATTTGTGAGGCCACCCGCCTCAAATCTGCCACCGTAAGGGCATCAATTTTTTCGCACATTTCCTTGACGCCGACTTTTCGTCCATGAACCTGAACTTGACGGCCAAGGTCCTCCAGTTCAACCAGCCTCGACTCGAGGTTCATCAGAAGGCTGAATCGCAGTTGATTCTTGGCTCGATTGACTTCTGCGATGTTCAAACTGGAGAAGCCGGATTCTAAGGTGAGTGCCTGTAGCTCGCGGCAAATCACGTCCACCATGTGACCGACTCGACCGGGCTCACAAGCTCCGGCAATCCCGAAGAGTCCACTGTCGGTATAGCTGTGGTTGAAAGCCACGCAGCTCTCGACCCATCCGTGCTGATTGAGGACATTGGTGTACAGTCGAGAATACATTCCTTTACCGGGACCGCCGGCCGAAAACGACCCACCACCACCGAGCAGAGTCTGAAGCGTAGCCTGAGCGTAGATATCTTCTGAAGAAATAGGCAAGCCTTCAAATGCGATATGAACGTAGGAGAGGGGCACCGTGAATTTGTTTGGCGGCGGAGGCAGCGTCGGGAGCGCGAGATATCCTCCTGTGTAGTGAGATGGCATCGTGAGAAGAGATTCAGGAGAAGGTTGAATGAGAGAGGGATCGAGTGGTGATACAGTTGCATGATGGGGTGCTGAGGTGGAGAAGCTGTTGAACCCGGGAATCTTGGATAAAAGTCTGCTTGTGGGAGATTGTGGTGGAGCTTGTTGCTGTGTATTTGCTTGCGGTGAGGTTGTCTCGGTAGATTGCGATGCATTCTGCGATAGCGATGGTATTTCGGATTTGGCCATATCTCCAAAGTACTTTTCCGTCAAACGGACAGCTTCCTCGTGCGGAATGCCGGCGAAAGCTACCACTATCCGCTCGGGCTTGTAGAAAACGCTTCGATATTTCTCAATAAGCCCCTTCGTGATGTAGGGCAATTTCTCTCGAGGACACAAAAGCGGATGTCCCAAGGTGTTATCCTTGTATGCGGCCATGTGCAATAGTTCGGGAATGATCAGATCCGGTTTAGCCCATATTTCCTGAATCTCATACTCGGCGGTTTCCAGTTGTTGTGCCACCTCTTCATCCGTGATCAAGGGATCTCGAATGGTTTCTGCGAGCAGGGCGATCGTCTCGGGGACGCTGGCGTTAAACGTGGCGGACTGATACATTAAAGCCTCTCTGGAAGAAGCACATTGAATGTTTCCCCCTAGCGATTCCAACGCCTCCAACATCTGGTCTGCAGTCCTGCTCTTTGTCGACTTGAAGGCCAGGCGGTCCACAATATGACTGACGCCCCGAAGAGCGTCGTCCTCGTATCGAGACCCAGCGTCGAGGTAGACGCCAACGCCCGAGAAGGGGCCCGGTAGTGATTCTGTAGCGACTCGAACGCCATTGGGCAACTGTGTAATGTGATCTAGTTCAACAGGATCCTGAGCAGATGCGGTGGTCAGACAAATATCACTTGCTTATCGGCGTGCGGAGGTGCGGAGGTGCGGACGTACTTTGTGCATGGGATCTCTGACGGTAGCATAGTTCCTCGCCACAGGCCTTGAGGCCTTGGTAGATAGTCTAGCATTGCGCAGAGCTCTCACCGCTGCAGTGCGCATGCTGGCGATGGTGGGAGGATGTGGAGGGAATCACAAAGATGGAAAAGAGGTCGCCGCGGTCGAGGTCAAAGTGGTCAAGAAAATAATGTCCGCAGGCAAATTGAGCAAGATGTCGGAGTGCCACCACCACCTGTGGAGGTTTTTGTGGAGATGAAGACGCTGTGATACGATAGGCTAGACGTGGTGGTCCGCAGGTAACGTCCTGTAGTAAGGCTATCAGCCAGTCTGACGATAGCCGGAGGGTACAAGGTGAGAAGAGGATAGACAGTGCGACTAGCTAATTGAGATAGAGATCGAGAGGCGACCATGGGTGTTGGGTGTTCTGGTTCGTCGGGGCTAGTGAGGCCCTTGTGGTCAGCCCCAGGGCAGCAGTTGGTGCCTGTAGCCGACTTGAATATGCTCGATGACATCGTTGGCCGCCGCCGTGGTCAAGCCGACTGAACTCCCTCCCTTGTGCTCCGTACAGACAGGAGTAGTTGATCTTGAGATGCCTCTTACTTATTCTTCCTGATCTCCTGGGGACTTCGTGTCCCGGTCAATTCCCTCTTATGTCTGAGTATCCGCGAGCTCCACGTTCCACGTCCATATAATTCCTCGTTCCAACGTCCCACGCCTTACGCCTTGTTGCTCCCTGAATTATAGGCGTCTTTCCGCCAATTGAAGTTGCCCTGAATTGGGGACTGCGCAACGACACGAACCACCCTCCCCCCCTAAAAGTGCTTGCTCCAACAAACATCCCTGCCGTGGCCCTTCCCACACTCTCTGAGGCCCTGTCTGTCCAACTGCGGGCGCATCCTCATACATCATATTATCCACCATCTATTTACCAAAGTTAGAGAACCCTCTGCTCTACCTCCTTTGCTGGAGCGTTGAGAGACTCGAGCCCGCGCCTCAGCGAAGGCGTATCTTGCATCGAGCCGACTGAGGGAGTTCTCGACACGAAAGGAGCGACATCCTGGGTTTTGTTGTTGGCGTTGCCGTTGTTGCTTACAGCCGCCGTTGCCGCCTTTGCCTGTAGTGCAGTGTTCCTGCCCTCAACCACCTGCCTTGCCCTGTCTGGGAACTCAGTCTCGATCCGTACCCTCTTCCTTCACGTCAGTTCCCCATGATCTCGCCGTCCGCCGCTGTTACCTCCCCAGCGGCTACCGAACCGAGTGTCAACAGAACCACATCTGCAAGGCGCCGAGGTTTGAGTTACCTGCGTGCTCTTTCGCACAATCGTTCATCGGGTGGCACGAGCCCGAACGAGCCCTCCCGCTCGCCCAGGCACTACTTCCAGAGATCACTTAGTTACAACGACAATCGACCAGATCCTATAACGAGTCGACGACGGAGCACGTCTCGGCCCAACGAACCTACAACCTTCCTCTCCTCAGACACGCGTCAGGTCGACACAAGGAGCCCTTCGCCCCGCGTCGAGCAGGAGCCGCCTGCAGACCAAGTGGAACACACAAGTGCGGAGGATATGGCGAGACATCGATCATCCACGTCGAGGAGGACTGCCAGCAACAACAATCCTCAGCCCGAGGCCTCAGCGGCGGAAGCGTCAGACTCAGTCCCGAGACCTGCCCACGCAAGAACCAATAACAAGACTACTTCAGGCACAAAAGGAGAGACACAGGAGGGGGAGACGAAGCAACATTTACCGACCATTCGTTTCTTTCCTCACCAGGAAATCAGGAATGGAAGACCCTCACTCAACTTCTCCCCAATCACGCGCACCTTACCCGGTGAGCATTCTATCATCAGAGTTGGCCGCTATTCTGAGCGTGAAGGTGTCCCTTCGGCCAATCCTACTGGCCCCTCTGATGCTCCGGTCGGTTTCAAGTCAAAGGTCGTCAGCCGAAAACACTGCGAGTTCAGTTTTCTTGACGGACAATGGCAAATCAAAGACGTTGCATCTTCCTCTGGTACTTTCTTGAACCACATCAGACTAAGTCAGCCAAACACCGAATCGAGACTATTTCCGATCAAAGATGGCGATATCGTCCAATTGGGCATTGACTTCCGTGGCGGAGAGGAAATGATCTTTCGCTGTGTCAAAATCCGTATTGAATGCAACCGGGCCTGGCAAAAGAAACCAAACAATTTCAAGTAAGCCAACCCTTGAGAGTTCGATGGTAGAAACTGACAGATTCCACAGCAAAAGCAGGCATCAACAACTGCAGAGCCTTGCGAAGGACCAACCGTCTGCAGATACTAACAGTGGTGAATGTTCGATATGTCTGGGTTCTGTCTTGGTAGGTCTCTGGAGAGCCATCAATTCCCTCTCGCTAACATCCTGTCCAGCCCTGTCAAGCGTTATTCGTGGCTCCATGCGCCCATGTCTGGCATTACAAATGTATTCGACCCTTACTCGAAGGCAAAAACAGTGTTTACCCACAATTCCAATGTCCAAATTGCCGGGCTTATTCAGATCTGACCGCCGATGTGGACCTTGCTCAATCCGACATAGACGAATGGATGGAGAATACAGATGATCCAGAGAATCAGACCGCCGAGGCCAGTGCCGACGCCGCGATTGAAGCAAATCAGGGCTCAGATGCACATATCAATGGTCAAGTAACAGGTGAACCCGACTCCGCCAATGCGACCATGCCAACTACTACCATAGATGGCGACGACATTCAAATGGATACAGGCTCCGAAAATCCTCCCGTCACGATATCTCAGTCCGAAACCATCGATGAAAATCCTCCTGCGGCAACTCCAAATGCGTCGGGGCTTTTGGCCCGGAGACAAGCTACGAATCCGCGTTCTTCTGAGCTTTCAATGACCGGTAATATCGACATGCCTGACCAACCGGTTGAGGATGAGATGCAGGCTCAGCTTGAACAGCAACGTACCCACACCCAAACCCCGGATCCCGATCAAGTGGTGGTTGTGGAAGGCCCATTGACACCCAGGAATAATGCAGGGCCCTTTGTTTTTGACGGTAGTGCTGGCAGGTCTGATGCGAGACAGTTGATGGTACCGGGATTGGCGGATGTGGTTGATGGAAATCGTTTGTCGTGAATTTGTTGAAGTCCCACTCTGATAGAGCTCCTGAAGATCTGATAGGAGCAGGCTCTAGACGCATGGGGTTGACGGTGCGAGATTTGATACTTTGGTGCCCATGGATGGAACATGGAGACAGGGTCATGACACCACGGACACGAATTGTGGGCAAAAAGGAGGCGCATCCCGCTGCTTCCAGGGTCAGGGTCAGGATCAGTGTTTTCGAACATCCGGCGATAGCGATATTCTTGAGCGGCTTATCTGTAGTATCCATGACGAAGTATACTTACTGTTTGCCCTTGTGGCCGATTTCCAGTGGATGCTGCATTGTGTATGGATGCAGGTCATAATGTGTATTAGATATATTTCTATTTTTATGTACGTGCTTTGGAAGGAGACATGACGATATCCTCGTTCCCAGATATCATTCGTTGTCACAGGCTACAGCCTCGCCCAGCCTAGCCTCGCCTCGCCTCGTGAAGACTTGGTCCTCGACACCACTCAGGGAATATATCTACACTCACTATTACAGTACCTTGGTATGTACCAAGCAAGTCCGGGGATTCCAAGTACACAATTGGATCCAAGCACCACGTTAACACGCGGTATTAGAGAACACTCTCGCGAGTCGCGAGTCCTCGGGGGCGTCTAACTGTAGATTAATCGAATCTGTCTGGGGGTCTTCGCGTCTTACTCTCTCTACTGTAGATTGCTCTAATACAGCTGCGATCTAATGCCCTCGAGCCTGAACTTGACATCCTTCAGCACCTTGGTCTTGGGCTCCCACTCGTCAAACTGCTCGAGGAGCTGCCTGGCCTCGTCTCGGAGGTCTTTCTTCACGATGTCTTCCTCCAAGATCCCGCGCATGGCGAAGGGCAGGATGTACGGATTCGTGTTGTTCGCACTGCTTCCGCCGCTCCCGCTGCCGCTGCCGCTGCCGCTGCTCGTCGAGAGTGCCTGGCGCTTCGAGCTGGAGATCGACACGTCTTTGGTGGAGGTTGTCTCCAGAGCAAAGGCAATGGCGAGGCGATACACGGCGTCATCTTCGTACAGTCTCGAATGTCCTTCTCCGGTATATAGCGACCCTGCCAGAGGCGTGGAGAGCTCTCTGATCAATCCGTGATCCGGCACGCCCACATTTCTCAACTTCAATACAAACCCGACAAGATTGCTTAGAAAGTTGGGGGCGTGGATCCTCGAGTCGATGGAGACCGCGCGGTAGATGTGTGGGTGAGTCAGTGGTGCAAAAATCGACGATTCCATCGACACCAATTGATCGTCAATGCTCCCAACAAAAGTGACTTTGACGCCAAATTTCAGACATTCGGCGATGGCGGCCAAGTAGTCTTTGGAGACTTTGGAGTTTGGGTCTGTGAATTCGAACAACTCCCCAGCGGAACCTGTTATCCAAGGAGATTTATAGTCCTGGAAAGGACCCATGTTCACCCCTGCCATGGCGCAGACTCCGACTCGGGCAGTTGACGAGAGACAGCCAAAATGGATCAGTTTGGCCACAAGCATTATTGCTACGGGGACGCCTTGGGAGTGAGCTGCGATCATGACGAATTCTGATCTTCGGATCTCATCAATCCAGTTTAGGAGCAGTTTCCACAACAACTCGACACGCTCCGCAATTCGTCCTTCGCCTTCCAAGGCCGCTGTCTTGACTTCACAGTCATAACCTTGAGATTTGGTGTATCTGCGAATGTTTTGGGCGGCTTTTTCGGCGAATTTTATGCTGGTGCCCGTGGGCTGGCCTAGAAGTGATCGGACCATGGGGCTGGGGAAATAGCCGTGAACGCCGATTGCTAAAGCATTATTTATTCGAGGCGGCTCTTTCAACAGAGAGAGGTGTCTCGGTTGACCAGATTCCTTGGTGTAATATAGGAGGCGTGCAAGTTGCTGTAGGAGCGAGGGTTGTTCTTCGAAGGTGAGCGTATCATTGAGATGTGGAAGTAGTAAACTTGGGTCCTCCTGTTCTTTCTTCGACGGCATGGGAGACGCCGGCCGAGGCGTTGAGGCTTTGGCGGGTTCTCGTGCAGTGGCTGTAGCATTAGATGATGTGGCTTTGGTAATCAGAGGTTCCTCCCTCACGGGATCGCCCTTCTTCTGAGGTATCGAGGCCCGCTTCTCCTCTGTTGGCGGCTGTTGCTTGGTTTCGGTGGCCTTCTTTCCTCTGGGCTTCTTTGATTGTTCTCCTTGTGCCGATGGTTTTACCACGGGTTTCGCACCATCATCCTGTAGACTGATGGACGCCCGTTTAGGCCGGGTTTGAGAAGGTGTGTTTGATATTGCAATTTCCCCAACATGGGGCTCGCTTTCTAATTTCGCAGACGCAGTAGATGCAGGGCGCTTCTTTTCTCGAGACCAAAATACCCATCCTGACGACTTGGTCCCGTCACCTGGAAGTTGTGGCGGTGGGGAGGTTTCAAGGGACGAAGCTTGAGACCCTTCCTTTGCCTTGGGTGTTTTGGGCGGTGGAATATCGAGGTTGTCCGTCTTTGTATTCGTGATTTCTGTATGCTCGGTCGTTTTAACGGTACTGGGCTGTGGGGGCTCTGACGGAGGTTCTGGTTGAATTGCTGACCCGCTACTGGGCTGATCACCGCTGTTCCACATCTGATACCAGCTTCGTTTGTTGCTGGTACTCGCCGGAGATTTCGCTGGCTCTTGCACTTGTTCCGGGGCTTTTATAGATTCCGTGGGTGTGTCGACTGCAGGAAGGATTTCGGTCTCTTCCACGGCCTTGGGGGATGGTGGTTGTGCTTCGGCGGGCTTCGCGGTATTGCCGTCTCTTCTGCCCAACCAGCTCAGCCATGTGCCCTGTGACTCTTGTGCCGGTACAGGGGGTCGTGAGGTCTCTGATGTTGGCTCCGCATTTACCTCTTGTTGGTCTGGACTCGTATCTGTCTTCTCTGGCCGTGGTGGCCCGTCTGCAGTAGGATTGGGGGTATTTCCAGCGTCTTTGGTCTTGGTCGGCAACTCTAGCTGTGAGTCCTTTCTACCCGAAGAGGTCGCAGCTTCTGGAGTGGCATAGACCAGAGTCGTAGTGGCATCTACAGGAAGAGAACGGTTTGATTTTGACTTCCCCAGGGTCATTGCTAATGAGGGCGATCTCTGAGACTTGATCTTCTCCTTTGGTGGCAAAGGTACCTCCGTCGCTGTGGTTGTGGTGGAAGATGGAGCCGCAGTTGAGGACGTTGAGGCGGAAGAGACGCTCTCACGATGTGTCTGGGTTAGGGGAGGGGCCTTGCGAGGCCAGGTTCGGGCGAGCCATGACTGGTCAGTCTATCAGCAATGTGGACATGCAGTTGACAAAGAAGCCTGAATACCGATCTTTGGTCTTGCTTTGGAGTCGAAGGGCTTGGGGCGGGAGGAGTATCTGGGGGGAGAGGAACGCTGGCAGCCTGCTGAGCCTGTTCTTGAGGCGACGGCTCTGAGCGCGATTCCTGAGTTGGGTTGGTCTTTTGCCGCTTCAATGGTCTCGCAGGTGCCATTGCGGGAGTCTGTGATGCTAACTACCGCTCCAGCATAGGGTTGGCAGGAGTGCAACGTTGTGCAAGTAGAGAATTGCAGGTCAGACGTGTGTATCTAGGTAGAAGGCTGAGGTTGGGTTGGAGATCCCGGTGAGGCTGCGCTACGTCACATGCTGGCCATTCGGGCTGCCGCATCGACCAACCAGTCGTTGTCCCTCGTGCGCTGCTCATGGGGGATTGGAGCACAACGCCGATATGCACAGATCAGTTATGATTACGGAGAGTAGGAATAGGTATGAAACCGTGCTTTAGTGGTGTACATGAAGGCAAAATGGCAGCCTCGCCGAATATCGCAGAGGACGGACTCCTTGCCTCTACGGATCTATCTAGACGCAACGGAGTAAAAGTACTCTCTCCTTCGCATTCACGAGTCTCCCTCCAACGCTGGTGAGCTCCGGAGACTGCCCTCACCATCTCATCAAGAATCACCGCGGTTCGAAGCTCCTGGCTCCCTTTGTCCCAGCCGTGAACGTATCTCGCGTCATAGCCGAACGACTTTCCCATTCTTCAGCGCATCAACCATCATCTCCCAACACCGACATATTCTCAGTGCCCTGTTGGTCAGCTAGCGATCTAAAGGGCAAAATGGTTGCATCATCCTTGGTCTCAGAGAAGCAAGAGGTAGATATGCACGAGAGGCTGTATCAGATCATCGGTAAGGCCTGAAATTGCCAGCAAGCAGAGGGACGTTGATTTGCCTGAGACTTGCTCTTCGTACACAGATCATATTTCTCATGCGAGAGATCTTCTTCAAGACCGGGCCACGGGAGTCAACGCGTTTTGCTTCATGGATAACAAAGAGCGGCGGAAGATGGGAACAGTGTTCTGTACAATTTGTGTTGGTGGAATGCGAGATAAGAAGCGCGATACATATGAAACTGCGTAGATGCATAGCGTCATCCCGCGTCAAATGTCGGTCAATTTGGTTCCCCGCGGCCGCCACTGTGTTTTGCGCCGCCTCAGAAAAATTGTTGTGGAGCAGCCGAAGAAACGCACCGCAACACAGTGAACTCGCATTTCTTCACATCTGTCGTAGGGAAAACGACGCCCAAATAGTCGTCGTCGTCGATCTATATAACAATGGCCAAAACCTCGAAGATCAAGAGAAACCCCATAGGTAAGACGCCCCTCAAACCTTCACACCTCATAATCCCACATTCTCACACAAAAGCCGCAGCGAACCCCAGATCCCGCGCCTCAAAGCGAGCCACCTCCCCTTCAATCGACGTCGATAAATCCATCAGAGACGCCCCTCGTGCTTCGGATGCCACTCCGATTCTCGCCGCCCGCCCAAACAGTGGAGTCACCAAGGCGAAGCGAAAACAAAAGCCTCTTTCTCGTGGGCAACGGCGCAGACATGAAAAAGGGTTGGCCAGGGCAGAGAAGGTCCAAGATCAGTTCGAGAGAAAGATCGAAGACGCATCACATCGCCTGAAGAAGAGGCGCGAGAGGAAGGGCATGTGGGACGAGGTCAACGGGACAAACAAGTTCGATCGATTAAAGGCAGCACTTGGTGATGAGGCGGACCAGAATGAGGATGAATGGGAGGATATGGAAGAGGTTAGCAACGACGGTGGCCGTGTCAAGGATATTGGAAATCTGACGACCATCTCGAAGACGAAGCTGGTCGTGGTTGACCGGACAGCGCCTGCGCCTGCGGCACCACTACCGCCGGCAACGACAACGCTGACGCAGGAAGAGGAGGACGAAGCCGACAAGATAACATAACGCTGCAATTCTTCTCATTCACGACTTCCAACGACCGCGGTATCATCACTTCTTGGGCCGCAGATGCGTGAGCATCCTTTCGATCTCGACCAATTGCTGGCCGTTGGCCTTGTCTCGGAGTAACTCCAACGAATTCACATCCTTGGCCTTCAGGGCCTCCTCACCGGCTTTCACGACCAGGCCACATTTGACCCACATCTCAATCCTCCCCGAGGGTTGAAGGTTGGTACATTTGGGAATGAATGACGAGGCAAGGCGAGTGTTGCCTGCACCGAGGACTTCGTTGTAGAAGGGCTAACCCAAGGGTCAGGTCAGAGGCCAACAAATCCTCGAAGACAAAATAGACTCACCTCCCAGCCGATCGGCGATTTCTTGCTCTTAGCAATTTCCTCGACCTCCCCCCAGAGACGGGCGGCAGTTAATGCCCGAAGCCGAATCCACCACCATGTCTTATCAGGCACCCGAAAGTCGCCCTGGACTTTGGCAGCTCGCTTGCTGTATCCAGATTGGACCAGGCGGAACATTGTCTCATTGATGCTCAATCCCACATAGCTGCCGCTGCTGTCAGTGATGTCCTTGTCGAAGGCTTCCTGCATCTTAAGAAGCTGTCCGGCCTCTGTCAGCGATTTTGCGTGGAACTGAGCCGTCGCATCTTTTGCATCAGTGAGCAATCTGCCAGCCAGTTTGAGCTTGTCGATCACTGCCTGAACCTGCGTTTGCTTCATAGCTTCTTCCAGCAACAAATTTGAGCCCTCAACGGGTCTGTCATCCTGATAGTACAAGTCTTTGAGCAGTTCTCTGTCGGACGCTCTTGCTGAGCTCTCCACCAGTGCTGACGCTACGGGCTTATCGCTGATGGTGCGAAGGAAAGTCGCTAGTGGCAGTTTCTTTTTCAATTCCAGTAGCACGTAGAACACCAAGTCGGTGTCCCCGGACTCAATCGCCTTGTTGAGTGCGATTTCGTCCTCTTCCATGTTGAGCAGGAGAGGAACCTGTTTCCCCGCCCTCGGTTCGTGATTCAACAATGTTGTTGCAAGATGGCTTCGCCCTTCGTCGTAGGCTGCTCGCGCAATGGCTTCAAAGGAGATTCCGTGTTTGCCTCGTAATCGCTCCACCACAATTTCTCGAACAGTATCGTCATCCGCAGGTGACCCTCGAACTTTTTGGCTGGCCCAATGGACATAGATCTTGCTAGGAGGAAGATGCAGGAACTCCGACAACTTGATGGCCAGGAGGTACTCCCGTCGGTTGACCAGCCGTGCTATCAGCCGTTCCGGTGTCAGTCTGACGTACTGTTCGTAGGACATGTAGAGGCCGATGCGGTAGTCCCGAACGGCATTTAACACTCTCAGATCCTCGCACATGTCGACAAACTCGTCGCTGCTGTATAGGTCGAGCACTGACTTGCCGAATGAAGCGGCGCGTAGCAGCTGTTTCTGGAGACTCTGGTTAAACTCGTGACCCGCAGCCCGAATGCATGTTTCTACAGCATCTGGAAGACTTGGTTTGATCCGCTGGATATTCTCATCAGCTTTGGGCGACTTTTTCTCCAGTAGCTCGATTGAGTCAAGAAGGACCGAGGCCGCCGACGTTGAACCAAGCTTGAACACTTCTTCCAGTGGATCAGGTACTTTGTGCAAGAATTCGCACACCTCATTCGTGATCAACCGGACACCGTCGATATCGGGGACAACATGGACCTGGTCATCGTAGTAGTATTTGACGGCAGCACCATTAGGCCCAACCATGTGGATCTCGTCTTCCCAAGCTAGGATGACCGAATCATTTCCACACCAGTATATCTGCCTTGGTGTAGTCTTCGCCTTTGAGTCGTATTCGCTGTATTTGTTCTGGAAGTCACTGCCGACGACCCACACTTTGCCGTCCTCGGTGAACAATGCTGCAAATCGCCCGTTAGGAGAGACGCTGACGTGCTTGAACGGGCCATCTGATAGCCCTCGGTCTTCGGCTTCGGTGACGTCCACGACATAAATCGTCTTATCAATCGCCAGCAGCACCTCGACAGACCTAGACAGTGTGTATGCTGGCGGAATCAGAGACCAAGAGTGGACTTCGCCTTCCGGCGCTTGAGCGAGCAACCTCGGTCTGGGTTCATCAAACGATGACACAGCTACCAACGAGTTGTTGGAAAGTAGAGCGACGAACCCGTGCGACCAAAAGCGGCAAGAGACAACTCCGAACTCCTCTGCTCCGTGTCCAAGCGAGAAAGGCTGAAAGTCGCCGTGAAGCTCGAAGTAGCAATGGACAGTGCCATCTTCGGTCACAACCAAGAGCTTCTCGTCGTCCGACCAGCCTAGGCCTTTGATGACGCCTTTCTCCCAGTTGATGTTGCTGATGAGCTTGCCAGACGAGGAATAAATGTCGATGGTCGGCTTAGTTGATTGGCCAGTTCGATACCGTGCAATTTTGGTCGTGTCTCGCCATAGTGCTGCAATCGTCAGCTCGGGCACATCGCAATCCGGATGGAGAATTACCTAGCGCGCCACCATACGGCGCACCTGCTACGAGGTAGTTCTCAAGCTCGAGATCCTGGTCGAAAATTGACTCGTACAAGGGCACCTTTCGGTAGAACTGGTCGCCAACTATCTCCCAGCCAGCCCTGGGATTGTTGTTTGTCATGAGGTCAGGCAGTCCATGAGAATGTTAGGCGATATAATCTTGATAGATTGGATGAGAGACTCAGAAGAAGGAGACGGAGGCATCCAGTTGTTGTCCATTGCTGGCCAATGATTTGATGCCTTGGCTCGGCTAACTTTCTCTTGCCGGAGCCTCAAGGGCCAACGTCAACTGACCGGCTCCTCCTACCCTCCTGCTTGACCAGCTACATCTTCGTCAGTGTCCACAGCTGCCATGCATACACGGAAACTCGTGCAATAGTAATCACTCCAAAGACTGCTTCGAGAAGCCGGGATGCATCTACCACCACAAAGCTAGGCTCTGTAGACCTTGACAAACATGGATTCAGCACAAGCGTTTCTGGATAATGCCGACGATCTCACAGATCTTGAGCTGGCCGTCCTCCTCAGCCTCGTCGCTCAGCATCACTGTATGTTAGTGGCCAGGGATGATCTACTCGATGATCTGGCATCCGAACTTGCATTGGTAGGTTTCCCTAGTAAAGGCTTAATGCCGACTAACGTTTGTACAGATCGTTAGAGACGTGTTCGGTCTCTCGTACATCATACTTGATCGTGACGATCTGCAGTCTATCAAGGCGTTCGGTAGTGCCATTCTGGACGACGATAGCAATGAATTCGACGATGTTTCGCACGAGTCAGATGTTGATGTGGAGAGCGTTCGTACTGGCTTCTATTCTATGTCTGGTCAATTGTCTAATCTGTTTAAGTCGGGCATACCCCATTCAAAACTTGCCTCTGTGAATTTCGGCGCAGGATCCTCCAGCGTCGTGGATCACCGGAAGTTGGACACGAGGAGTGTTGTCAATGTCATAATCGCAAAGGACTTCAACCTCGCACCTGAAGATGTGCAGATCCAGGCTCTGGAGGTACGCTGTTTTCTGCAGCCGCACTTGCTATGCTGACCAAGTGTTAGCTTATCAGAAAGCGGAGAATATACAGCCGAACAACAGTACATCTTGCGCCGACTGTATTCCTGCTACTTCCGCTTGTTGCTACCTCTTCTAAGCATATTAGATTGAACAAACACCTGGTAAGGGCAACTCTTCACCTGTCGCCTTAGCTCATCTTTACAGAACGACCGCATATTCATGTCCCACACTCACTCACCAGAAGACGGATTTCCCAACCTCGAAGAGTTAGACGACGCAGCCATTTCCGAAGACCACGACTCCACTTATTCCTACTCTCGTTCCCCAAGTGCGAGACGGCAGCAAATGATTGCAAGCCGTCGGATCGATGCAAAAGTATGCCCTCCTGCTTTGATCATCCCTTGAGTGTCTAACGCCTAGCTCCAGTTAATTGAACAGCTTCGTGCCCAAGGTCAGGCTGCGACAATCACCCCGGAAATTCGAAGATATCTTCAGGATGTTGTAGCATTCCTTCGAATGGAGAGAGGTGTTGACGGTGGTATATCGCCGTACGGAACGACACTTTTTCTAGCCCTCGCAAAGTCAGTGCCTGGACTAAGCCAACATGCTTATGAGTCTAACCCGGTTTCTAGATATCTCGCTCCATTCCACGGAATAAATTATGTCACACCATCATTGGTTGCATTGGCGGCAAAGAAGATATATCCGCATCGAATCATTATGGCCACCCCCGGTCGCGAGCGGAGCACTCAGTATGGGACCGACCTGGCGTCTGCACGGGACATTTTGAACGATTTGGATCCAGACAAAGTAATCCAGAACGTCCTCGATACTGTTGAATGCCCAACATGAACAATGCAGCAGGACACCTTAAAATATAAGATTACGTTCTGCTGCTACCGTTTCCCCAGCCGCACTGGTCCGTGGTCAGAGTGTCCCAACTAGTGAACCATCACTATGGCGACGCATCCTTCTCATCGGATACCAGAGCTTTATGGCGATTTACGCCGGTGGCATACGGCCGAAGCGACAAGATCACTCTCTGACAGATCACAGCATGGTACGTTCCTCCCCTTCGTCCGTTTTGCAGACTTCTCATCATTCTCTCGCCGAACAGATGAGAGCGCCCTTTTGCTCTGGCATCCCTTTGGGACTCTCTCCCGCGTATCTCAGGGCTTGTCCCTGTTGATTCCCCTCCGCTGCATACCGACTATGACGTAAAGCTAAAAAAGTATACTGTCACGCCTTTGCAGAAACTGGTGAGCGCAACGATTCTTCTACGGCCACGTCCTTGCTTTGCCAACCGAAGACCAGAGAATGGCTGTCATGTGTCCGTCTCAGGAGCACAGCAGAATCTGAAAGTTTACGAGCGTGGCATATGCTGAAAGCAATCTATTCTGTGCAATGGTGCTGCGCTGAAGCATTGGCGCATCGGCGGAGACATACTGTAAAGATCTGGAATGGAGATTACTCGTCCAGTATTGAGGAGGGCCTCATGAGTCAGGCCACTGGAATGATTTCTGGGGTCATTACTTTGCTGAAGGCGAAGGGAAAGGGATCAACAAGGAGGAAGTCCGAGTCACAATGGGGGTTTCGAGAAGACGTATTGCAATCCGTGGCTGCTAGGTTGTCCGTGCAGACGTCTCCCATGGACACAATGCTTCGGCAATTAGGAGGGATGGATACACATACTACAGTTTCCTAACTGCTCCGCTCGGAAGAGATAGCATGTAGCTTTTCACGCCATCTTCACTTCCCTCATAAAAGCAGCACCTGCTCTAGATCCGTCCCCATGAGATGCACATGATCAAGCCCATCAGTTCATTGCTGAAATCTGGCTGTGTAATAGCGTGAAGCCTTGGTTGAGCTCCCATCCCGATGATCGCCACAGTGCACGAGAATCAAAAGCTCATCATGCTCTTAAATCTGTGCTCGAACGCCCGTTTCGTCACAGTTGCATTTGGCGCAAATATCTCAAAGGCATGGGGCACACCCGCGTACAAATGGAACTCTACCTCGATATCTTCCATCGCGATCCTCTTGGCATACTCAATGTCCTCGTCGCGGAAGATATCCAAGCCGCCGGTGTCAATGTACGTGGGTGGTAAATTCGCGAGAGATTTCGCCCGTGCAGGTGCGCAGTAATGGGACACGTCGGCGTCCGGCTTGCCGGCCTTGTCGGCGCCCAGAAGCGCGGTCCAGCCGGTGATGTTGTCCTCGACCTTCCAAAAGGCGAAGGGCTCGAGCCGCTCGTTGGGGATCATGTTGCGGTCGTCGAGCATGGGGTAGATGAGGATCTGCTTTGCGAGGGGCGGCGACAGGCCCTTGTCGCGCGCCATGAGGGCCACCCCCGCGGCGAGCCCCCCGCCCGCGGACTCTCCAAAGACGGCGATGCGGGCCGGGTCGACGTTGAGGGACGCCGCGTTCTGCGACAGCCAGACTAGGCCGGCGTAGCAGTCCTCGACCAGGTTCGTGCCCTGCGACTCGGGCGCCAAGCGGTACTCGACGCTGAAAATCGGCACGCCCGTCTGCGAGGCTTGCCACGCGACGGCCTGGGCCGACATTCTCACCGACCCCAGAATCATCCCGCCGCCGTGACAATGCAGGATGGCCGGGCCGGGCGTTTCGGTGGCGGTCCCTTTCTTGGTGAAGCTGAACACGGACAGCGTCACGCCCGCGGGGGTGGTGATGCTGTGTTCCTTCTGCTCCACGTCGGGGGACTGGGGCAAGAGATCCTTGAGCATCGTGATGGCGGCCTCAAACCCCTTGCGGCGGCCCTCGATGTCGTGGACGGCTGGCTTGGGCCGGGCGGCCAGCATGGGGATCATCGGCTCAAAGGCCTGGAAATATTCGGCGTCGTACTTGAGAGTCATGTTGTGTTCCGTTCGGTGTCTCCAAATGAAAGTCGCAGGAAAATGTGCTCCCTTTCCACTTCTCGGATATCAGAGTGACTGCCTTCCTTGGTGCAAACAGAGAGGGACCGTTGGAGCCCGTTTTTTGGTGAATGACTCTGCGGGTGATATATCTTCTCGTAAATCGTAAAGGCGCGTATGTAGAGGGCCTGACGACGATCCTTGTCACTACTTTATCTGGAAAATTAAATGGGGGTGAGAAACAAAGCAAGCAAAGCAACCTTGGTCCGTCCGTAGCCTCGGCCACTGGCTTATACCCGGTCCAACCGTTAATTTGTGTTTGGGTAGGGGAAGTAATCCAACACACAGCTGACACCCACTCACCGTGTCGGATTGGTCTGTAATCTCCATTGAGGCTGGAAGGAATTGTGCCGGATACTTTATGGGGCACCGGTTATGCGTGCCATATACGAGTCAAGCATATCTCGTCAGCACCCCTATGCACGGAGGCACGAGCATGTTGTCCCGCATCCCGAGTCGAGCGATCGGACACCCACCCAGTGCCCGAGGTATTTTGCTCCGACTCCGGTATTACAAAGTTCGCGCCACTCAGGCGGTTTTTGTGTAGCACTACTCGGTAGTCTTGGGCTTTCACAAGGGCCTGGGCGTGATGGCGCGGGGGATGTTGTTTGCTGACAAAGGAGCGCGAGGGGCAGCGCGGGGAGGAGCCTCTTTTCGCGCCCAGGGGTCAGCCTCGTTGCTACTCTTTGCGGGTGATATAAAAGTCTTATCTCAACCACCCTCTTCATCCTGCTGTCGGTGACCACTCTAACGAGGGCCCGTCCCGCCTGGACTCCTGGCGTGGGGAGAACCTTGCACCTTTGACTGGTGCCATTGCCAGTTTGACCGACTCCGCTATGGACTTACGCGGCTCCAAAAGGCTGTCGTAGGTGTTATGTGGTTGGGAATACTGGCGATGCGGTCCTAAACTCACTTCCCGGTTCACATTCACAGGTTTCACACAATGGGTTCTATATATATATCACCAACCTTGATAATCAGAGTGAAGGGGCAGCACGTGGTCTTGTCACGATGGTTTATGCTCTGGCTGCAAAAACGACAACGCGAGCGACAACACCAGGGACGGCACCAGCGACAACGCCAGCGACAACGCCAGCGACAACGCGTCGATACCTTGACTTGTCACTTGTTCAGGTCACTGAGAAAAAAAAATTTAAATTCTCTTGGATCTGGATGCCGCGTCTCGTCAAAGACACAGTTGATATCGTCCTTCAAATTGCTCAATATCCCTGCCTCTGTCACCGACAAGATACCCACAACGTCCTTGCCTCTGCAACTTCACAGCCAACATGTCCGATCACGGCGTGGATCCGGCTTATCTCGAACTTGTCGCGCGAGATGTGGCTTTTCGCATAGCCGTCCAGGACTTCATACACCATCACCCTCCTGAATCTGTCACACCGTTTGTACGAGGCGCACTTCACAACATGGTCTTCAGTTACTACGGCACCAGTCAAAATATGCAAATGCAGCGTCACATCCTCCAGTTGCACGACACCTACAATCTGGAAGGGTTGATGGACATGGCTTTGCTTGACAATATCCGCCAAACGGTCAACGCTCCTGCCACCATGGATCCAACGCAGAGTCCGGTGGCTTATGGAGGCAGTCCAGCCCAAATCTCAGCCCTTTCGACCTTTCCAAGCAACCAGGTGCAGCCAGGGCCACTAAATGCTGCCGCCCCATCCCCAAACGGCAATGCAAATACGAACACAAACCTCTTGTCCGGTAATCCTTCTTCACCTGTGATGGCGGCTGCATCGAACGGCACCATCAACCGCAATCCAGCTGGCACTGAGCGCTGTGTGACCACCAAGGATGGAGATCCGCGCTGGGCATACAAGTGTGACGCTTGTGGGCATGAGATCAGGTTCCGTAGTGAATTCGTGCGGCATGTCAAGATCGCACTGGGGCGAGTTGGCTTCCGGATTGTGAAGGCCGACCCAGCAAACGACCCTCTCTGGTATGGGATGGACGATGCCGGGAATGTGTATACGGGGGACATTGTCGCCAGGCAGGGCGCGAGGGCCGGAATGAAACCACGGATCCCACCTCCGTGTGGCCCACAGATAACCGCCCATCGGAAGCAAATTCGGATGGACGCAACGGACAACCACGCAGATGATGGCGAGGAGGACGAGGAAGCCAATGAATGACATGGACGATGACGATAGTCAAGGCACTGGGCTGCTTTCCCTGCGACAGAGGGGCTACGTATGAGAAATGAGGGCAAAGCAGGTGGACTGAGCCAGAGAAGGCCGTCGATGCTAGAATAGCCGACGAATGCAAATCATCCACTGTTTCTTGTCTTGTGCTCGGATCGCTCGTCGGCTCTATCGTGGCGGCGTCGAAAAGGAATGCTACTCGGTTTCGGGGATGCGTCAGCCTTGTCATTGTGGGCATCCATGCTTCACCGTAGACTTTCAGCCTCGTCGATCTCATCGCTGCCCGCTCAACGCGAGAGAACCATCCGTGGTTCTCGAAAAGATGCAACCTCATGCCCACTCCTTTCAATGATGAGTCTTGCCCTGTAACATGCATATCCGCCAATGGCCAGCTATTCTCAGCCTCCCGGTCTGGCTGCAACTAGCTTGCGTCAATGCCGCATTCGGCGGTGGCGGTGATCACCCATATGACAGCGATGTCCTGAAGCAGCAGGAATCTCTCTTCGGACTCTGTCCGGACTACACCAGCTATGCCCGTCACATACAGTAAGCTAGCCAGCGCCCCAGCTCGAAGATGGAATTGCTGACTTCCTGCGCAGCAAACCTCTCAGCGGTGGACCGCTACAACTACCCTTTCAAAGACCACACCCGAGCTGCCGCAAGTTCTCTTCGCCCGCCGTGGAAGAAACAATAAATGACCTCTATCCTCGATTCAAAGATGCAGATCTCGCGCAGATATTTCAAAACGCGTTTCCAAACACCCTCGACACAACGGTGCTATGGCACGTAGATGGAGAAAAGAGACATGCCCCGCCGTCACGATTACTGCGGGACAAAGACAGATGGCAGGGCGCACACTCATTCATCGTGACGGGCGATATCAACGCAGAATGGCTGCGGGACTCTACGAACCAATTGGCACAGTATCAGCTTCTCGCCAAATCGGCTTCAGACATCTCGAACCTCATCCTTGGAGCAATCAACACCCAGGCCGAATTTGTGATCTCTTCACCTTATTGCAACGCATTCCAACCTCCGGACCCATCTCGTCTGGCTCCGGTGCACTCGGGTCAAGATGACATCGTCCACCCAGCCTACGAACCCACAGTTGTGTTCGAATGTAAATACGAACTCGACAGTCTCGCAGCGTTTCTGAAGCTGACAAATGAATACCACACGTCCACTGGCTCCACGGCCTTTTTGACAACTCGATGGTTTAGAGCGCTTGATGCCCTTTTGCAGGTCCTGGACGCGCAGGCCCAACCGACTTTCAATCCCATAACCGGGTGGTACGAACGAAATGAATACACATTTAACCGATTCACGCGCATTGGGACCGAGACTCTCAACTTAGAAGGAACAGGAAACCCCTTGGCCGATGGAACGGGCTTGATTCGCTCTGCCTTCAGGCCCTCCGACGATGCCACGATCTTTGGCTTCCTCATCCCGGCCAACGCGATGATGTCCGTCGAACTGTCTCGGGCGGCGAAAATGCTGAAATCCGCCAGTGCTGCATCTACACGAGAACCACAAGCGACGCACATGCTCCAAGTCGCGGACGACCTCGCACAGCGCGCAGAGACCATTAAGGATGGCATCTACAAGCACGCAGTCGTCACCCACCCCGAATTTGGACGAGTCTTCGCCTATGAGGTCGACGGCTACGGCTCGCACATCCTCATGGACGACGCCAACATCCCTTCCCTCCTATCCCTCCCTCTCCTGGGCTTTGTCGACGCCGAGGACGAAATCTACCAAAACACCCGACGCATGATCCTCACCCAGCGCGGGAACCCGTACTTCCTGTCGGGCTCTAAATTCCAGGGAATAGGCGGTCCGCACATCGGCCTGCGCAACGCGTGGCCCATGTCCGTCATTGTGCAGGCCATGACGTCGACTTCCGACGCTGAGATCCTCGAATGTCTCGACAGAGTCAAGAACGTGAGCGTCTTCGGCTTGATCAATGAGTCCGTCGACGTGCACCGGGGCGTCAAGCGTGGAGGCGGAGGCGAAGGCATGACGCGCAGCTGGTTCGCCTGGGCCAACAGCGTCTTCGCCCAGGCCGTCCTGTGGCTCGCGGAGCACAAGCCAGGCCTCGTCCTGAAGGACAACGACGATGGAAGCCCGCCCAAGGGGTATCGTGTCGGCGTCGGCTGGGTGGAATACTCTGTATGATTACGGATGGTTTTTGACGAAGACTGAACGGAATAAAAGCGATTGAGATGTGACAGCATCCACCCTCATCCGAGCAAGTGTGCCCTATGCAGTTATGAAGCGACGATAAATCAATCAGTTCTAGAGACAGCAGCAGTCTTGTACAGTCTAGTCCACTGTGCTCTGCGTTCACTCGATACTGTCCCCACTAAACGGTCCTTCATTCGTGCTTTTGTGTAAGCACAGCGTATATAGCCTTCGACTTCCTGAGGATGGAAAGGACAAGTAGTGGTTGAATATCCAGGGGCACTCGAGCACGTCTGATCTTGTCTGCTGTACGGAGTACACCTAGGTATATTCTATGCCGTCGAGATTCGTATGGAGCGCGTGGTACAGGTCGGACTCGCCTCATCACAGCGCACGCAATATCCCATGTTTGGTATGCAGTATCATGTTATGGTGTATGAAGGAAATAGGTTGGTGTGTGCGCTATACAACCATGTGGCCTGGGTCTTCTTCCCCAGCAGCCACCTACCTAGCCAGCCAGCCACCTCCTCCATCGCCTGACTTCTTCCATCAAGAGGATGATGGGACTCATGCGTTTTTCTTGCCAAAGAAACTCATAATGTTCCCCCCACCACCTGCTTTCTTCTTCGCAGCAGATCCAGCCTTACCAGCTTGACTCTGGCCCTGACTCTGGGTGGACCCCTGGGTCTGCGTCTTGGGCGTGCTCTTGGGCGTCGCTGTCTCCTTCTTGACCGCCCGTGTAGGAGGAGGGGGCTCAGGCTCGTCCTCGCTGAAGCTTTCCCACACTGCCTCCTCCCTGGTCACGAGGTAACCGTCTTCTTTGAACGTGCGTTTTTGCATTACTTTGCGCTTCCCCCGCCGCCGGCGGGTCGGGGCTGCGTCTTGGTCGGGTTTTGATGCTTGTTTCTTCTCCGTGTCGGATTCTGACCACGCCACTTGGTCATCCCCGTCATCATTCTTCGTCTCGGCGTGTGCGTCCGTGCCCTTCGCTGCTGGAGGCTCGTCGTTTTTCGGCCCTGTTGCCTCTTCCACGCTCGGCGCTGCCGCCTCCTCTTCGTCGTCCGACTCCATCATCTTGCGCAGCTTTGCGGCCTTGTCCTCGCGCTCCTTCTTGACGTCGCTGGCCCGTTTCTTTGAGGTGGCTGATTTTCGTGTCCCAGTGTCTAGGAAGAGTGCTTCGTCCTCAGACTCACCTTCATCAGCGTCATTCATGGTTGTGTCCTGGTCTTGGCTAGCAGATTTCGGAGTAGCGGCGGGCGTTGATTTTCGCTGGCCGTGTTTAGCAAATGCTTTAAAGAGGTCGGACGCGTCTCGTTTCAGAGTCGGCTGTTTGGCGGAGCTGGAGGTCGAGGTACTGTCGCGAGAACTGGGGCGTGAGGGCTCTTCGGTTTTGACAAGCGGAGCGGAAGTTAATCCTTTGGGGGTAGGTTTTGTGTGGCTGAATGAAGGCTTCTTCGTCTCTTCTTTGGCAGGTTGGGTTTTTGATGCTCCTCCTGGAATCGCTGGTCTCTTGCCTTTCCGTCGCCGGACATCAGGGTTCTGAATCACACCATAGATCTTGTTATGTTCGTCCTCAAATCCATTTGTGAATAGACCCCGGCTGATGTCCGTCAACGTGACAAGATCTTGTATTCGCGCAGGAGAAAGGCTGTAAATGTGCATGGACGTGATGGTCTCGTATTCATCTTTCATCCCTAGCAACATCGGTTAGCGATCACCCCGGGTATTGAACTGTCTGTTGCTCACCTTCCAGTGCGTCTTCTCTCACCAGCGTCACAGTGCGTACGGGTGTTTGCTTTGGCTCCTCTTCTTCCACATGACTACTTTGTTGGCTCGGTTCAAGCATGGAACTGGTGAACGGCGGCGGGCTTGAAGGGATATGTTCGTCCGGATCATAGTCGTGCGCGTGTCCACTTGTTGTCCCATTCGTGGCCACAGCAAGTGTCGGTCTCTTCTTTGTGCCAGACAGAAGGTAGGTAGCATAGACTGATTGGGGCTTCTTCGCATTTTGGAATTCGTAAAACTCGTAGAGCATGCATTTGGCGGCATTGACGTGCACTTTCAAAGCTCGGGAGATATTGCGGTAGGATATGGTTCGTTGCTCAATGAGGACCTCACTTGCCAGATACTTCTTGAAATCTTCAGCCATGGCGGTAGGCCTCGCAATTCAGTTGTGAGTATTGTCAGTGGTCTCAAGATATCGGTAGGTGGGAAAGAAGTTGACGTGACGTGACGCGACTCTTTGGAGGACGCGTTGAGTGCTTTCGGGACCCGGCCTTCAGTGATGCGCCGCTTTAAACCTTTAAACGACAGTGCTTGGGCTCACACCGAGACTTTTCTGTCAGACGGTCACATTTATTTCATTGGAAGTGCCGGACTATTCTCACCCAACTTGGAGAGCAACAACATGCAGCTTTTGTCCTTTTAACTGTCAGATCTCTGGAGCGTTCTAAATTCTGAATTCCATCAAGCCGTATGGCCACTTTAGCAGACTGTTGATTGACTTGGATCTCGTTGTTTCGGCCGGAAACATTTCACATGGTTTGTGAGAGGACTTCTCTTTCATCCTCAGTCGTAGGCAAGAGGATGGATGACGAACCCTCACCTTCGTCACTTGGCATTCACATACAGATACTCGAGGATGCGCTTCTGAATTCCCACGACAGGCAGACATCGGTCTCAATGGCTTGTACAACGACATTGTCTTCGACGGGCCTCTGCGAAAGAACTATATCGTCAGACAAAAAATCGTACCAGTTGTAACAGGCAAGGCCACTTTGTCAGACAGCATCATTTTCCGCCGCTGATCTGTCCGGTTTGCCGAAGGATTCAGTAAGCAGAAGCAAAGTTGTTTCTCCCACATGGACTGTTCGAAAACCCTCCAAGACAGCGCCTTGGCCGCGGAGACGTTGAAGGAGAGCCGGCGGAGGTTGCTCGTTGCTAGTCACTTTCCCTCAATCCAACTTGGAATGGACGGATTCGCCTATCGGAACCCTAGGGACGACCCGGTAAGCCTGGAAATATCCTGGAGAAGATGAACACCCATGGTAAGCTGTGGTTTGCCTTAAACCCTGGCACTTATATCTTTGTCAAATTTACTGATATTTCAGAGTCTTCTACACGCTTATGGGTGTGCTGCTTTTGCTCCAAATCCTACCGCAGATCGTGAGTGCATCCCCAAGCGACCAAATTAGCGGGAAATCACGGGCACCTTGCCCTACTCAATAATGCGTTCTTTGGATGAGTCAATCAGTCGGGCATTCGCTTGTGCCAGCCCTCCATTTCATGTCACAAGATAGCAGCATTTCTGTGGCTGTCCAGAGCAGCTGTCCGTTCCGGGTGACAGAAGCCACCGAACGACCAAGACCAATCATGTTCAGCGAGCTTTGACAAACTGTTAACCATCCTTTCCATGATTTGCCCTTTCCAGCCAGGGAAAAGAGTCGCCGAATGCTCATTGATCTTGACTGACGTCTCTTTAGTGATGTGCTTCGCCGACATTACATCAACTGCCCATCGAGGGGTGAGCAACCGATTCCCGGGAAGCTGAAGAAAGGCAAGAAGACTCGAGCGTGCGACTCATGTGCGCGCCTAAAATTGGGTTGTGATTTGGATTGTCCATGCGAAACTTGCCTCTCATATGGCCTTGAATGCACATACACACGACTCACGGAGCAGCGGCAACCGCGACCGGGAAGTGAACCTCCCCTGCAACCGCCACAGGATGGACAGCGGCCGAGAAGCCACTCTGTCAGCGCCAACACATCTCAAGAGTCAAGGAACAATGCGCGTCAAGAGCGGAGCAAGATTTCGTTATCCTTTCTCCTCAACTATGTGAATCCAACCACAACTATGGCAGATGCCTATGGTCCTGTGACCGAAAAAGCAGGCGCCGGAGGTGAGTCTACAACCTAGAAAGATATCACGCCCGAGTCTAACATCAACGACCTAGCGCCTGTGTCGCTGAACGTCTGCGATACCGCCACTGCAAGCGATTTCGGTACTTCTGTGGCTACTGTACAGTTGGTGACTGACGAGTTCATCTCGCCGTTTAATAGTGACAGACTGGACGACTTTTTTGTATCCTGTCTATTTCCCGATTCAGAAGATTTTCAAGGCTCAAGCGAGGACGCGAACTGGTCTACAAACTGGCAAATATTAGACCAGTCGGACGCTTTTGACAACTCTCCAGCCGTTGAGCCTTTCAACTGCTTGATAGACTCCTTGACCGGATTCACACTCTCCCTACCACAGGGACATCCTGAAAGCGCGCCCAATGATCGATTAGCAAAGGCAGCAACACTGTTTTCAAGAGCCAACGTCGAACGATTTGTCGGGCATTACTTTCGAGATTACTGTCCACATAGCCCGATTCTTCATCCCGGAACTTTCCGGATAGCAGCAGCATCCCCCTTCTTACTCACGGTCCTGGTCCTCACGGGAGCTTTATTCTCCTCTTCACCAAATGACATGCAGCTAGCAAGGGACATTCTTGGCCTTGTGGTAGAATATGCCATTAGCAACCCAGTTTTCAGAAAGCTGCTCCACGGGCCTGATGCAGTGAAGGGACTGGACGAAGTGGAATCCTTACAAGCGCTCCAAGCCGCCTTTTTTATCACACAAGTTCGGCTCCGGGAAGGCTCTCCGTCCTGTCGGCGAGATGCTCGAAAGTCGAATTTTGAAGAGATAATATGTGCTGTTCGAGCCCTAGGTCTTTTGGAGACTCGGAACTCATTCTTCGAAGCTGAGCCACCACCACCAGAAAAGTTTCAGTGGGCTCAGTTTGCCGCCCGCGAATCCCGAATTCGTCTTGTGTGTGGTATTTTCAACCTTGACGCCAGCTTCACGATCCTATACAACATGACTCCCCGGTTGTTTGCGGAAGAGATGAGCATCGGGCTGCCAGGTTCTGTCGATGCTTTCTTTGCCGACAATGCCCAGGATTGCTATCGGCTGTCACTGAAGGAGCATGGACTTCAGAAATTGCGGCTCTCGCAGATATGCGACGCCTTTTTGCAGGATGAGTGGGACGAAGAGATGCGCTGTTCCATGCAACACTTGTCGCTCCTGCATCTTTGCAGTTTGATGTTGGCGCTAACGCAGATCTTGTGGCTCTCTCCGTACAGACCTGGAAAGCGGCAGACAATGAAACGAATGAAAGAAGCGCTGATCAGGTGGAAAGCAGTCTGGGACTTTCAGAATGCGGCATTGACGGCTCGCCAACGCGATCGCTACGGATTTTTGAAGACCATCCCTCTCGAGTTTTGGCAGATTGCAACTGTCCTGGTGGAGAAAAACAGTACCAGTTTGGATACCGCGATCACTCAAAATGCCATTGCTGCTTTGAGCAACAATCAGTGTGCCCAAACCATGCTCGAAAGCGTCGAAAAGGAACAGAGCTGAATATCACGGCAGCCGGCCGAATCCGCTCGTGGTCGACTGGTGAATCAATACATTTTACATCTCGGTTGTCCAACGGGCAAGACGAACGAAGCAAAGATCTGAAGATTCGATGATGAAGTTATGAGGTATCCGTCGTCTGACCCACAGCTGTGCAGCCTCGTGCTAGCTGACCAAGAGCCCTCGTTTGAGCCACAAGTAGGGATTGCAACGCATACCGAGCAATCTATAAGACAAGCCTGAATGTCACAAAAGCATTGAAGCATCTGGCTATTCTACAGGAGAGCGACCTCTTCATGTGAACGTTGTCTATATGATATTCAGCACAGAAGTGAATTATTACTGCTACACTAGGAAAGATAATGAAATGGTCAGCTGTACTACATGAGCGATTCGAGGTCCGATTCGAGATGGTTTGCCTTATAAGAATCCTAAATCTGGCTCCGTTTGTTCTACCCGCGAGCTACCTAGGCCATGTTACTTGGTATGTACCACTGCTCCAGATATTCCAATACAGCTTTCCATTCCGCGATCCAACATGACATTCCAATGTACAAGTCAGGTCGTACGAGAACCAATCTGCCATCTTCGTCGTTGGGGTCGATCATGTACCTTTCCCAAACCTCGCCCGACTCGTTCTTGGACTGATGGTCAAAGTCAAATTCTGCCTCGCGGGTTCCAGATATCAGGAATGCAGATACCTGCCCTGGAAAGCGCCCGTTCAGCTCTTCCCGGATGGTCACGGCCTCTGCGAGCTGCTTTTGCTTGTTTTGTTTGCTGGGCACAATGAGCAGGGTAAATTGTGGCCTTCGAAAAACGTCATAGAGATGTCGCTGAGGCGAACTGACGAGAAGAGCATCAGGAGCCCTTTCGCCGGCTTGCGGCCCTCGGGTAGGACGGAGCCCAGAGGGGACACAGACCGCGTCGCAGTAGTTGTGTGAAAGGCCGGAGACTAGCATGATGGTATTCTCTTCCCAGTTGGGGGCCTGTGTCAAGGGATACCGCTTCTCGGGCTCCTCGCCAAATCCCATCACGATGTGGTGAGTGGCCATGGCCCCTTTGCTGATCTGCTCCCCGATGGGTTTTCTTTCTTTCTCGTAGGTGTCCAGAATCTCCCCTTGGGCTTGCCCTTTCCAGACTGCGGCCAACTTCCAGCCGAGATTGAAAGCGTCCTGCATACAGCCGTTCATTCCTTGGCCGCCAGATGGAGAATGAACGTGGCTTGCATCGCCACAGATAATCAGCCTCCCTTCGCGGTAGTGGCTGGCAATGTTGTTCCTAATCTCCCAGGAAGTCGCCCAGTCCGGCTCTCCCAGCTTGAAGCCGATCCCGATCTGGTCGGCGACCTCCTGGAACGATTCCTTTATGTCTTTCCGGTACACATATTCTCCCGTTGGCTCGCTCATGTAGATCCTCCACACTCCACCGGGCATACGTGTGACGTTCATGAACAGATCTTTGGTGAAATAGTAGTTCATCCATCGATCGTCAAACCTGACGTCCGTGAGAGGCACGTCCATCATGGCCATGGCGGCGACAATCTCCCCGTTGAAGGCTATCCCAGCCGCATCGCGGACGAAGCTTTTCACACCGTCGCATCCGACCACCCAGGGATAGGTGACATGCTCCTGGGCACCGTTAGGCAACTTGATAGCAGCTTTAACCCTTCCGTTGACCTGGTTCTCTGCTGGACTCGACAGCGCCACAACCTCGGTCTGGTACTCCGGTGAAACACCGTGGGTGGCAAACAGGTGTTCCCTCAACACCTGCTCAAAGTCGTTCTGGCTGATTTTGTAATAAAACGGATATCGCGTCGGCAGGACCCGGTAGTCGGTCTTGGGACACTCCTCGTCGGGCATGCCGGGGAAGTGATATCTGTTCCCGGGACATTCCAGGCAGACCTCCTTGAGACGGTGGCCGACCCCCATGTGGTCGAACATCTCCATGGACCGGGCATGTACGGTCATCGCCCGGGCGGTGTGGGAAGGTCCCTGACGCTTTTCCACGAGGCGGACCGGCACCCGACGCCGGAGGAGCTCGTAGGTGAGGATCAGGCCCGATGGACCGGCCCCTACCACGAGGACCTCATCAGAATGGCCGGACTTGGTTTCAGTCATGGCGAACCCAGCAGCGAAAATGCCCCGTCTGACTCGCGTGGGAGACACTTCGTCGAGGACTGGATATTTGGTGGTGTGAAGTCAAAGGTGGACGTGTTGAAATGGGATGCACTGCAGGATTCTCGTGATATAATGTGCAACTGCAACATGAGCAGGCGCCGTAGCCATGGCGGTTGCCTGAAGAACTCGGGTTAAGCGACAGAAGGCCTCGATCAATCACTCCTTTGTTGTCCAGGCCAGCCCCACGCCACTCCTGTCTGGATCTGGCACCCCCATATCGTCTCTCTGCGAAGTCGCCTTCTGGGTCTGAAGTGGATGGGGGGCACTATACCCCGGTATTTTTGCTATGACCAAGATTCTGCCTCCGCCGTTGACAGTGAGGGTCGTAAATTGCCGAGTGCGGGTTGTAGGCAGGTGGTAGAACTCCTTTCTATGACCCACGCGTGGTCTCGAATGGGGCGATGGAGACACCAACATCTGGTGGCATTCAGGAAGTCGCTCAAAGGTTGTATTAGTCTTTCATCGGAAATTGAGAGTGGGTGACCCACACAATAGCCGTTGCGGTAACCCCCAATGTCCCCTCTCTCACTCGTCTAGTGAAAGGGCAATACGCCGGCCACAACGACTGCACTTGAAACGGGGTAGAACAAGTGGTAACATAGACAAGAGTTGTTGTAACTTCAGGTTGAAATAGTACTGAGCAATCCTCACGCATTTCTCGCGGCAAGTATTTACGGCGGTGTGTCAACCGTGTTGATTCATATGAATGCTACTTGTATCGTCCAGAGCACGGTCGATGGAAGAGCAAGTCAATACGTTCTCTGCTGCTTGTGTTCGGTGGCACGATAGAACTAATGTGCAAATATCACCACCAAGATCCAAAATTTTGAGAATGTAATCCAATTCCTATACTACTATTTGTGAGTGATACCTGGGATTTGCAGTAAAACTAGAAATTCCATCGCATTTCCTTCTAAGAGGGCCCTCTTGTCGATTTGGTCAAGAGACATCAGCCAAGGTGAGCTTGGTCTCCCCGTTGTACCGAGCCAGGAACTGCTCTGCGTGTTCGCGCTCGCTCTCCAACAGCTCAACAATCTTTTCCGATCGAGGGATGAACCGAGCACGGAACGGCAAAGGACGAGTGTTCTCCCCGTCCGTGTAGGCGAAAATGTCGAGTTTGGCTTCCCGGCCCTGCAGCGTACAATCATGTCAGCAAAAACCTCTCCTTTGGCATCCCCATGGCGAACACGTACCTGATCGTCCAGGCCAGGCTTAATATCGAATGCCCAGAGAAGTCGAGCGACGGATATCGCCAAGCTTGCTTCTGCCAGCGGCTGTCCGCTGCACTGCCTCCGGCCCCAGCCAAAAGCATTATGCCCGCGAGCGTTGGGGTACTTGAAATGAAGGCCTTTCAAATACCGTTCAGGGTCGAATTTGTCCGGGTCCGGGAACTCTCGAGGATGGCGATGAATCGCCCAGAGGTTGCCGGTGATGTTTGTACCAGCTGGGATATGATAGCCGTTGTAGATGTCATCCTCGGTCGGAGCGTGTGGAATGCCTCCGAGGATGGTGACCGAACGCCAGCGCAGTGTCTCCTTGATGATTGCGTCAATGTATGGGAGTGAAGCTTCGTCTGACCAGTCAGGACTTCTGTCTTGACCAACAACCTCATCCAATTCTTTGTGTGCTTTCTTCTGAACCTCGGGGAAGACGCACATGGCCAGGATGCACGATATGATGGTACTGCTGGTGGTGTCGACACCTCCTCCGATCAAGTTCGAGGTCAAGCTCGCAATCTCCTCGTTCGAAAGGCCATGGGAATTCTGCTCTTCAATGAGTCGTTTGGAAAAGCTGTCCTCTCTGCTTTGGGACCCTTCCAAGGACAAGGCGTAGAAATAACGTGCCAATAAGTTAGCCTGGTCTTGTATGGCTCGTGGCAGCGGGTAAAGCCACTTCGGCAGCTTCGTCAGGAAGGGCAGGGATTCCATCCAATACAGCCCGGGAATGATCACGTCGACGGCGTTGGCCATGACCTCGAGAGCTTGCTTGGCCACGTAGTCGTTTTTCCTGACAATTCGACGTCCCCAGCCAATAATGGAAACCACCGAGCACGCATATCGTTCCAGGTGAAAGACATAGTCCGCGGGGTCTTGCAATATGCTCCAGGTCATCACTCTAGACTCGGCAGCTTGGATGTCGCGGTAGTTGCGGACGGCTTGAGAGCCAACAACAGAATGCTGCACAAAGGTTAATGGCCTGAGCCAGGAAAGAGGCAGGTCTCTTACAGTAAGCTTTCGGTGATTCCTCCATCTGTCGCCGTACACCTGACACACTTGATTGTTGACGGTCCAGTTGAACATGTCACCCATGACAATGATATGAGGTCGAGAGGAATAGAGATGGGCCCGTTTCTCCATGAGCTCGGAAGCAGACCAAGCGTCGTTGGCAACAATGATCGGTCGCCTTCCGAGCCAGATCGTCAGGAGTGGATCTTTGTAGTATTTGCTCCAATCTTCAAAGGCGATCCATGGCTTGACCTTTGGTATAATCAGATGGTTTCCGACTATGGGTAGAGGGAAAGGTCCTGGGGGCAATTGGCGCCGCAGCCGCAACACTCGGACATAATCGAAGATGACGAGAACGAAACCAGCTAGTAGTGCAACTGTAGTGAGTCGGCGAAGGAGATTGAGGTCAACATGAAAGGAAGGATGGCTTGGTTTTCCAAATCGCACAAAGTTGAATTCCTGATCACTCATCTTGTGTGGTTGCTGTGTAGGAAGAGACTATACTATGCGAAAAACTACCCGGTCAACGTGAAGAGCTTAGAGGACTTTATATTACATTCTTTCATGTGGGACTTCACTCTCAACCATGATTCTGGTGGCGGTGATCTTTCCCGGACTGTAACTTGGTTAGTCCAAATTGCTATTACCAGCGATCCTAGTCGCATAACCAGACCTGTGTGACACGATATACACGTGCACCAATTTGAAATAAATCCATCGTGCTTTTCTAGACGAGCCTATGGATAGAGTTCTTTTGGTAACCAGAAGTTTGCTGGCCGGTAACATCGCAGCATACCTACATAATATGGCCAGCGAGCAGGCGCTTAATGGGCGTTCTGGTGTATTCGACGAATGCTCCCCAGGCATGACAAAACGTAGTACCATCGTGAGCCCTTCAATCAGTCACGAATTCCGTAAGCCGAACCCAACTTTTGAAATTATCCGCACCACGAGTGCATAGAACAGCCCCCTCGACAGCCTAACTGTTGAATGAAT